TCCTTTAATTAATATTTCTTATTTATGATAACTTACAATTGAAGAGTTTCCTCGCAAAAATATCATACATGTATACTATTTTCACTTAATAAATTATATATATTGTTTATATGAAATACGCATTTTCCTTTTCATTTAATATAGGACAATTCCTCAGTTTCACCAGTGAAAATGTTTATTATGATTTCCATGGTTATTAATGTTCCTGTTGGAACCAGTATTCTTCTTATATATTTCAGATTCGGAAGATAATGGATTTGCATTTCAAATATTCTATAGATATATCATTCTTTTAAACTAACTTCACAAACATTGCTCTATCACTAGAGGTTACGCCTACATGCCTGTGCCTGTGCTTTCGTAACATTGCTTAACCGCAATGTTACAACCTATAATTCCTACTCTACCCTTCCCACGCCTACCCTACCCTACATTTTCTAACCTTAAACCTACCTAATCCTAACCCATAACCAGGGGACATCAAAATCAGAAGATATGAGCCTGAACTTAACAGAGATATAGAATTATGAACTTGTTATTATTCATTTGTATAAAAGGTATTTGATATATTCTAGTAAGTTTTTTTTTAATAATAAAAAAGTTTATTATATAAATAGTTAGTAGAAATATTAAAACAGAACCTGAAACATGTTGTTACTCAAGACTTTCACGCTGTGCGATCTCCGATAACTGAGCTATTTCAGTATGCGCCCCAACTATCGCAGAACAATGTTTTATTGAGCACTATTTTAACAATTGAAATATTTTGATATTCTTTTAAATAGGGACAGGTGCGCCATTTGGTGGTGGTGTGAGGAGGGTGGGGAGGGGGTAATTTGAGTTTTTAATATATGTAAACAGAAGTACTAGAAATGTACAAAAATCGCATAATTCCTTTAAAATATCTCAAACTAGGAATTTCTTTTCCTTTTTCTATAGATGTCTTTTTAATAGGCCTATATTGCAGTGTCTCAAGAAAAAGACGACTCATATTTTGAACTTTCAAACACTGATAAGTCAGCAATAGTTGTTTATTTTTTCATCAATTAAATTTAATTGCTTTACTTTTTATTAACTTTTTTTGTTTTATATATTTGTATATGTTTATTTTATTTTATCGGCATTTGTATATTATTTAAACAATCTTGTTACTTTTATTAAACTATTGTTAAATGATAATGTAATATTCTAATAACCATCAAAAATAAGTCCCTAGTATAATTTTTGTTTGTCTATCACTTTTTTTTCAGAACGTGCTCGAATAGGAAACATGTCGAAACGTTGAATAGATTTGTATTTTCCAGTGATTGTTGTATATCTGTGAAATGAATTATGAACCTTGACCTGTGAAGTCTAGGATGGATATAGTAACTTGACACATTTCTCTAAGACATTGTTAGTTCGAGTTAATTTTTGACATGGAAAATAGTTTAAAGCGGTTTCGATTGAACTCTATAATCACGTGACGTTCATTTCAACGAGGTCAACATTCTCAACTACTGTCAATTTTCAACAGACAGAACGCAATGGGGTTCAGCACTTCGATGTGCTCTTTTTTACGGATTTACTCAGTTTATCGTCATAAACGATTTGGACAGTGGTTTAGTATTAGTTTGTAATTATGGTTCATTGTAGATAGATTTTATTTTTCGGTGTTGCCTTGTTTATTTTAACTGCGAAACGTGTGTGAAGTGATATTTTATTTTGCTTTATTCCGGTCAAACAGCCTCGTCTATTATGGCTTTGTTCAAATCAGCTGTTCAGCGCTTCCGTGTTCCACATCAGCGAACTTTTGGTCTGTCCGTGGCCGATGGTCAAAGAAACTTTTCAGATCATCGCTATTCTAACAACAACAGTGAAAATGATTTTGCTGATAGAGAAAGATCCCGTTCTGTAACCTCATATTATTATCAGAGTGCCATTGACCAAGCAGCCAATAAGGTTTGTGTCCTGTCTTACAGTATAACCCTTAAATTAGGGCCGTTTTATACAAAATTAAGAAATGAGTTTTACATCTGAAACTGACACAGCCATACGGTGGAATCTTGGGTTTCAACCTTATGAACTAGGCTATATATTGTGTCTTTGCAAAGAGTAGACTAATACTAAGGTTATTGCAATAATTCCCTTATTGATCACTGCATAGGTGCATGTTCATAGGTCCAATCAGCTGCGTGATATAAGGGCTCATTGAAAGGAAAACAGGATTTTTTTTTCTTTTTTATTTATTTTTTTTTTTTCAATTAAATTAATTGGTTGTGATAAAAAATTGATTTTATATATAAGCTTATACTATGACCCGTCCCTTGTCATTCTGTCATGATGTATCTTAAAGGAATGTAAGCCTATAAAAATTTGCTTTTTTAACTATAGGTTTGAATCAACAATTAGCACTTTATCAATGAAATTCGAATGTTATGTCTGTCTGCAATTACCGGTAGGCTTATGAAACCCTAATTGTTGAAAAGATGATAATCTTCATCTTGATAATCATTAATTTTCACCCATGCAGATAATATCAAAATTTTAATTTAGTTAATTAAAGTTAAAATTTAAATTGATTAAATCTATCTGCATGGAAGACACTCGCTGTCGCTGCATTCTGTTATACAAAAAAGATGGCTATTGAGTCAAGGTATTAGGCAGAGATCATAATAGCTTGACATTATGGAGATGACACCACTTCATACCACTATAAGAACTTTATGAACTCTATGTTTAAACTGATTTATATACAGCTAGGTTGAATTAACTGTGAATAAGATTTTCATGAGGTGTATCACGTAGATACTATGTAATTTATTGATTGTTGGATACACTACCTGAGTAATACAGTGTGATTAAACCAAGGAATGATGTATGGGCTGGTCTGAATAAATTATAGATATGTACACTTAATGGTCATTGTGACACTTTTGGAGGTTGATATAGTACTTGTATACCAAGCTTGTTGGCGTCACCCATGTCAACAAGCCGCCTACAATTACTCTGTCCTCTCACTTCAGAAGGCACAATTTAGACGAAACTTGGTATGAGTGTTTGTAATCACCCGAAGATTAACCTTTTGGAAAATCAGAAAAATTGAACAAAATATAGTTTTGAGTTATTGCCCTTGTTCTTGAAAACGTGTTCAAGTTTTGGCTCTATCTATAACCTTAATTCTTGATTCTTGCTGGATTTTGACAAAACTGTTCATTTATATTGTTCAGTATCACCCAAAAAAATTCCAACAAAGTGTATGACTTAAGTTTGAATATTTCATATGGTAATTGTAACTGTACAGCCTAATATTTTTATTTCCTATCAAGCAATCTTAATATACAATAGACCAAATAAACCTCCATTTTGATCCACATGTTCTATAAAAGGGGCTGGTGTAGGCGTAATTTTTTGGGTCAATGTTAATGCCCTAATAATCTAATAAAAAAAGATATTTCATTATGTGAATGCTGACTGAATGATAGTCCATAGTCAAATTGTGAAAGGACTTTGAACCTTGTTAAAAATAGATCTCTTGTTTCTATGTATTCTGTTTCTAGTATAATGGAAATGAATACAAGGGAAATAGGTTACAGGGCAATGTGCACGAATCTTAAAGGTCATGGCCATATTTTTTTTTTCACTTGATTATCCTCTGCATGGAATTAGGGTACCCAAAATTGTTAAGATAATTTTTGACTATCCAGGCCATAACAGTTCTCCATTAGCATAGTCTTGAAAAGGCAAGTTGTCAATTAAATATCACACAGAGATAAGTATAGATACACATGTTTCATTAAACTGTTTAATATTTTCATTTTCATTTTGAAAATTTGGACATTAATATGTGACATTATTCAACAATAATACCTCTTAGAATGGATAATAAATTTAAAGTCTCAAACTTGGTCAATAAGTGTATATTCATCAGTTGGACTTACCAGGTGCCATAATTAAAGAATTGAATCTCTAAATAAGATGGTATATCCAGTGGCATTCTAAGTATGTTTCAAAATGACTTAGTTTAATAAATTATTACTTAGTTTTATTGATATATTGTATTATAGAAGGATTCTTTTGTATATTTATGACACCAGGTAAGTCTACTGATGAACAAATACTCATTTTTATCAAGTTTTATCACCCTAAGGGGTTTTAAACAAATATTCAACTACGTAAGAATCAGAATATAATGATTAAATTATGCCTATTGACTATTGAACAATACTGAAAAGAGCACTCATATAAATAATGAGGACAAGGTCCATCTGGAGGAGAGCATCATATAGTGTATTTCTACTATTATGTCTACCATTATCACAAATCAATATCTTGAATAAATCTTGACATAGAGTAGACAGACATAGAAGATATTATAGATATTATTGTTTGATCAGGCCATCAATTATTTCTCTTGGTCAGTCAGTGGAAATTGATCTTACTGGCAAGTTAAGCATATGCTTACTCTTCTAGACACCTCATACCACTTTTCATTATGAAATATTTCCTCATGATAACTTCTTTCATGTGAAAAGTTCATTGGCTTGGATTTCTGGCTTTGTTCTGCGGTTTGGATCCTTTGTTACTTGGGGTTTTTTGTGGTCTTACATTGACAAAATTTGATTACTTGTTGGGGCTGGATGACCAACCAGCAACCTGGATTGTTTGTAAATGATATATACCTCCCAGCTTCACACCAAATTTGAAAATTGGGCAGAATTGTATACATGTCTACTAATGAACTGATAAAAGAAAGGCAATAGTCCAACAAAGGTCAGTTATGGATTGATGTTTTGACCTGCTGACCGATCTACTGACCCTTTACAGGGCTATTTTTGTGGTTGACACTTGATGTAATAAGAGACTAAAAATAGTACTATAGTAATCTCTATTGTAAGTGCTAGAAAAATCACACCACAGAATTTTATTTTTTGATTGTTGCAATATGACCTATTTATAAGAAATAGTTAACAAATTCCTATTTATGAGAAATAGCTAACCCTTTGAACAATTCAAAACTGGGTGTGATAATTTTTGATACTGTCAAACCTGTTTGCACTGACCAGATTTGTAGAGAGGCAATTTGACTTATTTTTAATTTGATTATATTAGCAAATATTTGCAATTCATTCAGAGATGTTTGTGCATCTATTTAATTCAGAAGATGTTACGCTATATTGTGAACCTTATACTATATGCATCATAAGTGTCAGTATTTTCTATTTGAATTAAGATGTTGTCATCACAAAAAAAATATTCTCCTATTTCTTGTTTGCTACAGTGCAATTATAGTCCAAGTGGTAAGGTTTTTTTTTTTAAAAATGACAAACAGGATGAAGTTTAGAGTGTTCAATGCCCATACAAAATGTAGAAAATCTCTGTTATGTTGTAACCATCTGAGCTTACTTACATGCTCTCCACTGCTTTTCTATTTGTTACAGCTAGATATCTAAAGTAGTTATGGACCAGTCTAATGTTTTTGTTGTAGCTGAGATCAGCTGATGTATTATATATATAGAAAGTGGGTAGATATTTCTAGTTCAACGTTTTCTGTCTGATATATGAATTGATAAAGATATTGGGTGGGCCTGAATAACTTGTTCTGGTGGTAAAGTTCAAGGTCAAATATTCCTGCAGAGTTCCAAGACATTCTTGCATTTTTTTTATTAGAACCATTGAAAAAGTAAAATTATAGGACAGAATTGATATAAAATCTTAAACTTTAAAATATGCCTTGGTCAGTTTGAGCCCCCATCCATCCAAATTTATTTTTGATTAATTGGGGTACCAGTTTTTGTAATTCTGATCAGTAATATAACATAATATTTGTACCCTTGACTTCTTTATCACAAAAATTGTCAAATTTTCTTGGTTTTCTGCTTTTTTGCACTTGATCAACTCAAAATGTTTACCACAATTTGTTTAATGTAATATACTATTGTGTTTTTGTTTACTGTCAGGGACTTGGCATTCGATCAAGGTCAAGGACATTACAAATAATGCAACCATATTGTGATTCATCCTTTGTTTACTGTTCTGGCCCTGATTGTCTCCAAAATTTGCAGATTGATATATCCTTGATAATCTAGAAATTTCAATATACAAATAACTTGGAACAGCAATATGACACACTTAACTACTTAATGAAAATATTAAAGGAAAAAATTAATTGTTTCTTTTTCATAAATCCTAATATAATGTGTATAAAATGTATTCACCTATTAAAGTTTGAAATATTTCTAATTATTATGATAGATATTGAGCCCAGGTTTTTTAGTTTGGTTGCTTATTTAAACAACTGAAGCGGTTGAAAATTAATGGGTCATTTGGGTGCAAAAATGTCTACTTGAATACATTTGTATTGTAATTTCAAAGTGACTTACAATAGCACTTGAGTTCAAAAAGATATTTGAATACATAGCAGATGTTCATTTGCACCATGTCAAGCTATTACAACCCACGGCTTATACCTTGACTCCAATTTCCACCTTTCTTGTATCATGGAATGCAGTGATTTGGTTGGATTTTACACCAGCAAATACAGCCATTCAGGCCTTTGACTTGGATTGTGGATGCTGGTATCACAAACTAGGTAGTTGGTAGTCGTAGTAGTTGGTAGTTGGATTGGTTCAAATTGGATGATTCTGTGCTGTTGGCTTGGTAGGTGATAAAGGTGTGGACAAACAAGTGATCTAGATTAGAGACTTTTGTTGCCAAGAGTCTTGAGTAAAGTGCTTGTGTATGTCTGAGCTTCCACGACAAGATTATCCTGTCCCTGACAGGATTTATAATATCAAACAAGTTTGATACTTGTCTCCATAACTTTCTCATCTGCAAGACAGACCATTATCATCTAATCAGATTCATTTTCCTTTCAATTGCATGTTCTGCATGAGATTATCGACATGTAATGGAAAATGACCAACTGGAGATTTTTGTCTACTAATATCCCCTTGTCAGGTGAAACTCATGACAAGATTTTATCGGCGACAAAAATCTCCGACCAAGACCGTTTGTGTGCCTTCACCTTAAGATAATGTGAGGAGATGCAAACTCCCATTTTATTCTTGCAAATACTTTATCAAATTCATTAATCTCCATGAAAAGTTTTAAAAAATTTCTCACAAACAATAATATTTAAGGTTAAGTTTGGTGTACAATTTCATCTCTTTAAAATAAAGGTTTAGAACAGAAGGCAAGCAATATTATATTTCATTTCTCTTACAAAAACTGACAAAAGATACAATGCTGAAACTCGGTCAGCTGAAAAGGACACTAATTCAAGAATTTCAATATAATACAAATTTCAATGAAATGAAAATATCAAAAATACATTTTAACAACATGAACCGAAAATATCAAATGCTTAATGCAGCGATACTAATGTTGCATTGATAGCTTAAAGGGGCATTATGTTATTAATATACCGGTAGGTCGAATATGTCTCCAATATATTCAAAATGTTTCAACTAAAAATATTGAGTATTTATAATGCCCATCACCAAAACTAGTTTAAACTGCTCAATTAATTAATAAGTAGAGAGCTGCGGTGGCTTAGTGAGTTAGACGCTTGCTTGCTAACTTGAAGGTCCAGGGTTAATCCAGGCATAGGTCAAAATAATACCTTCAGATTTTTCATCCCGGTTTCCCCCTGTTAGTGATGCAGGTAAGAGGGGCTGACATGGAAAAAGCGTCTAGTCGTTCGGATCAGATAATAAACTGAGGCCCCGAGTGCTATACCTTGACAGTTGGAAATTATAAAAAGAGCTGGCTAATGCCGCTGTCCTGGCAAAATTTCCCTCATTGCACCCTGCATGGGGTTGTCCGTCTTCATTAGCCGACATGGTGCAGAAAAGTAGAACGTAAAACTTCATTCATTTCATTTAATTAATTAGAACACTCCGTTCTTAATTAACCCCTCAGTTTGATCAAGTAGATACAGAAATGTAAAAAGCATATTTCAGAAATATTTTTCAGTTTTTGTTTAAATATATCTGTGTGCACCATAACCTGGTTAGTTTCCAACAAATAACAGCTTATTTTTACACTGTTGATTTAAATCTAAAAACCTGTCTCAATTAACCTGTTATTTTTCTTGTGTCAAAATCTTGCATCTGTGTTAAAACTGTGAAAGTCCTTAACTTAGTTTTGTATGGGCAAGGTCCTAATAATGTGAAATTCAATATATCAAGACTGGTAATATAAAGAGGTTTTAAATGTTTTTCCTCAATCAGAGTATAGGCTTTATGTAGCGATTTTAAATCTCAGATTTTTTAAAATGAAGTATGATTGCTTTAGTAACAGATAAAAATCTGGGGATTTCCAGTTGAACATGACTGGCAAAAAAAAAAAAAATTGCAATTCCTTATTTTATGCAGGACCTAGGACAAACTAGGACTAGGGCTTTATGGTGTTTGCTACCATTGCCTCCATGTTTCTATAGATATCTGAACATGTTTTCTGCAGGACTGTTTTTTAACTGATTTGGCTGTCATGTCTGTTTGGAGCTCCAAGATGACCTGCAGTCTTTAGGACACTTTGTAATCAAATTAAACCATTTATTTCAAGGCAAAAACTGGGAGATTCAAGAGAAACAGCCCTGGTTTCCTGCCAGGTCAAAAAACAGTAGGCCTACCAGTTATTTATCACTGCAAGCAAACATGTTGGTTCTGAATCTCACGCCAATAATAACTTACAGGTCTTGATTTGAACCCAAACTCAATACAAATTAACATATTGACATAATGACTTTATATACAGTAATAGAAACTTGTATTATAGATTATTACACACTAAGAATCTCAGTGAAGTAAAGCGCTTGAATTAAAACCAAAACAACCACGCGTGATTATAATTTTATTCTATACCATAATTTGTGAAAAAAGTGCATTAAATGCATGTGAAAAAAAGTGCATCATATACATGTGAAAAAAGTGCATTAAATGCATGTGAAAAAAAGTGCATCATATACATGTGAAAAAAGTGCATTAAATGCATGTGAAAAAAAGTGCATCATATACATGTGAAAAAAGTGCATTAAATGCATGTGAAAAAAAGTGCATCAGATACATGTGAAAAAAGCGCATCATATACATGTGAAAAAAGTGCATCAGATACGTGTGAAAAAAGTGCATGAGATACATGTGTACAGGCCTCCCCAGTCACAGTCTGAACTATCAGCAAGGTCAACTAAATAGCCATTTTGTTTTCTTTTCATTTCAGCCTTCAGTTAGATTAACCCCAGCAGCTATTTTATATTCAGGCAAAAGTCAAGACAAGAGTCACATTTTAGTAAGTAAAATATATTAAAAGAATTGTTAATTTGACTTGTCTTGTCGTAGAATCCACCGAGTTGATGTTGTTTACTTGATATACTTATTACAACTGTGGCCTTGATAGCAATATAAACTGTCCATTATAATGTCAAGGCCATCATCAGCCTTTTAAATGTGTTGAAGGTCCCATGTAATAGACACTATTAAAGGGATTGTAATGAGGTTTTATGTGTATCAGGGACACTAACAACATCAATTTGCACCACTCCAATTTATAATCAGACATCTGTGATTCCTGCAATTCCAATAAGATTAAGTGTTTGATGACGTCACTAATTGCAAAGGGTCTCTTGTGATAAAGCATATTTTGCAATTAGTGATGTGTTGGTGGGTTGCATGATACATACTTTTCTTGAACTGTTATGATTTTCAGTCATAAAGTCTGCCATTGCCTGAAATTTTGTTTGTTTTTGTATTTGTAGAGAAGTGCCCAATACCTACATAAAGAATTACCAGTAAGAATAGCACATCGTATTGCTGGTTTCCGTGGGTTACCATTTATTGTTGGTTGTAATCCTACTATTTTACAAGTAGTAAGTGCTTAATTAGTTAATTCTGAACAGGTTTTGCAAGTTCCAATTCTTTTTAATCAAACGTTACAGGACCCGATATGTCACATTCAAAATTTACGCTTCTTTATTCCATCCGCCATTTTGAATTCTATGTACATTCCAAGATAGATCCAGGTTACTGGATTCTGTATAAGGCCTCTTGTCAGAAAGTTTGTATCCTATCAGATGATTGCAAATTATTAATTCTAGCATTCTGATTGGTTAATAACATCAGTGTTAAAATAATAACCAATCAGAGTTGTTAAAAAAGTGTTTGAAATTATTTTATTATATGTCTACTTTTCAGCATGAACTTTATATAAGGGCTTTCCATATTTTATCCGAGTTCCCACAAGTAAGTGACCAATAGTTTTATTACTTAGACCAACATCGACAAAGTTAGTGATTATTCTGTCTGATATGTCAAATATGTTGAAAGAAGCTTTATTATGATCCAATGTGCCTTTGAACTTTTAGAGGGTTTTATCTTTGAACTGAAAGAGATCATTGTCAAGACATTTTTGTAAGTTTCCCATGGCCAGTGGAATTTTGAAAATATTAAAAATAAATGTTCTCTATGTTCTTTAGATTCGTGATTTAAGTGTTGAAGAAGATTTTTCAGAAACTTTACGTAATCTACTAGATGACCATAAAGATGTAGTAACTTTATTAGCAGAAGGTTTTGCTGAATGTCGTAAACATATTAAGGTAGGATATTTCGAATTCATTTAAAACATCTATGTTCATGTATGTTATAAAATAAATATCTTATATATATTCAGGGGGTAGAGTATGTGCATGTATTTATGAATTATATACTGCAATGGTATACTGCACAAACATGATTAAGATCACCTTTTTTTTTCACTTATATTAACTGTTAAAATGATCAAGATTCCTTAAAACTTGCTTTGGTAGCAGATAGGGCCCTATGTTAGAATTTATATCTGAAAATAATATGAGTCAGTGACAACAGTCTAAACTCTAATGATTGTTCTCTGTGGTGAAATTGCAGGAGAATGGAATGCCAGATTTGTATTCTGATAAGTGATACAGATAGCTGAGGACATGATTTAGAATAAGTATATTCCTATCTGTTGAAATGTTCTTGATTGTCTGATTTGTAGGATGAAAATTTGATCAAAGGATTTTTAGATAAGACCTTGACCTCCAGATTAGGAATACGGATGTTAGCTGAACATCATTTAGGTCTACATATTGAAAAGGTATGTACTTATTTTGTGGTCTTTATGATAAATGTAGTTATTGGATAGCAAACATCAAGTAAATTTGACCTCACTTGGCTTTTTCATAGGATCCCACAAACAGCCTTTATAGTGATGCAGATTAGTTTGAGTTCCAGTATGCTTTATGGATGAAAAAAACTTAATATGTTGTTTTTGTTTTCAAGATATACATTTTGAATGCAGCTGCTTGTTGAAACTTGATAAATTGATGAATTCATTTTGATAGCATTCTTGTCTTTAATACTTTGACCATAAAGTTTGCATTAGTGGAACTCAAACAAATCTGCACAAATTGCTCTTTGGCAAAATTCCAATCGAATTGCTTTATAAGAGGTGTTTGCAGTTATTCCCCTTTTCCAGCAAAAATGAACTAGCAATATTCTTGATCAATTGGGTCTGGTCTGCTTCAAAAAAACATGGTTTTGCGATTTTTTGGTAAAGCAGAATTCAAATTGCTGTCAAGAAACAAACATTGCCTTAATGTCTTCAGTAATACCAAGATATTTGTATGTGGGTCCAAATTGAAAGACCCGAACTGAAGTGTGTGATATACAGCAGATTAAATTGTAGCCTACAGTCTGAAATTGATTTGCAAATTAGGTCACGTAAAACGCAAATTATGATCACATAAAACGCTTTTATGCTGTAAGTTCATTTTGAAAATCAGGTTTGACAAGATAAGGTTTTAGTTTTTGACATAAAAGGCTGTTGAATTTTTTGTTTGTCATTATTATTTTGGCCCTATTGTTAGAAAACTGTATTTTTCACAGCCTAACTACGTTGGAATTGTCAATGTTGGTTTTTCGCCTCGAAAACTTATTGAAAAGAAAGCAGATTTTGTAAGGTGAGTATGTTAGGTTTGAGGCTGTATTTTTGATAATTTAATTCCACATGGATTTTAATTTTTAACTATTAACAAAATTTTTAATGTTTTTTTTCATAAATGATTTTGCCTGTCCATCTGTCATAGTTTTGCATTTTGCAATAGGCAGCATTCTTCAAATTGTATGGACTGATCCAAAATGTGTCAAACTTGGTTTGTGAACACTATAGAAGATATGCCTTGGATCAGACTTTGCCCGTCTTCATTAGCCCACATGGTGCAGAACTGTAGGATGTTTCATTTCATTTCATTTCATTTGGATCAGACTTTGATTAAGCTTGGCATGATTATGTACATGGAGTTACTGTCCTTAACTCTGCCAAAATTTAGTCACAGGAAGTTGGATTTTGGAGAAATTTGGCAACATTTCTCGGTTTTGAATGGTTCTGATAAAGATTGATGTTTGCAAAAATGCATCTTATTGACTTATAATTGATGTAACCACAGTTTTGATGAAACAAGATAAACTTGATTAAAATAATGGATGCTCTGCTCTTTCAAAAGGTCAAGGTTGCAAATTAGCTAATTTGTGGGTGTATGCCGCTAGGGGTTGAAGGTCATGACTGTTATTCACTCACTGGTTCAATAATTATCATCCTACTTACTCCAAACCAGCAACTATAATTCCTCTGCTTTGCTCCATGTAATTGTTGGCATAGTCTTATGCTTAAGCATTAAGATAAAAAAAAATATGATTCATCAAAAATTGTTTGGAATGAAAATTTTTTGATCACAACAAAATTTTGAAATATTAAAACAGAACCTGAAAAGAAAATATTATTTAGATCATTTCACAAGTCTGTTTTTTTCTAATAGCTCTGTTTGTCAAACCAAATATGGTAGCACACCATTAATCAAACTAAATGGCCATGTTGGAGCTCAGTTTCCCTATATCGCTCCACCATTAGATTATATTCTAACAGAACTATTGAAGAATGCCTGCAGGTAAAGTGATATTGATTGTTATTATTTATTGATAAATTAGCTATTGTTTTTCACTCTGACCTCTAAATTACTTCGTCTGATTACATTTGTTTAGTGCTGAGGTCACCACATGCTCTGTTTGATTGAATTGTTTAGAATCCTAGCTATTGAGGACTCCATATTATGTTCTGTTTGATTCAATAATTCTACTTAGGACTCCATATTGTCTGTTTGATTCAATCTTTCTACTTAGGACTCAATATTGTCTGTTTCATTGAATGATTGAATGATTAGAATCCTAGCTATCTAAGACTCCATATTATGTTCTGTTTGATTCAATCTTTTAGAGTTCTGTCTCTTAGGACTCCATATGGTCTGTTTGATTCATTCTTAATGAGTCTTCTCTATTTACAAATGGCCTACCGTGAAAGTTTCACCAGCACTGTGCAACATGTACTTAAGTTGCAATATTACTATCACTTGACAAATCTTTCTCAAGAAGACATTACCAAGACAGATTCAGCTGTGTTGAACACATGTCAATAAGAAAATAGAATTTCAAATTAATGATTTAATAAAATTGCTCATACAACAGATAAATAATGGATGAATTTTTGTCCTTAGCTGCCATGATGTGTCTTTGATAAGCTTAATTTAAACAGTATTAGATACAACTGGCAGATCAATAAAATATAATGATTTATTTATAAAACACAGAAATGATTCCTAAGACTTTCAATTAAATCTATGTTAACCTGTCATAGAAATGGGATAGCAAGATAGCAGTACCTTTGGCTGTTGAACTATCTTAAGGGATACATTGACAAAAATTAAGAAGCAAGCATTCTCCATGAAATTTTAATGTGTATGTCACAAGTAGGCCTATACAGTTTCAGTTTTACAGAACGTTTTTTTTTCACTATTTCAGAGCAACTGTAGAATCTCATGTTGATAACTCACAAAACTTACCATCAGTAAATGTTACTATTGCTGTTAATGATGAAGATTTTGTCATCAGGTAAGTTTACAGCCCATCAAACCAGCTCTACCTAGTGCTTTATATATGCTATATCCCCGGTTCCCAACCTGGGTGTTTTCACCCCCTGGGGGTGTGGGACTAGGGTGTCAGGGGTGTGGAAAACAGGTGTAGGAGAAGAATTTGTTTTGAATTGATAGAGCACCTCACATCATCACATGCTGGAAAATGTGGATGTAACAAATTTTTGGGGGTGTGAAAGGTCCAGGTGATAGCTCCAGGGGTGTGAAGGCTGAGAAAGGTTGGGAACCACTGTGCTATATGGATCTGATCTTATCACAGGTTGGGTCAGACATCTATTGTAACATTACCCTACCTGTGACAAAATCACATTCATTTACCAAGTTTGAGGAACTTGGTAGGGAGAATTTGAGATACAGGTGATCCATAACCTAATGTCAACCAATGTAAATTGTATTTTTATGCAAAAGGTCAGGACTCTGTTATCCACAAATCATTTGATTGAAATATCTTCTTAAAATCAGACCTAAAATAAATTTCATTTTGTTATCATGAATTTCATATGGAATTTCACCACAATTCCTGTAGTCTTTAAAACAATTATTATATGATCTTAAACTGGCCAATAATGATCTAATCTTAGAAAGAGTAAATGTCATATCGAGATAAGAATTATATGGTTAATAAATGAAAATAATGAGATATATTGATAGGTTACAGTTCAATAACAACATGTATATATGATATATAATAAGGTAACAGATGTTATACTGAGTTATAGTGATAATTACAAATAAAAATCTTTTTTTTCATTAAACATAGGTCAGGGAGTTCAAAACATCTGCCTCTTTTCCTGCCTCAAATAGCTTTTTTAATAATTGTCACCTACAGTAGGGTCAGAAAAAATTTGTCTTTTTATATGGGGATTTATATGCACCTCCCAAGGTTCAGTGGTTTTAAACAATTATTAACCTTAAATCCACCAAACCCTGATATATTTGGTAAAGTTCAGTTATATCCCCATTTTTCCCTACACCAATTATGTCACGTGTGTGGTTTCAACCATAGTTTTTTTAAACAAAACTAATCTCTCACAGCCCATCAAAGACTGTGTGTTCAGCCCAAGATCAAGGGTTACAGGATACTAACAAAACACAAGTAGGAGTAATGCCCTAGCATCAGAGAATTGGATTCAAGGTAAATAAATGTGTCTAAAAAAACATGCACCTTCAGAGAGACTGAAAGTCCCCATAAAACAGAGCCTGTTACTGACCCTCTTAGCTGACAACTTTCACAATAGCAATCTAGCTTGAAAAGAGATTATAGGGGAAGTTTGGAACTAAAAGTCAGACTGTAGCTCAGTTAGTAAGAGCTTTGAAGGAGCTATTGCATTTTTTTTAAATGAATGGTGTCCCTGGTTTCTGATCTTGTTTTCAAATATCTTGTGACCCTTAATAAGAAAAGTGTTTAAATGGCATTTAGAATTGTAAGAACAATATATAGGCACAACTTTATGGAGTAACAATTACTGGTTTTATGCAAGGCACATTATAAGTAATTTTTCATTCAATCCCTACAACCTTGCTGGGTATGGATAATCCAGTGAAGATCAAAGCAAGGAGTCAAAACTTCAGCAGGACACAAGCCCACCTTTCTTATAATTTAATTTTACAGTGTTGTTATCTTAAAGACCACACAACATGAAACTGTCAGTGAGTAACAATGTTGAACTTTAGTAGGGATAAAGGCTTAATTAGTTGAAAAGATTTCACAGCATGAAACTCTGAGTAACAATGCTGACTTAGTCCAGTGGTCTCAATATTGCATAATGTGTGACTTAGAGAGTATGACAAGCTCCACTTCAGTTGAGATATGGGATTAAATGATCTATCTGAAGATTGTAAAATAGTCCAGTTGTGTTGTCTTGTCAGAACATGAAACTCTGTGTGACAATCATCAGTAGGGATACAAACTGATATAGTCCATCTGTCTACAAATTTCAACAGTGACACTGTCTGAAATAGTCTACCTGTCTACAAAGTTCAACAGTGACACTGTCTGAAATAGTCTACCTGTCTACAAAGTTCAACAGTGACACTGTCTTAAATAGTCTACCTGTCTACAAATTTCAGCGGGGACACTGTCTGAAGTAGTCTACCTGTCTACAAATTTCAACAGAGACACTTTGATATAGTGCAGATGTCTACAAATTTCAACAGTGGCACTGTCTTAATTAGTCTACCTGCCTACAAATTTCAACAGGAACACTGCTGAATTAGTCTACCTGTCTACAAATCTCAGCTGGGACACTGTCTGAAATAGTCTACCTGTCTATAAAGTTCAACAGTGACGCTGTCTTAAATAGTCTACCTGTCTACAAATTTCAACAGGGACAATGTCTGAAATATTCTATTAATGTCAACAGGGACACTGTCTAGAATAATCAACCTGTCTGCAAAATCCAACTGTCTGCAGAAACAAGGATATTGTGTCTGAAATAGTCTACCTGTCTACAAATGTCAACAGGGACACTGTCTTAAATTGTCTGCCTGTCTACAAATTTCAACAGGGACAATGTCTGAAATAGTCTATTAATGTCAACAGGGACACTGTATAGAATAATCAACCTGTCTGCAAAATCCAACTGTCTGCAGAAACAAGGATATTGTGTCTGAAATAGTCTACCTGTCTACAAATGTCAACAGGGACACTGTCTTAAATTGTCTGTCTGTCTACAAATTTCAACAGGGACATTGTCTTGAATAGTTATAAGTTAGTCCAGTTGTTATAAGATCATCCACACAGTTTTAAGAGGACCAAATTGCTATTCAGAGCTGGGAAATAAATTGCTCACTTACTGTTCACTTGCAACTCTGATGCTATTTCAAAGCTATGAAACTAGTTAATATGTTTTGATGAAATACAAGTATTTACTAGGAACAAATGATTTTATTATACAACTTACATTATATTACAGAATATTTTACACCATGATAATTATAGTCTTATATCATCTTGTCCTCACTTCAACACTTTCTATATATTCCTTGCTGGACAGTTTAAATCTCTTCCATTTTCACAAAATTTTAAGCCTTTTCCAACTGTTCAGCTAAATCCATCAGGTGAAGATCGATATTCGTAAGAACTTGATGTATCGTTGGTATTCGATTGACGACTGGATAATTGAGCTACATCCCAATATGCGCGACCACTATACATATTCACATCCTCACTTTGTTTTAAGGCATTCCATCGAAGTTTATTAATGGGAGGGAGTATAACTGGAGTAATATCAGAAGATCGAGGGCTGTTACAATTGCTGCTGCCACCCAGTTCACGTCTGGAACTTAGCTGACTTCCACTTGATCCCCTACTAGTTAGAGATCTAGGTGTAGTTATTGCAGGCAACACGTTAAATGTCTTTGATGCCACTTTCTTCTCCTGAAGCAATCCATTGAGTGGATTAAAAAGTTCTCTTGGTTTTTCAGGAAAACTGCTGACATCATGTTTGGATAAGATTGTTTTTTCACGTTGAAGATAATCTTCTGAGATAACTATATTTTCGTTGTCATGGTGATTTTTTTCGTACACACTGTTCATATATGGGGCATGATTTTGATACAGACTACTGCGGCGTGAACTTTGGCCTGAAGAATGGCGTGAAGATAATTGAGAGGCTTCACGACTAGAGGTCAAACGATAAGTCTGGTTGCCAACGCTTGGATTATTTTCGATGTTGTTATTCATTTTCACACTTTCCGAAACATCTGAAAAAAATTACGTTTTTTGTTTGAAATATCACCTCCATTTGCTAATCATGACAATACATAGGGGACTTGAGGATATGAAATAAGGTGCAAAAAGCATAATCTGATAAAAATGACTATTCTATTTTGGGATCAAAGAAATGCTTTTCTTATATATTGGAAGAGAGAAATTAAATGGAGGAAAAAACCTTAGGTCAAACCTCTTAGTCAGTATGAAATGGAAAGAGTGTTTAGAATCTAAAAATTTGAAACTTACGAAAAATATTATATTTCCATTATACATTTCACAATTACATGTTTGCGTTTGTTGACATTTTTTGCCAATGGTTTCCTAGTAGATCTGAGATCCCTTGCCTGACTAATTCCTCACAACATATATAACTGTCCATAATCCACAGTAAACATCCAATCAGATCTCTTGAAACAAATCAGATATTGATATTTCCCAGTAATTAACCAACCATATAACACAATAGAAAACACTTGTTATTTAACACTATTATCAGATTTATACCCACTAAGTCTGTTATGGCCTTTTTATGAATTAATCAGATTTTATGTACTTTCTATTTTCACAATCAGCTTGTTCTCTTGAGTCCTTTATTGGATATACTGTTCACAAATCAACTCCTAACACCAAATCCTAACCTCAAATTTCATTTTGATAGTAAAGATTCTATTTTTAAAAAAGTGCTCAATCTATATATTAGTACAAATAATCACACTTGGTTATTAATATAAGAATAAGTAATCTTTCTGGCTCTGTACAAGTAATCACACTTTCGCACTATCTGGTTCTATATATAAGTACAAGTAATCACACTTCTTTGATATACAAGTGCAACTTATCACACTTTCTGGTTCTATAAACAAGTACAAGTAATCAAAGTAATCACACTTTCTGGTTCTATATATAAAAATTTGTACAAATAATCACACTTTCTGGTTCTATAAACAAGTACAAGTAATCAAAGTAATCACACTTTCTGGTTCTATATATAAAAATTTGTACAAATAATCACACTTTCTGGTTCTATAAACATGTACAAGTAATCAAAGTAATCACACTTTCTGGTTCTATATATAAAAATTTGTACAAATAATCACACTTTCTGGTTCTATAAACAAGTACAAGTAATCAAAGTAATCACACTTTCTGGTTCTATATATAAAAATTTGTACAAATAATCACACTTTCTGGTTCTATAAACATGTACAAGTAATCAAAGTAATCACACTTTCTGGTTCTATATATACAAATTTGTACAAATAATCACACTTTCTGGTTCTATAAACAAGTACAAGTAATCAAAGTAATCACACTTTCTGGTTCTATATATGAAAATTTGTACAAATAATCACACTTTCTGGTTCTATAAACAAGTACAAGTAATCAAAGTAATCACACTTTCTGGTTCTATATATAAAAATTTGTACAAATAATCACACTTTCTGGTTCTATAAACATGTACAAGTATTCAAAGTAATCACACTTTCTGGATCTGTATATAAGTACAAGAAAATGTACATTTTGGTTAACAATGAAGTAGAATAATTTAAACCATTTCTTGTTCAAAGAACAATTAACAGGATGTAAAAGTAAACACACTTTCTGGTTATATAAACAGGAATAGTAACAAGGTCATTCCTGTCACATTCCTTTATAGTCAGTGAGTAAATGTCTGATAGTCTTCAATTATTCACAGTTAATAGTCTTCTCTTGTTAAAGATACTCTTGTTCTTTACTACAGATTTGTTACTTCACCAAATAATACTGATATTAAAATAAGATAATATGTTTGATTAATATAAATTCCATATAATTTTGGCACTTCTCCAGTTCGGTTAATTTTGTAACAAATTTTAATTGTCACTGTGTGTGATCTGTAAGACTAGTGTCACCCTGAAGTCAATCTGGAATCAGTATTATCAGCAGTAATTTGTCTTACATTTCAGAATATCTGATCGTGGCCATGGTATACCAAGTAGTGTGGTAAATAGAGTCTGGGATTATAATTTTACTACGTCTGGTACTATATCAGATGATCGTTTGGATGGTGGATTGTTTGGTCAGGTGATGAATTCCTCTCAGAATAGTGCTATGCCTGGTAAAATGCATGGGTAAGTGTTCTATCTATGTGGAAGGAGATTGATATAAGTATTAGCCGTCCAATAATCAAATATATTTGAATAAATAAAAATATGGGAACCCATCTTTAAGTTAAGCTGAAAAAACATGATGTAATATAAAGTTACATTTCTTTTGATAGTGAATTAATTTAAATAAACCATGTCTTTTATTTCAGGTATGGCTTTGGTCTACCAACTTCATTAGCTTATTCTCAGTATCTTGGAGGAAGTCTGACTTTAGAAACCATGCCAGGTATTGGAACAGACGTCTATTTACGTCTAGCACATATTGATGGGAAGAAAGAGAGTTTCCGTATCTATGACAATAAATGTCACTGAATCTTGGTAAAGAATTTCACCATTTTATTTCTACCCAATTATTAGGAGGCTTTGATGTACATGTATCAGCTTTTTAAATCTTACTGCTCATCCGAGTCCATTCCAAACATAAACATGACTAGTCCATTTCATTTATAGGTAGAATAAATAGTAATAGATACTATACAGACTAAACTTATATTGTGTTGAATTCTACTTAGACTACCTAAAAATATAGTGGACTGGTTGTGTTTATGTTTTGGAACGAATCAATCAACTATATCAGTTCATTAGATATTAATGAATTATTGTTATGGTTGAAACTCTTCATTATGAAAGCATTATTTGAAGTGAAGCAATAAGACATATTGGTATTATGATTGTGACGTAGTAGGGGACTAATGCTTCCGTGTAAGTTTCAGTTCGTCAAGTGCATCACTTTGACACATTTTAAATTTAATGTCATTAATGTAGTAATAGGAAACATGATACAATATGTGAATTTTAACAAATTATTGCTTTGTTGTTGTGCAAATTGTGTGCCAATGACATTGCAATGAATTCAAGCGCTGGTATTTAATGCCTAATGTGTCAGTTGACTTGGCTTTGATATTTATTACATATTAAGTTTTGTTAAGATTAAAATGTTTGTTTATTTACTGTATGATATTTAATAAAGTGAATTCGTTGTCGTTGTTTTCAGGGAAAATATCAATCTAAAAATATTTTAGACCTATATCTTGATTATACAAACTAACATTAATATATATGTTTTAACTATATCAGGAATCCAAAACCAAAATAAGAAATAATACTAGTCACAGCTTGATACTTCGCTTTTAAACTTATGTAAAATGAACACATACTGAAGTCGTAAATCTGTACAGCATGGATTTTGTAATTTTAGATTAATTATATCTTTGATTTCTTTTTGAACAAATAATTTCTGTTATATGAACAAACACATTTATATTTTTACATTATATCGGGTTTAATAAAATAGTTAGTCCTTTTACATCAATTACATGTATGACAACCAAGACAACAATTGCATATAATCAAGACTACAATTGATATTATAGCATTTGGTGCAATTAGGCTATTATTATGACCTCAGTATGTCAAACATGCAAATCAAGTGATATTCTGTGTTCTGTAGTATTTAGGTTATGTAATTTAAAACATACCATAGGTAATTTACGCTATCAAAGGAATGAAAAATGTTTTCTGGCCTCAATTAGAAGTTAAATTTTCCCAGAAGCAAATATCAAGTCAAAGAAAACTCTTTGCAAAGTGTTGATTAAATGTAGTAAAGAATTAATTTCATTTATGTTATTTGTATTACCATTTTCTGTTTTGCCTTTTTTTTTGATATTCTTAAAGAAACAATGTATATAGCTTATGCCTTGTACTATTGTTTATGTATCATTTTTGGGTTGTATTCCTTTGCAAATCTATAGCTCATTGTCACTTATCATAAGGGAATTGTAGTATTTTAACAATAATTTTATTAATGAAATATTTTAATGAAATATATTATGTGTATCATATACACTATGTATGTATATGATTGTGTGGATTAGATACATATTTACTGTTCTGGTGTATAGGTGTGTATCATGTATCATATGTTTATGTTTCTGATAAGAAACAATGAATTTGATGCCAAATATTCATATTAATGTATTCATTGATATTTCATAAAAGTTCTGTTAATTATGGTCGCAAAAAGTGATGTTTTTAATGATTTTGAACATCCTGTTGAAAATGTATTTAAATAAGCAACATATAATCTTGTTCAGAAGTATTTCTATATCGCTTTACAATTGATGTATTCAGCAATCTTGTTAAGAAAAGTAACAGTTAATCCTGTTTAAAAAGTAACATATAATCCTGTGTAAAAGAGTAACATATCCTGTATGGAAACGAGGTAACTTCAACAAGATTACTGTATGAGTGAATATTGTATATATATAAATTATAATTGCTTATATAGTATCAAAAAGTGAAATCAAAAGCTGTAATTTATAAAGAATCTCATAATTAGTCATAGAAATAGATTTATTTGATGTAATATGTAAAACTGTTACAAAGGATGGTTGAACTTTTGTACCACACAGAAAAAGGATTTTCTTCAAACTGGTTTCTGTAATTTTAGAAAAACCTGATAAAATTATGTTACCATATCCAAACAAATTTAGACTGAATAAGTGATAATGTCATCATATTTGGACGGGAATAGTAATGTAAATAGAGACAATAGATGTGGGCAAGACAAGAAAAGCACTTTAATGAATCTCATGATAGTTATTTCACTTATGATTTGATTTTAAATTTAGCATTTACATGAAAAAAAAAAAAAGGATTCAGGAAAAGCTTATCCATGTCATTGAAATACTAATGATATTATTTCTATTATTTTTAGTCTTATTTTGAAAAAGCTATATAAATCATATATATATCCTCTGCTTTTTTGCAATTTTGCAATTCTGAAAAAACGCCATTTGTATCTCATCTTTATGCTATAGCATTGGTGGCCTCATACATGCGTTTATGTTTTCTTGTACACAAACCACTAGTAATGATTTGAAAATATTCAGTCAATTCTGAATTGAATATAGATTGTTTATGTTGATTCTATCAGTTCTTATTATATATTATAATCAAATTTCATATTTTTTAACTATTAGTTTTGATATTCTACTATGTAGAGTACTATGATTAATTTTGTAGGATGAATTATTCTCATGTTTTCATCTTCATTAAAAAAATGTAGCATAGAGTTGAGTCTTTTGTTTTTCTTAGAAAGAGCAAGAGCCAGCATTGTGAATGCACTGATCACAGCAGTTTTGTTTTGTTTAAAAGGTTGAAGCCAAAATCACAGATGGACTTTGCAAAGTTTTTGTCAGCCAATGTTAAGAGGATCCTTTTTAATATCCCAGCCAATTCCAATCACCTCTTTATGATGTGCACACTAAAATACATATCTTGAAAGTTCTATGTTTTAATGATAAGTCTAGACAATATTGTTCTTTGATCATTTACAAAATTTACATATATCCAGTAATTAGCTTTAGGACATCCATAATTTAAAGTAATTCTTAAGCATCAAGATTTCTTGTTCATTAAAGGTGAACAGTCAGTATTTTGGGATTGATTTGGGTCTTGAATGTGCTCTAAGTACTAAAAATGCATCACTGTCTATTCCAATATATGTGTTTTCTAAATATGGCATAGTCTCACTAAAATTTGAGTCTAATTTTTAACTTTCAAACGTGAATAATTATGAATGCACATGGATTTGAAGGCTCAAACACTATTGAACACTATTACTGATTGTGTAAGCTAAAAATATTCCTGTTTGTGAAACTAAAGTATGATTGGTCGAACACATAGTGAAGGTTCTCCTTTAAAGAACTTTGTCTACTTTATTAGTGGAATTCTGGTATATTCTTAAACATTTAACAGTTTTGAATTTGACAAAATTTTGTCGAATTGCCTGAATGAGGAGAATTTCTTTAGGTTGATAAAATATCACGACCTGCATTTTAACCAGATTGCTATACTTCAACTTTTTTTTTATCTCCAATTTGAAGTCTAAAATGGATCTGAATTCAGGAATACACAGCAACAATATACCTTGCCTTCTGTACATGTTTAAGTTTTTACTATGATTTTCATTTCGGTAGAATTCATGATCAATTTTTTAGGACTGAAAGTGTCCACAAACTTCTGTATAGACAGCCGATTTATTTTGGGACAGCTTTTGAAAGTCAATGACATTAAAGATGAACATGATTTGAAAGTGAAAGCTACGCTGATATCAGTAAGCTGATTGCAGCCAGATAGATCCAATTCTTTGATGGTTGAGGTCAATGGATTAGATCCTCCAAATAGGGTCTCAATCCCAGCATCAGTTAGTCTCATACAGTAACTTAGTCCAAGTTTTTCCAGAAATGTCATATGCTGTACAATTAGTTCCAGGGACTGATCTGTAATTTCACAACCAGATAGATCCAAATTTCGCAGATGGCTTAATCGACTTACATCCAGAACTCCAGGTCTACCATCAACAGGTGGCAGCACTAAATCTCTAAAACAATTTTCACGAATTCCTACTGCCCATTTCAAAAGAAGAGTTCGTAACAATGGGCAGGAGGATGAACACAGACCACAAACTGTTGCCCAAGAGCAATATGTCAGATCAAGTTTTTGAAGTCGTGGGAGACGTGCAACTAACCAAACAAGTTGTTTCTGGGATATGACACTTGAAACTAAAATCAAATTAGCTGGCTGTCTTTTCACAATGCCTATTAAATGTACTTGTTTGAGACGTTTGCGAGACAAGTCAATAGTTGTCCACAACTTCCTGTCCAAACACCACCAATTCCAAGTTTTACACACTGCCATACACATGCTTAAATCACTTTCATTAAGATAAGCAAATATTTGCATCCAAAGCAACCGATTCAGAATGTGTTTCTGGCCATTTTGCAGTTCCACATGAGCAGGAGGAGCCTGAAGTGGAGCTGGTCTAACGACATATTTTTCCTGAACATGTTGAGACTCTTTCTCTTTGTCCAACATAAGAGGTCCTTGTGTTTCAGTTTTTCGTAATTTGGGTACAGGATTTTCATACAATTGACTGCGCACTGTTTTTGAGTCATTTGTTTTGGTGGATGTTCCAGCAGATTCATATTGACTACTGGATTTCTTTAAATGGCTACTCTGTTCACCTCTTCGATCACTACCAGTTTTGGAACTTTCTAACTTTATTTTGGAGCGTTTGATTCGACTTGGGCCTGGTGAATCTGTTCTCTGGCTCTCTGGTGAGATACTCTGTAAAAACGAAGAAAGAAAGTCAAAATAGTGATCGAAGGGGTTACCAGATTTTACTGTCAAGCCATTTTCTCTGTTCTTGAACTTTAACCTATCTGTAGATTTTGATTTGTGTCAATCAAAATTTCATGAAAAACTAACAAGGTATATTTGAAAATGGTATCATTTTATTTTGAAAACTCAACACTAATTAATTCAAACTTTTGAATCAGGGAAAATAATTAACAGTAAAATCTGGAATGAAAATGAAATTCGAAAATTTTAAATGAAAAAAAAATTTAGCACATTCTTAACTGAAACAAGTGAATCAAGTTTGAAGTTGGACATCATATTATAGTCATATATCATATTATAACAACCCACAGAATTAGCAGACAATATCTCAATGTTTCAATAACGAATATAACGTTTTTAAAAGTGAAGTATGAACCATATACAGGTGCACTTAAGTTCTGACAGAAACTATTACACACATAATAGTACAAGGTCTTTGGTCTGTAGGTTTTACAAATATGACTAACAGACTAAATATTTGTTTCATAATCTGAGCTTAATTTCAGCTATCCTTAACCTTTTTAATAGAAGCATTATACATCAGAAAATGAAACACGAGCTCTGTCAGCTGGTTAAGCAAACCTTAACATGTCAATGCTGTACTTGTAACAAATCAAAACAGAAGAACTGAGTTATTCACCAAACAACCATATAAAACTATGGTTTTGATCTTTTACGTACTAATTTATCAATGCAGGGCTTGAATAGAAAGATGGAAATCAAGAACTTAGTTTATGTAATTTCTTAGGGTTACTAACTATTAGACTACTTGTCATCCATGATCTTATGAAATTATTATGTAACGGTACTAAAATATTCAACCAATCGTATGCCATGTTAGCTTGTATCAGCAGCTCACATTTTACAGTCAGACTACCATTACAAAACATGATACAATAAGGTCAGAAATCAACTGACTTCGATTTCAACAAGAATTTCACGAGATCATGGATGATTATATAAGTAACCAAACAGAAAAACATGAAACAAAATATATAGGTCTACTTAGTAGATAATATTAAGTTTTAAGCCAATTCAAAAGATCATAAATACCACAAAATTACTAACACAAAAATAAGATACATAGTCATTAACAAAGTTGACAAAACTAACAATTACAAATGATATATACAGTGATATCTAATGATATGATTACAAATGATTTGCATATTCAAATTTTGTAAGTACATGTACTTTGATATGATACGGTCTGATGAGCAAACCGTGGGCCAGCCTGTTTTCTAGGGTGGGCCAGAAGTGATATGAAAAGATCAGATTTTCTGTCAAATGAATGAACAAAAAAGAATAAATAAATAATTACAAACAAGGACTGTTGATTTGATCAAAGCATTTTGCCTAGTGAATCTTTTTGGGGAAGTATTCAAGATAATGACCTATTCTTTTTTGAATAATTTTAGAACTTTTTTATGATGGAATTATTCAAATCAACAGCCTGTATTACAACATAAATTACAAACAAAATATACAACATGAAACGAAATATACAACATGAAACGAAATATACAAAATGAAACAAAATATACAACATGAAACGAAATATACAACATGAAACAAAATCAACAAGTCCTATTCTAGACCTATAACTAATTCTGACAAATTCTACAAAAAAAAACCAGTTTAAGTCATAAAGTCATCAAAATATTTCCTTTTACAGCTGGTAGGGCACATGTTTAAACTATCCATACCACTTTTCAGAATAAAAACCTGACACCCAGTTCTCTTACAATAGAACAAAAGCTTACTTTAAACTACTATCACTTCGTGAGCACTATGAACTTTTTTCTGTTTAGTTATTACAAATAATCACAATAACTCAAACACTCAAACTGGTCAAGGTTGAAGTGATGATGAAGTATTTGTTGAAAATTAGAAGAACCAGACAATGAATTTGACTGATGAAAAATTCTATAGATAAATTAAATAGGTGAAATCAGATGTTAAAGCAAAAAATTTGTACAACTTTATGTATATCCCTTTCAAATTTAAAATAGATTTTCCAGGAAAGAAATGAACTTCTTTCAATAGTTGAATAATCGCTTCAGTCTGGTACTTGCATCTCTTTTTCTGTACTTGTGTCTTTGAAGCTTTGACTTTGAACACATGGCTCACTTTTTTTTTTTAGATATTTTCTCATCTTGACTGATCTTCAATTCAAATTAATTAAGTCTATGCTAAGTTGGTTTAATATAATTAAAACTAATAAAGTAACTGTTCTATGGGATATATTTTTTTCAATCTTTTTTGTTTGATAAATACATGATACTGAGGGAACATCAAAATGTTTATGATTTCTGTATAAAATGTTTGTAGGTCCCTATTATGTTGATTTCATTCTAGTATTTCTAAGCTGTAAACAGAAGAATTAAATTGTATTATAAACTCTACATGAAAATTTCAACCTTGCACATAAATATTTTTAGCATCAATTTGCACCATTCCAATTTTCATTCTGACATCTGTGGTTCTTGCAATTCTACTAAAACATCACTAAAGGGGAGCTATCAGAATATATATACAGTTCCCTCTAGTGATGTCATAAAACGTGTTTTAGTGGAATTGCAAGAACCACAGACATCTGATTGGAAATTGGAATGGTGCAAAAGTTTAGAAAGCCCCTTTACAATCCCTTTAATATGCTAGTCAATAATAACATTCAATTTATATATGAATTAAAATCTTACTTTTAAAATTATACTATCTCTCACTAACAAATCTGAATTATGTTAAATTAACAAAATAACTTTAAGTGCTTTTATGTTGTTAGTATTAAACTGAATGTAAGAAATAAAATGAAATGAATGGCGTTTTACGTCCTACTTTTCTGCACCATGTGGGCTAATAAAGACGGGCAACGCCATGCAGGGTGTGATGAGGAAAATTTTGCCAGGACAGCGGCATTAGCCTGCTTTTTTTCGATTTCCAACTGTCGAGGCATCTTTAACGTCTCAATGCAAGTGTCAAGTTATAAACACATGAGTTTTATGTCATGTTCACCTGAGGAAATTGGGGAAAAAAACTGTAAATAGCTTTGTTTTTAATGCAAGGCCAGCCAGTGTTGACAACATTTTAGCAAAAAAATAAATGGATACTTATCCTTACTTAAATAGCAATTAAATTGTTATTTAAATAAATACATGTACACAAATCATAGATATCAATAACAGTCCAACTTGGTAGTCTACTTTCAAATTTGCATAAAATATGAATAAATTTAAATAATTTAGAAATATTTTATGGAGTGAAATATAAAGCATAAAGTGAAATGATGTAAAATATTTTTCTTAAATGTAATGCGAAATGATGGTATCTATGGTTACAACAGTATGATTTTGAATTGATGGTATCTGTGGTTACAAGAATGTTTAAAAATGTAGTTATCTATGGTTACAAGAATGTTTAACAATGTAGGTATCTGTGGTTACAAGAATGTGTTTAAAAACTAGGTATCTATGGTTACAAGAGTTATGTGTTTGAAATGATGGTTTTACGTCCTACTTTTCTGCACCATGTGGGCTAATGAAGACGGGCAACGCCATGCTGGGTGCAATGAGGGAAATTTTGCCAGGACAGCGGCATTAGCCTGCTCTTTTTCGATTTCCAACTGTCGAGGGATCTTTAACGTGCACAGCCTGTAGCACACAGGGCCTCGGTTTATTGTCCCATCCGAACGACTAGACGCTTTTTCCATTTCAGCCCCTCGTACCTGCATCACTGACAGGGGGAAACTGGGTTGATACAAGAATGTGAAATGTTGGTTTGAAATGTATGGAATCTATGGTTACAAAAATGAGTATTTTAGATTTATGTTAACTATGGTTACAAAAATGTGTGCTTAAAATAGTTGGTTTCTATGGTAACAAAAATGTGAAATATTAACAAGTGTAAACATGAACTTTAAACTATAGACAATACATGCAAGAATTACAAATATATAAAACATTTTTTAACAAACATATGAAAATATAAAATTTACATCATGCATAACCCGTGAATCCAAACTTAAATCCCAAATACAAGTGATATGATCTGAGGCATATTAAATAAATATCTTCCCAAAATAATGTCAAAAAACATTGTTGTGAATTTAGCAACTCTTTGCAACAGTAGGCCTATATCTCTACTAGAATAGTTGTTACACCAATGGGAATTGAATTCTTTAAATATACCTCATGAAATCCAAATAAAGCCATTGAATGAATCAACACCAAAGTAGATAATTTAGACTCTGATTTGTCTTTCTGGTTCAAAATCTACTTCCAGTTTACACATTCATTGGCTTTATATGAAGACTATTTTCCTTGCTTCCATTGGAAATATTATGTGAAACATTTTCACTTTTTGTGAAAATGTCAACAAATTTTGTGGTTGTTAGTAATTTGTCCGCTTTTCCTAGGACTGGAATACAATTTTTTAGTCTAAATAGCGCCGAGGCAATACTACCTCTCGTTTTGGTCTTTTACTTGACAAATCTATGTCATCTGCTGCCAGTCTTTTAACTTGTGGATTTCGACCAGATCTCGTGAATGAGGGAGATTCTGCTTTGACTTTTTCTATTTTCACTGGAGTAGTTTTCACCTGAAATGAAAGGAAATGTGGAAATGAAATGAAATGTTGAAATGAAATATGGAAATGAAATGTTGAAATGAAATGGTGGAACGAAATGTTGAAATGAAATGAAAAAGGATTTCACCTGAAGACAAATTGATTATCCAGACTAATTCCCAGCAAAAGTCAAATCAGAGCAGATTTCAGATATCTCTCTGCTAGATATATGTTTCCAATTTATAAAGCACATTTTCTTACCTTTTTAGTAGTTGTGGTTTCTTTGTTCTCTTTTGTTGGAGTCATTTTATGTTTCTTCACCAATACTTGTGGTTTCTTATCAATAATTTCTTTTTTAACAGTCAAAGGAGGAAGAGTACTAGGCCCTGGTTTAGGACTCTCTGATGGTGAAGGTGTTTCCTTAGATACCACCCTTTTACCTTCAATGGGAGTTACCTTGATATCATCTGTATCATAGGCAGACTCACTGGCTTCTGATGACCGTCTGCTTTCTATTTTACCTTTTGGTTTTGGTCTAGTCTATAACATGGGAGATACAATTTAAAATGGTGAGATTTACAAAAGCAAAAACAGTTTAACTACAAGAGACCTTCTTAATTTGTCCAATTTTATAAAGGACAACCAATTGCATATCACCTGTCATTGAAAGACTTGCAAAGTAGTGAGTAACCATTAGGGGTCTTACTTAAAGGTACTAAAATATGTTGTCTGCAATTGGTTCTTCTTTCTTCTCTAATTTCACAGCCAAAGTTTGGTCAAAGTTAATTTTTTTGAAGATTTTTTAGCAAGTCAAATGTCTAGCTATTGTTAGCCATTTGTTGCCTTAATCTTTATAGCAACAAATACCAGTGATTGCTGTAGCTTTGTTTATGATCAATAACATGACAAAATATTGCCAAAATGTATTTACATGTACCTTCAACTGGCCTTGTTTACCATCTTGACAACATTTTGGACATTCCCAACTACTAGGTATATCTTCGTTAACTACACCCTCTACATCTAGATCTTCAAACTTCTTCTTGAGACATTCAGGATGAACAATTTCCCAGCAGATACCACATTCCATGAGGGTAGTGATAGATTCATCACTGTCTGCTAATTTAATTCGTTGATCTTCTTCACATATCATACAAGTTGCTGTATGTGGTAAAACAGGCTGAGAAAGAAAAGTACAAATTTCTCAATCATATTTTTATGTGTTACTAACTCAATGTTATCAATTTATGAAGTGAAATGATCTCAAATCTACTCAACCAAAAATCTTTTTAGTGAAAAAATCAAGGGATAGGCATGTAAAGTTCAGATACCCAATTTAAAGATGGTGGTTTCTTAGACTTTGCTCCTTTGGATTCATCTTAAACGGTTGCTTGAGGTCTGAAGAAAGAAGATGAAGAACTTACAGCCATACACTGTCTACTGATACAACTCTGTTTCATTCTACCAGGACCACCAAATTTCCTCATATCTTTACAGAAATTACATTCTTCACAATCAGCTCTTGTACATGCTTCACATTTCTTACATCTAGTTCGTCGCCTACGGTTACCAGATGCTTGCTTTGATGAACCTTTTGGTGGTTTTGGGCCTTTTGGCTGTTTATACAGTTTTACTTTCTGAAAATCAATAGAAACCAAAGTTGACTTTAAAGACTTTATGAGCATATTCTACATCAAAGTGTTTTATATGTGCCCAGCATTTCACTTTAAATTCTTGGTCTTTGACAATCTCAGAAAAAAATTCTTGGCCTATTCCATCCCTTGCACATGCATACCTGACAAAGCTTCTGATGTCACATTCAAGAACAAAGATGCGACTCTTGAATGTCAACCTGTTGAAAAGGTCCTCTTCAGATTGTATATGAGAATTGAGGTTAACACCAAATATGACAATGAGTACCTTAATTTCTGATTCTGGCCAGGAACAAATTGGTTCACCAGTTATAGCTAATGTCTGGTCATCATTCTTATGTTCTACCAATATTTGCTGAAAATACATTATTCATATCATATTAACTCTTCTATATTTTCAACCATAAACTATAATGTTTGTCCAACAGCAAACAGAAAGATTTTGTTAATCAGCAAATATGAATTCCATATAGGAATTTTGGAAAATATTCTCAGGAAAAGTTAGGATGAGAAATTTTGACATATCTGAAGCATTTGAGGCTTATAAATAGAAAGTAGATACCAGTACTATTGTATAAACACCAGGCAAAATTGTTGGTTTTTGGCTCAACAACTGTGCGATATCATCTTTCATGTCAAGGAAAATCCCTTTTAAAAATCTTTAAGTTTGATTGGATAATTTAAAAAAAAAAAATACTCATATATATTTTCAATTATGATTGTTTCTGTTTACATTCAAAAAATATAAAAAAAAACAAAAATTGTCACTCATACCTTGATGTCTGCAATAACTGATTCAGGATTCAATAATTCCTTAGGTATGACCCGTTTCTGAACTGGTACATTTTCTACCCATTGTACCAACTTAGCTAGTCCATCTTGTTCAAATTTAGTTAAATATAGTTTCTTTTTTTCCTTGATATCACTGTTTCCATTTGAAGGTTTACTATTTTCCACATCACTAAAACTCCCATCAGAGTCACCACCCTTTAACAACTCTCCTGCACCTTTACGTTTGGGTTTTTGATTAGCATCAATACGTGTTAGCTCTATTGTTAATCGTTGTGAAAGTTTGTCTGATTCCTCTTTTTCTTGTTTCACTTTTGCTGCGTCTGCTTCTTCCAAAGTAATAGAATCCGGATTCCTGGAGGGGGGTCTGGAATCATCATCAAATTGAGATGAATTAGGTGAATCAGGTGCTTCTTCTATTTCCTCCTTTTTCTTCTCATGTTTCTTAAGATATGACTTTCCTGTTAAACAATGAACATATCTTTCCAAAACATACCACAGTATTTCATTGTAAAATGGATAGCGGAACTTTTGAGGTACCTGAAAGAACAGAATAAAATACAAAGTCATTGTTTTACAAATTCAGACTCTTGGTTTTGAATTTTACCAAGACACTCATTCATTTCATAACAGCTATAAAAAATTTAGACAAGCACCATGAAAACTTAAAGAGAAAAAAGAATAAATTTCATAATTTTGTCAAGGATGGCTTAGCAGGTTCTACAAACAATAATTTTTCTCCATTACTGGGTCAACTGGAGTATTTTCAAATGTCAAACTTCAAGCAACAAAAGTATACAGAAATCTTGAAGTCTTGGATTTCAGATCTTAAGCATTACTTTGAATTATGGTAACTTACATGTGTTCTATCTTCTACTTCTGCTACACGTAGTTGTTGTGTGATGTTAAAACTATGTATAAAATTACCTCCAAACACTAGAGAGTCTACCGGTGTATACACAGCATGTATCCATCCTACAAAATACAAATGACATGGATAAGCCATGGACTATTACACCCACCATTAATAATGATGGAAAATTTCAAAAAAATATTATGCACATTTTTGAGCACCATAATGCCAAATCCCTGCCCTGGCACAAACTTTTTGAAACTGATAAAATACCATTAGAATATTTAAGATGAAATTCCTACCTGATGGAATTATGAATGTGTAACCAGCTTTTAGTTCCAGCATCTGGCAAGATTCCACTTGATCTGCCAGGAATACATCCCCTTGTTTTCCTGATAATATCCAGTTCTCATATATAGCTATATTCTTCTCTGTTGGTGGAATTAACCAAAATACCTTTAAAATAAAAAAGGTTTCAATAATCTATAAATTCTTATCTTCTTTAAATACTTATCAAATGAAATGAATGGAGTTTTACATCCTACTTTTCTGAACCTAAATGGCTAATGAAGACCATGAGGGAAATTTTGCAAGGACAGCTGCATTAGTCTTATCAATTTTCGAAATCCTTATCAGGACAACTGGAATTGAAATAAATTCTAATATTATAGATAAGCACAAAATCTTACCTTCTCTCCATGTAAGATATGATACCATACTGAGGTTCCACCAAAATCTATATGAAAATCTGTATAACAGCCTTCAACACTCATTAAACAATATCTAGAAATAACATAATCTATATTAGTACAAAAATACACAAAAAATCTATTTTAGTAATAGAATACACACAAAACCTAGGCTATGTGGCATGCTTTATCATTAAATTCTATTAATTTTTATACTGCCATAAATACAATCATAAATATGATGCAATACAATATATATATAAATATCCTATATACCATGAAAGACTTGAAAATCTCTCTAGTCTAGAATATTCACATTAGACTTTTCAAAAGCTAAATATAATATAGGGTCTTAACATACTTTTGAACTTTTGGATATTTCATCTTATCTATCACATTGGTTGATTCTGTTTGACAATCTTTTAAATGTCGTGGCCATACTCTATCTACCCAATCTATTTGTCGTACCTGAAAAACGCAATGGGTTGGAATTTCAAGGATAATTTTAAACAAAACATTTCTTTCCACTGCAACTTGATATTCACTCATGGTGGTCATATGATTTGATATAATCAAACTGATTAACACCAAGTGAACATCAAGTTTAACCATTAATACTATTATAGTCATCATTTCAACTGATAACCCTACGCCATAATTGATCAGAACGAAAAGTAAAACTATGTAGTATAGCTATTGAAAATCTCTATAAAATCACTTCCATTTTGTTACAACAAGTCTGACTGGCAAAACATGTAATCTTACTTCATTCTTGGTTTTCTGTCTCAGACATTAAAGACCGCAAAATTCTTTTAAACCCTTGAGGGCTCAAGATTATTTTGGAGACTTTTGAAACAAAAATGTTGTGTGGAAGTTTTTTTTTTAGAGTGGGACACTTTAAAATAGACTCACCAAGGTTGGAGATTCGACATAATTAGCCAGTCTGGTATGACTGAACTCTAAACTAATAACATTCAACAATCTATCACGTTCAGGGTTTTCATAATATCTGACCCAATCTTTCATAGACATCTCCATTCCTCTCTGTGTATTTACATCCATCACATCTAATACTCTTCTACTTCCTGTAAACAAATGAAATGAAGAATTATATGTTTGGGGCGAATTTATTGGTAGGGATGTTGAGATACATAGCTAAAGTACAAATATCGATCCAAATCCCATTCAGAAAACAAGCAGTGTCGTTCTTCCTGAAATAGGACGTTAAATTTTCTGCAAAGTTATTTGTTGTCTGAAATAAATTGTCTGAAAATATAGTTACCTCCCTTTAATTAGTTTTCAACTGACACTTACCGACACATTGTTTTACTTCTGCTACTTTGAAGTTTTCACTTGGCACTCTGCAAATACATTTTGAATCAAATGAACTGATTTCGGAAGAATTTTTACGAGGAAGGACACTAAATCGAGGAATTACAACAATTGCTTCGCTTTTGGTGAGCATTAGGGCTTCTAAATTAACGATTTAGAAAAGTTATAGCCTAGATACTGATAGGCTTAGTCATTAAGGCGTTGAGGCTTACTTACCGCATTCCCAGTCCCGTCTTTTCATAAAATACTATAGGGTTCTTTAATCCATGTTGTTGTACGTGTTTAAGGGTGAATTCTGAAAAACGGGATTATATGAGGTAATAGTTAACCAGTATAGCGTGTAGGCCTCGTAGAGATCTTTCTTTTCGATCAAAAAATTCAGCAATACAAAATTGTTATGTGTGCTTCACCTAAAATTAATGATTTCTTTTTTTTAAATATTAGCTTACCATCGCCTTTCATTGGTGTAACAAAGTTTCCTCGACATCGGTTATTGTTAAACTTGTCCAAAATGCTATAGTTTCTTTTCCCTTCTATTTCATCGTCGTCTATACCTTGGTCTGTGTATAATTTTCGCTCTTTTGTTCGCTGAAATTAGACGAACATTAGATTAGATATACTACTCCCAGTTAAAGGCATACTGAAATCTATAAAAGACAAGAAACTGTAAAGTTAATTTTTTTGTTACTAAAATATTGTAGTTATTTCCCCTTCATAAATCATTAAAGACATGTTTTTTCATATCCTAAGGATGAATTTTTGTTTAAGAGTCTACAGGAATAATTACAGATTTTTTCCATATATTATATTTCCAGCTTATCTTGGGCCACACTGTTTAGATGGAATAAAGAATATAGCATTTACTGAATAAATGTGTCGGCCTATATCTATTTTGAAAATAAGTATCGCTTAAAATCAGGCTCTGAAAATCAACTGGCATTTAATATTAACAATTGCTTAAAATTCAGCACAATAAATACACCTTTAAACATTTATAACGACTTGTATGTATATTGATTTTCAATTATAAAGTATTGACTTTGCTGAATATATCTATACTTTATTGCATTATAAAAGTTTCGATTCACATTCCGTTTGCTGAATAGGCTACATTCTTTGAAGAAATTATACTATTGAATATTCATTTTTCTGAATATATTGATGGTCTTAATTATAATAGCAAATTCCAGTTTCACAATTACGTTTATCAAATTCATTCACTTTGCAAAAAAATATAATCACGTCATAAATTTAATTCCTTGAATATTCAGTCCTCTTAATATACGTCATATACAGCCGTATCTTGTGAATATTCATTTTTCTTAAAGGATAATACCTACCTACCTAAGATTTTACCTACTGAACACAATAAAACGTTATCGAATTTGATGGTTATTCAATATTTATTTTGCTGAAAATATACAGTTGGATACTTATAAAATATTCAATAATTATTCAATTTTATTACAAATTTTCATATTCGTCGTTGAATAAAAAAAAAACTGAATACCATGTAAAAAAGAGGCCATTTTCAGTGATATTTATTTGTTTGATAAACTTATTGGTTTAATATTTCGTTTTTCGTTACATATGAGACAACCTACATTAGTGTCAAAAAAAAAATTTATCTCAAAAATATTACATTCGATTCTCGAACACAACTCAAACAATTTCATCAATAAATCGTTAAACACGCATATACAATTTCATAAACATATTAATAATGATATAAATCTTTAAACAATAAAATTCCACGAGCAAATTGATGCATGAAATTAAAAATTTTCGCAGAAATTCTAGTTGATTTGATGATAGCTCTTTATTCATTTAGTTCGTTAATATTCAATTTGGTGAACATATCATATTTTATAATACAATACAAATTTCATTAATATTCAATTGCAGGAACATAATAATACAAACCCATACAACAATAACATCGTTCATATACAATTGAACATATTAATGCATGCTTAAACATAAAAAATCAAGATGACCATATTGAATATATTCGGTAAATATTTAGTTTAATGAACATAATGACACATACTATATTCAATTTGATACATTTGACCATAACTTTTAAATATTCAATTTGGAAACAAATTGTTATATGCTTAAATACTAAATTCGTTAAATAGCTTGTTTGAAAAATACATTTAAACATAATATTTATACGAAAATTATATTGAACAATAACTATTCAATAATCCATTGGGAACATATTGATACAAACGACACATTCGTTAATATTCATTGTGAAAATATACAAATACAATCTATAAAATATTCGAATTGTCCAGCAAAAGAGACAATCGAATCAACATACATTCGATTAAAAATCGGGCATTTAATCATTGGGCAGCAAGCGATCTTATTTTTATGTGAATTTCATAGTGCTCACCCAGTATATGAATTTAAAATCTAGATAACCTACTATAGTGTATTTTGGACATTCACTACCTGGTGTTTTGCTATATTAAATTAATAAATTTCGTCTGTATTTTGTCATAATAACAAAGATCTTTAATTTGTTACTTATATTCAAAATTAAACCTGTTTTTAGATAGAGAGACCGATATAACCACTAAGCCACGGGCCTATTACATTATATATTATATATAGTAAGAAATGAGGTCAAATTTCGACCACAAATTTGACCTGGTGTGCAGTGGTTTTATGCTTGAACGATCGACAATGGCTCTTTTCTTCAGTTCTACTTCGTTTAAGATATGTATCCTTTATAAGGCGGATTTTTTTTAACCTATTTTCATACAGATTCTTACTCCATTTACTACGAACCGATTTCATTTAAAGGGACAGTCTGATAGATTATTCTTTTTCCCGAAAAATACAAAATTTGTGTCTTAATGGAGAACATTTTCTCAAAAATAAAGAATAGAATTAATTAAAATAGAAAAATAAATAATAAAGAAATAAACTTTTAATTGATATTAGGTGAGGATAGGTCTACAATGTGAATTGTTTAAATTTCAAGATTGTTGTATAAAAATTTCAAGATTGTTGTATAAAAATTTCCAAGATTGTTGTATAAAAATTTCAAGATTGTTGTATAACAACTTCTAGATTGTTGTATAAAAATTTCAAGATTGTTGTATAAAAATTTCAAGATTGTTATATAAAAATTGTTGTATAAAAATTTCAAGATTGTTGTATAACAACTTCTAGATTGTTGTATAAAAATTTGAAGATTGTTGTATAAAAATTTGAAGATTGTTGTATAAAAATTTCAAGATTGTTGTATAACAACTTCTAGATTGTTGTATAAATTTGCAAGGTTATAATATAAAGATTATTGTATCAAGATTGTTGACTCTCATAATGAAATATTATAGAAATTAACATACAAACCTTTTTATTACATAATTTGTGTCGATATGCTTTTTTAATGAGCTCTAAGGTGATATGCTATTTCTATTAAGACAAAGATGAAATCAAATAACGGAACTAATTTTTACGGTGCTTATTTGATGTAATCTCTAGACTACACCTATCATCCTCAGGAGTTCATCGACTCAAGTTTACACTACTGACATGATCATAGTGTTATACAATTATGAATACAATTTTGTCGGCATTTGTATATTTTTCATCGACATTGTCCATCTAAACAAATATAATTTTTAATTGACAAGAATATTTCCTCGACACTTTTGCAATTTGTTCAGATGTGATTACAATTCCACAGATAAGAACATAATAATACGTCGACAAGAACATAATTTTAATACACCGGTACCGGCTGTACCAGAAAACAATTCTTCATCGACAAGAGTATAATGTTTTATTATGAAGAATGGAGTCTATTAGAGGGGACTTGTATTCTCATGTCCAACAACCGAGTCTTTAATTACACAACTATCATTTGGCACAACTAGGCTATCATTTGGCACAACTGTCATTTGGCATAACTAGCATTTGGCACAACTATCATTTGACATAACTATCATTTGGCATAACTATCATTTGACATAACTATTATTTGGCACAACTATTATTTGACACAACTATCATTTGACATAACTATCATTTGACATAATTTGAACAAAACAAGTGTGTCTGTTATCTTGAATTATGATTTAGGGCTGGATTTTTGTTTCGTTTTAGTCGACGTTAATATTTTTACATCGACAATTTCTTCAATTAGTCGAGTGATCTATTGTTGGGTGGGTGAATTAAAGAGACAAAAATAAATCAATTAAGTACATATTAAGGCTTGTATATGAAGAGTGGGGCATCACGGTCCCGCATCATGGTTCTAATTTCTATTCAAATCGTCGACATCAATATCTGGGGAAAATATTGTTAACGATTGATTATTTGTACCGTCACAAGAAAGCATGGAATAACTCTGGTTACAATATATCGCTGAGTTTGTCTTACGAACTGGTAAAATGATCAATAATTGACAAAGATACTGAGTGACCACTCGTTGATTAGAAGGCTGTGTACTAGTAATAGAGGATATGGAATAATCATGAAGCTATATAACAGTAGACCTACAGCCGTAAATGCCACACTTAAATCGTAAGCTTAACATTGGAGAAATTGGAAAATATATGAATCATACAATCTAATCTAGGGGGAAAACTGAACGCCTGAAATATGATCAATTCGGAGAAATTGGAAAATATTATGATCATTTAAATGAACTATAAGAGTCTGTCTTTGGGGAAAATTGAATATCTTCATCAAGGAGCCGTTTAAGTATAAAGAAGAGAACCGATTAAACCTCTTGATTATACAGCTGGGATTATCTTTTGATATTTATAGATCCGTCTAAATCGCTTTAATCATACCTATTACAAAATAATTCAATATTTTTGTGTTTTATGAATCGTACTAAATAAGGATAAATATATATTTGTAAGGATATTTTTTTTACAAAATTACATGTTAAATAGGGTTCAAGCAGTAAACTGATAGGCCCTACTATAACATAAAGTGACGTCATAAACAGGTTTTTTTGCACAACGCTGCCAGTGCTTCTATAAGAGATTATCTCTTAAAAAACCTTATACAACGTTACAAAATAGGAAAAACAGAAAGGTCAAGAATGTGACTAAGTATTTCTGCATCGTTTGGATTATCAACTTATAAAATTTATTGCCTTGGGTTTATGAAATTTGTCATCAATCCAAAAACTTGCAACTTTAAAATAATTTTACAGAGAGGAATTTCCACTGAAAAATCCTTGTCATTTGCGTATGCAATTTCTAAGAGAAGAGTATGCGTATATAAAAGGGATTATTAAGAGTTTTTCTAAATTTTGTATGTGTATCGGGGACAATGATAGCATCAATTTGCGCCATTCCGATTTTCAATCATACGTCTGTGGTTCTAGCAATTCTATTAAAACTGAGTGTTTTATGACGTCACCTCCACTAAGGTTTTAAGTGATACAACCAAATTTTGAGGGGGTGGCGTCATGAAACACTTAGTTTTAGTGGACTTGCAGGAACTACACACGTCTGATTGAAAATTGGAACCCGATAACCATACCAAATTTAGAAATCCTCTTTAATCCCTTTAAATGTAAAATTATCAAAATTCAAACGTGATTTATGGAGCCCAAAGACATTCAAAGACAAATGGTAAGTATTTCAGTAGTATTTTGCCTTTTTTTAAAATAACACACAAAATTCAATTCAGAAAACAAAGTGATCTGTCAGTAGAAGTATTGTTATTTTTCACATCGAGAAGGAGGGCCTATCCTATTGACACACATCAGGATTAGAGGTATAATAAACCTTCTTATTGATATATTTCACAATTAATAAAATAACAGAATATTTTCACTGTTAGAATAGTGCTCAATACATCAATTGTAGAGTGATAACTATTAACCAATAGCTCCAATGTGAACAACAAACAAAAACAGAAAAAGCAAAATGGACTACGTGACGTGAAACATGAACTACAATGCATCGAAGTAGCCTATACCAACGAAAATCAATATACAGGTGTAAGCATTCCGAAGACGAGAAAACAATCCAAGAGACCTAAATTGGTTAATTAATTGCAAATAATAAATATAGGCCTACACACGTGATTAAATACGCTTTAATTAATTTTAATTTGATACGATATACACCTGTATCAAAATGCATATTCTTTGTAAAATTGATATTCACATTTTTGCTTTATTTTATAGTTATTTGAAAGTTTTACTAAAATATCCGTTTTCGCTACCTCACTGCTCAGGCCAGTAAAAAAGAAAAATTTAGTTTCATTGAATGATTTTCACAAAATACAGTTACGTTCATAGGCTAGCTGAATAATTTGTAGATTTTCCAAGGAATTAAATAGGACTATGACATGGCTCCATGCCTTATGGAATATCAGGCCTAGCCTAAGTTTTGAACATATTATAACGGGGAATAAAATTACTCAGGAGAGCACAAAGATATTAGCCTAAGTCTAAGGCCTGCAATTTATGAATAAGATTATGAATTTACAACATTAATTACGGTATTTCAAAATTGTTATAAACAAAAATTATATAAATTTACACCAATCATAATAAAAGTAACAAAAAGTTAAAAACCGCGTCATAAAGCGGCAATTTTAGTGTCTTTGAATAGGATCTATGTTCAGTAAACCGTCTTTCATTATAAGCTACCATTGACTGCAACCGATTTTGAAATAAAAATTTTGAATAACCTTTGCATGCTATGTTGAATTCATATTCAAGAGTTACCTTTAGTATTTCTGAAGCTAATGAAAAGGTTTCTCAATGGAGAAATTTCAAAAATACATAGATATACGGCAAAATAGTTACGATTTTTAACGATAGCAGAAGTTATGAAAGGAAAAAGTGGCAGACACTCGGAAAACTCTGTCCGAATTTCATTTATAACATAATTATTATGCAATCTGTCTCTGAATTTTTACTGGGAAAAGCTGAAAGTATGTTTTCTTCAACTTTTGCAGGTGTCAAATGTTCAATTCTCATCATTTTAAAGATTTTCGGGTTGAATTTTCTTTTGCAATTCATTTTCGTCTGAGCCATGTTCGACCAAAATGGCTGCTAACAATCGCATGCTATACTGCTCTGTCTAAAACGACGAGAACTTGTAGAAAACCCCCAAACCTACCAATTTTCTACCACCATCAGTGGTATCACCCATCTTTATTGGTGTTTTGGTTCTCTTTTACACAATTAATTTCCAAATAAAGGGGGTTTTGATAATATTTTTTCTCAAGCGAGGTGAACTTTTGTGTACGATGTTCGTGACGTCATGTCGAGAATTTATCACGTGACCTAATTTTTTTTTCGTGGCATGCGCAGTTAAAAATGTAAACACGCCGGTGTTTTCCGAAATATTTGGGATCACTTCGTTAAATCATTACTAGTGATTGTGGTGTTCATTTGGACCACATCTACATAGTCCGAAAAGTTCGATTATGTTTCACCCCATAAGTGTCAAAATATCTATCAGAGGCTGAACTGCAGTCAGATGATTCGGACTAGGGGTATCTTAGCTATGTTTAATACCTAACAGGCCGTAGCCAGACTTGTTTTTTTCGGAGGGGCAAGTAATCCGGAGGGACAATGGTTCATGGTGCTCACTTGCAGTAATGGAATTAGTTGGTTGTTTTTCCGAATATTTTCAGGAGGGCAATCATTTATTTTCGGGGGGCGAGAGGGAGGGGAGATGCTTGACACGCCTTGCCACCCCGGCCTTGCCCCCCTATAGCTAGCGTTCTGCTACCCACTTTTAATATAGTAATTTATGTATTTTGCTTATTTCGAAGAGATTCTGTGACTATTGGTAACGGAATTGTGCTATTTTGAAAATTTTCACATTAAATTACATTCAGTGTGGAAAAGTTTCATGCATTGGAGATGCGTTTCTGCCATTCTTAAAGATGGGTTCCCCTATTTTCATTTTTGAAAATGAAAATGCTAATACTTATACAAATAGGAAGTGGGGGTGTTCTAATGACTTGGAAAAATACCAGTTAGTGTCACATGGCCATAATTAATTCATAATTAGCTAAATTAGGAGAGAATTACAAGCAGAATTTCAATGAGTGACCGATCAAGAAAGGTCGAAAAGACTTTTTTTGTTTATCCAGACAGTACATACACGGCCATTTCTGATTTGTTTAAACTTTTAATTATATGCAATAAGAAGATAATGATATGATTAGATTACATGATAATTCATTAGAAACACCAATTCTTCAAATAGTTTGACTAAAAAATAAAGAAACCCATCTTAAACCCACGTTATATTTTTAGATTTTGGCACTCTCTCATTACTTGGACTACTCGATGAGCTACAAACAGTTTCTGATACAAAGCGAACTGAACCATTCTCGACAGTGTTTTTATCTAATTCAATGTTGACGTGTTTGAGCGAAATAGTTATTAATACTTTCATTTACATTATACATTCAATCCTTATCTAAAATCAGCTCATTAATCTAGATGCAAGAGACCTCTGACACGACGTATGAATCCTGGCTGTTAAAGTCATATGTAGACCAAATGACGGACCAACATTCAAGTCAAGCTTTGTCTTGGCGTCGTCTCTATTTGAGCAGAGCAAAGTTAAAAGCATCAAGCAGAACGTCTGCCCTACTTTCAGGATTTGCAATGGTAAGCAAATTGACACTTCCATTTTGTCGCAAATTTGAGATATGTCATCGTCAAAATGTAATGTAGATGACCTTTTAACGCCATGATGGCATTGTCATGAATATAGTCATTATATAGGAAGTAAAATCATTTTGACATTTCGCTTTGTTACAGAATAAATCAGTTTAGACATAGGCTGTAGGCCTGGCTTTGGTAATACACTTTTTTGTAAAGTTTTCTTATCTTTAATTTTTTGTTATAAAAGATAATGTTTCAGGGCTTTCTGTTAATAAACATATCTACACAAATATGAAATCAATAATATAGGCTGCCGTATTTCTATAGTTGAGTTCGAATACATGCAAATAGGAACTATGAAATCATGAAAGCAATGCCCCTACATATACCTACGGCTACAGTAACATTAATATGTTGCCCTAGGCTAGATCTACATTTTTATATTATATGAATCAGTTAATCTTCATGGGCTTGACAACATAAATCGCTCACAAAGAGAGCCTGCAGTTGACAATGTTTCAAGATGTATGAAGATCATGTACAAAACTGGAATAAAATGTTAATTATATGTATAGGTCACCTGCTATATGGACCCCTTTATTTTCCTTCTGTTTGTTAATCCTATATTCTTCTTTTTTCAGATTGCAATGGTAGAAATTCAGATTGATGATAAACAAAAGATCCCAGATGAATTATTAATTGGTTTTGGAGTGTGCACAACTTTATTAGTGACTGTCCATTTATTGGCTTTAATGATTAGTACATGTATACTGCCCAATATTGAATCAGTTAGCAATGTGCATAATATTACAGCAGTTAATGAATCTCCTCATGAAAAAATGAAATGGTGCGTTGAAGTGGCATGGATTTGTTCCACTGGAATAGGAATTATTTTGTTTCTAGCAGAAATCGGCGTATTGACATGGGTAAAATTTTACAGCATTAGTCAAAATACTGCAATTGCATCCACTTGTATTGTTATACCAGCAACAATTCTTTTTATTGCATTTGCTTTAGTGTTTTATAAAAGACTTGTGGAACATAAATACCAAAGACATACAGAGGGATTGAAAGAGTTGGAAAATGAGCTTCATGCTTTAGATGAAAACCAGGAACAAAATGCTAGAAATCCAGTATAATATGTGATAATTGGATGCAATTTTGAATTGTTTTAAATTTATTCAGACTTTTTCATTGTGCTGTTGATAGTCAAAAGTGTAATATACTCAAATATTCTCTATCAGCCTATCTCGACTCATTACATGATTTCACACTTTTAATAAAAGACTTTGATTCAAAATGACCAATTTTAGTGTGCTGAGTAGCCAATAAATCAAAACTGAAGCCGCTTGGGATAAGTCATACAGAATATTGTACCTAGAATTTTGCTTGGCTCTTTCATATCTTGATTTGTCTCAATTTAAAGGGGTTTGTCTTTGTTTCATTTCTTCAAAACGAATCATTTAATGATTTCTCTATTGTAATGGTCCTATTAAACCTGAGAATGTATTCTGGTGGTACTTTTTTAAATTCTTTTCTCCCTGTGAACAAAAAATTTCAGTAATATCCTAGTCCATGGTAGACTTAACCCTCAATAGCCTTCAAATTTCTGACTTCTTTTCTTTTGAATTTCCTACGTTGACCATTCATATTAATGCTTCTTATTTTCTTATAGATACATGAAAAGATTTTGTTTCACAATACAGGTTTTATCTTGAGATGATTATTGATACATCAGAAGAATGTAGACTATTCTATTTTCAGCTATTTCAGTTAAAGAAATGATACTACCACAGATAGTATAAAGAGACATCCTTAGTTAACATATCTAATTATCTTAACCTTTAACTTGCACCTTGTTTTATCATAAATCTTTACTTTGTGACCTAGGCCAGTGCTTTCATGAGACTAAGTTCTCATCACTATCTAACACAAACTTTTATAGTGTTTATCCTAAAGTAAATTGTGTTCTTTCATGTGTTTATGTTTCTTGTAGACAAGAAAAACGATTTTTTTCTATTTATGTCGAATCTCAGACTCTTTTGTGACATAATCTTTGTTGTATTTATGTGTTGTTTATGTGATGGACATCTTCCTATGTGCCTATTGTCAATATAAATTAAAACAACTACCACACAACTTGCAGCCAATCTGTCTTTATTCATGGAATTGTTAGCTTACAAACTCCCACCTTCCAAAACTGGCTGTTTTTGCTAGCGCACAATCCAATCAAATCGCAGTATTTACAAAATTCTGTATACAAGAGTGGTTGCTATTGCAGTCAATGTATATGACGCAGTTCGTTAAAGCATGGAACTGTTATCTTACACACCTCAGGCTGAAACGTTTTGTATTTTCAATATACTGGATTAGAGAGCTGATTAGAAGTAGTATCTGGATTGATGCGGACACTTGGGTCATTCTCTTAAATTGAGAGATACTCATTGTACCTCCGTGCAATGCTTTGAATTACAGTACTCCGAAGACTTATTAAGTATCACCGTTTTCCATATCTTCAGTCAAATAAAATGTGGAGACAAATAAGAATTAATCAATTTTCATAAGTTGCCTCAGTGGTCAAATAAAATTGCAGAGAATTGCTTCGCCTGAATAAAACTATATTAAACGTTTCTATTTGAATTAATAAAAAATTGCATATTTCATAAAAATTGGGTAGCAATTCAAATTGTTCTGGTTGACTTCAGATCGATCTCCCCAATCCATATCCAATGGAGTCTTAAATAATATAGCCTATTGATAATATGGTAACAATGGTTAACGAGTTGTTGCTCTAGACAAAAATGCTCCGACTTTTGAGTGTAATAAAGGTTACATATTTAATCTATTTTGGACGAAACTTGGTGTACTTTAAAATAAGAATAATACTGATGAGATTTAGCATTAATTTGCATTGTATTTTTTGGGATGGAATGCTGCTTAATTTATTTTCCTTGACTTGCCAAAAAAGTGGATATGCTATTATACAACATATCTGCCTGGATTTTGCGAAAAAAAAGAGGAAAAAAAAAAAAAAATATAAATGAATTCTCGATAAGTCAGACTCATGTAATTTATTGATGAATAGATTCTGACCGACTATAACTATTAATTAATATTAAGTCATCCATATAGCCATTATTAGTTATAGATGGGATTGATAAAACATACTTTTTATAAGCTCACTAAAAATTGTGGATGTCTTTTCTCGTCAGTCTGTCTGTCTGCCAACATCTTTTGGGTTCCGACTGCCCCTTTAAAGTGATACTAGCCTACGTCTTAGAATGAACATAAAATTGAAGTTCTCAAGAATGGTCAATATGAGTATATATTCGTCAGTGAACTTACCCGGTGTCATAAAGTTACAACAGAATCTCTGTAAAAACTGAAAAATTGGAAACTTCATAAAACTTAGTAATTATTGAACTTATTAATTTTGATATTAAGCGTATTTCAATAGTTAATTGCATATTTATGGATAATTACTAAGTATTTTAGATTTATCGGATTATATAAGTATCCTGTTATGTTATTTATGATACTAGGTATATCTACTGATGAATATATGCTCTTATTGGCCAAATTTAAAATTTTTCAATTTTATTCTCATTCTAAGACGTAGTATTCCTTTAAAATATATCAAAATCTGCTCGTAGACACAATTAAAGGATTGTAGAGAGGTTTTCTAAACAAAGTTTTTTTTATGACGTCACGTCAAACGGATGGAGAATCTGTTGATTAGCCTACTCTGAGAAACATTTTCCAGGTTATCATAATCAACAGGATTTATCTATCATCATGGTTCTTAGCGTTCTCCATTGGATCTGAAATTTTATTTTGTTAATGCGGAGGTTTACTTTGGCTGCAAATCTATCGTAAGAAAGCCCTTATAGCTACCAGTATAAATGATAAGCGGACGTATAAACAACCGTGAGTATGGAATGCAGCCCGAATATATTATCCCATTTTGTTTTCATACGCATCGAACTGAGTCAGTCCTGAGCGAATGCTCGCAATATTTTTCTTTAAAGTTTCAAACAGGTTGCTAAATCAACACTCTTTATTTATCATCCAAAAAATGAAGTGTAATAGATCATTATATCTGCTTTCATTCATGCATACACGCTGCATTCTGGAAAAGGCATAACTTAAAGGAAACAGTTATTAGATAATCTAACCAAACCATACCAAACCAACGACTACCATTCGACTACCAATCAACAAGAAATACCTTGATCAGAACGAGTTTGGAAGAATGAAGGAGATCGAGAAACTCACGCCACACCATCCAGGGCCGAGTTTCACCGCCATGTCATTCGACCCGACCAGATCTAACGAAGACTCAACAACCAAACCAACAACACAGAATCATACCATTTGAACCAATCCAACTACCAACTACTACGACTACCAACAACTATACCTAGTTTGTGATATCAGAATTCGCTGGAAGCGAACGTTACCTTGTCATCTACCAACCAACCAACAAGGGGGCAATTACTGTCGAGGTTAAGATTCAAAATGCGGCAACTCTACGAAAGTAAAGCCACCATGGAGCGTCTGGAATGGTTTTACCCATTTTTTTTTTCTAAAAAAAAAGAGCTAATTTGGCGTATTCTAACACGTTATGATAATTGGGAGTACAAACCATAATTAATATCATCTGCTGTATAATTATCAATTTAACATCCCTATCAGGTGCTGAAAAGTAGGGCGTAAAACCCATTTCATTTCTAGTCGAAGCATTGACTAAAGCATATATCAAACGTAAAACATCTCGCACTGGTCAACTATTTATTAGTTTAGTTTAGTTATTTATTCCCCGACACCCCCCCCCCCCCTCCTCCCCCAAAAAAGGCCATCAAAATAAACGCTTCATCAAAGGCTATATTGTTTAAATACTCATATATCGATCGAATATGAAAATGCATTTTTACTTATATCCACTATACTATAAGGGTTAACATACGTGATTGATATCAAAACATAACGGCTATTTCGTAGATGGATATTGAAAAACCGACAGTAGCCCATACTGTTGTGGAGGAAAGCTTTCCTATGGATTATAACGACCACGACAATGGACAACTGCAAATTTTGTCTTGGCGTCATCTGCTCTTGAGCAGAACCAAACTGAAAAGATCCAGTCGAACTTCTGCCCTGTTATCCGGTTTTGCAATGGTAAGACTTTTAAGTAGAACTATAATTAACTGGGCCTTTTTTTGACAAGGCCAGTAGCAACTAAAAGGTCTAAACAGTGCATCAAGAATTGTACAGAAAAAAATTAATTATTACAACTGAAAGAAAATTTATTTTTTCATGAACGAATATTAAATTTGCCTACAGTACTTGACAGAAAAAATGCTAAAAAGTGGCTTGTGAATGAGATATTATCTCTGTATCAAACTTGTATGCTTATCTTGTATTAAAAAAAAAAAACACAATATGAGTTGTTTCTTTCATATTTATCGAAATGAAATTGTAATTCCTAATTGTATGGGTGTTTAGATTTTTGCGTGACCGCTCGTTTAATGTATTAATATTAATTTATATATCATTTTCAATATATTATATACGAATTTATGCTATAAATCTTCTCCAAATAAAGTAGTGGAAGTGAACTTTCAATTCGGATATAGAGAGCTAACATTAATAACGACAGACATCTTAAGAATGTAACAACATTTCTCTTGACCACCACATCACAACAAAACGCACCATGGTCATGGCACTATACGCCTTCATCTTTACCTTGACCTTGAAATGTGAAGCGCATATTGGCACGCCCGTCCACAATATTGCTCGTAAACACTCTAGAAGACACAACTTTTATTTAACTGATTTGACAAATCTTGGCGTGAATATTCTTTTTATCACCCAAGGATAAACCCTCTTAAAAACAGAAAAATCGAAAAAGTTTTTGCCCTTGTTCTTGAAAACGCGTTCAATTTTTCTGCTCGTAAACCAATCAAATGCCTTCTCTCACACAAAATCGCAGCTTTGGAGAAGACAGGGATTTGATTGGTTAAATAAAAGGTCATCAGGTTAGGTCAAAAGGTTACTAGGACGAATGTTCAAGAGGCCCGTCTTTCGACACTGATCAAAAATTTAAGTTAATATAAAACGGAACGAAAGTTTGGCACAACTTTTCTGAAAAGTGATTCAAGTAGACGTTAATATGGTGATCTATTTTGGCTATATTTGGTCATAGGCCTATAGCATATTAAACCTCAAATTAATTAAACTTATCTGTTCTTTTTGCAGATGGCTATTGTTGAATTAGAGTTAGATGATGATACCGAAGTACCAGATAATTTATTGATATGCTTTGGAGTGTGTACAACTTTATTGGTGTTTGTCCATCTCTTGGCTTTATTGATAAGTACATGTATACTGCCATATATAGAAGCTGTGAGTGGTACACACGATATATCTATGGTTCACGACTCTCCACATGAAAGCATGAAATGGTGTGTTGAGCTAGCATGGATAAGTTCCACTGGTATTGGAATTATTCTATTTTTGGCACAACTTGGATTACTGGTATGGGTGAAGTTCTATTGTTTAAGTATAAATACAGCCATTGCATCAACGTGTATAGTCATTCCAGGAGCCATTATGTTTGTTGCCTTTGCTTTACTCTTTTATAAATCTCTGATGAAACACAAAAATACAAGACATTCTGAAGGACTGAAAGAGTTGGAAGATGAGCTAAGAGCAATATATGTGTATAATAATAAAAAACTGTTAGATTCCTCTCAGAGTCTGTCTGATAATTGTTAAATAAAATATACTATAATGTAGATAATATATTGGGGATCATGCCAGCTCTAAACTACTATACCGAAAACAGAAAACGGCAGCTTTATTTTGTTAGGCTATGAGCTGCACATGGTTTTAGAGAAGCAAGCTGCTGTTATTGATAACATTCTTAAAAATATTTGTCATACATGTATTTATTACTATTTCAGTGGTTGAAACCAATGACTTTTTGTTTTATTCATGGAAACACGAGCTAGCTCCAATCAAGCTTCACAATCTATTACAAACTGTGTCTAATACTTTGACTGCAATAGGCATCTTTCTTGTATAAGGGAACTATGTAAATACAGAGTTTTGATTGGACTGTATCACATATTTCCATGATACAAGAAAGACAGCTATTGCAGTGAAGGCACAGTTTATTAAAGTTTGACATTGTGAAGATAGCTCCAACAAAGCTTTTTTATTTTAAAGAGCAATGTTTTATATTAATCAGTTTATCTGACATGTCCTTTCAAATCTTGCTGTTTAGCAGCTGCTTTTTTTTTCATCTGTTGTAATCTTTTATCAGCTACTAAGGCATTCATAGAACTAGTCGCACTGATAGTGGAGCTTTTACTAGATGAACTGCTTGAGGACTTCTCTGAGCTCGATGAGGACTTCTCTGAGCTTGATGAGGACTTCTCAGTTGACGACTTCTCTCCAGAACTCTTAGAGGGCTTCTCTCCTGAAGATTTGGAAACTTTTTCACTAGAACTCGAAGATGACTTTTCCACACTGCTACTAGATGACTTTTCACTAGATTTTGAGGATGATGACTTGCTTGATTTTGAGCTCGAGCTGGAACTTGTTTTTGAAGAGGAGCTTGATTTTGATGCTTCTGATTTTGAAGAGCTACTTTTGGTTAAATCTGTCTTCAAAGCAGCAAAAGCTTTGAATGACTCAGCTGATTTGGCCACTGTTTTAGCAGGATCTGTTGTTTTGGATAAATTGGCAGCCAGACTTGCTAGTCCACTCAATGGTTTGGAACTTTCATTCTTACTAGACTCCTTACTTGAAGGCTACAAAATACAAAATGGTGGAATGCAATGTCATAAAACTTTTTTGATCAAAAATTAATTTTAGAATTGAAAAATCTTCAGAAGTACTAGAACTCAAAATGAAATCAGATAATAATTGTAAACTAAATTACCTTAGGTTCCTTTGTTCTTATGAAAGCCACAGGCTGTTCTGAGTCAGATTTAGAAGAAGATTTTGATGGTGCTGTAGACTGTTTAGCTGGTGCAACAGATGGTGGTGTCTTAGCTTTAGTGGGCTGCACAACCTGGAAATAAAGATACAAAATGCTGGGCTCCTATTTCTTTCTATTTTACCTTTCTTGTAGGTACAATTCATAACAAAAAAATATAACTAGCAACTAGAATTTGATAAAAAAAAAAAATAAAAATAAACAAGGAGATTTTTTCATCCTACTTCTCTAAACATTATACCACTCTGCCACTGGTTTTGTCAACTTTCCATTTTCATGGAAAAAGCTAATTAAAATAAGATAAAGGCTGGTGACATTATTACACAGTCCTTTTGTGAAATCTTACCATTTTGGTTAATTTCTTAGCACACCTGTAACAATACCAAACAAATCTTGGATCTGTAACATCTTGATCTAATACTGGTGGTCTGTGACATTCCTAGACAAAAAAATACATAGAAATATTAAAACAGATCTTGAAACATGTTGCTACTCAGAGTTTCACACTATGCAATCTTCAGACAACTGACCTATTTAAGCCTGTTTAATTTATAGCATACGTGATAATGATATAGTTCTAGATAGCACCGGAAGTGGCATCACAAATCCTTCTTGTCTATAGATAGGATGGAACCTTCTGGCAAAGCAATCCACAATCTAACTGGAGCAAAAGGGATGATGTTCATGAACCCTGAGATAACTTAGATGTGTGTTTCAGGGACAGAGATTGATGTTCCAAGGATCATTCAACGTTATTCTTCTATCATATTGCAACATGATTATAAATATATTAAAACTAACAAAAACTTCACCTATGGTGACCTACCTGGTGATATAAATTATGACATTCTTGACATTCTACTAATTGATTTTTAGATGACACATCAAATTGTCTGAAAATAGAATTTAATAAACTATATATATGGAAATAAAATGGTTTAAAAGAGGTTTATTGGCCATGTTTTGTGAAGTGAAGGTATGGTGGAAGCTTATTGCCTCTAATAGGAGAAATCAGCTTAGCAATGATACAATAAAATTAGAACACATGCATGACTTGATCAGGACAATTGGTAGGACAAACCACTCTTTCAACTGTAATTGTTGTGCATCATGTGATACGCATACCATCTCTATGACATCATGGCCAATCTCTTCTATTAAACAGTTTGATTTGAGGCAAGAAGAAGCAAGAAGTATCTCCATTATATATATACAAATTTTGTCAATACATAAATTTGCATTTTAACTGATCAATTTTCAGAATCTCTTTTCAGAATTAGAATAGAACAATCGGTTCTCCTAAAATTGAGAAAAACATACTGTGGTCACTTCCTGGACTCATTATTTGTATAAAGAATGTCACTTTATTAGAGTCAACAGAAAGATAAAAACCATTTGACAAACCTGCAAACTACACAAGAGATTCCTAAATCAAAGGCAAAGTCATCTGCATCCATTCCTCCCTTATTTTCATCTTCATCAGTCTCTGTATCATAATCTTCTTTCTTCTCTGACTCTGCTGGATTCTCTTTCTTCTCAGCATCTGCATCTTTTTCTTTCTTTTCTAGCCCTGCTTCCTTTTCCTTTTCTTTCTTGGCTTTAGCAGCTTTCTCAGCTTGTCTTACTTTATCTTTCTCCTTTCTTTCCTTGTCTTTCTTTTCCTTTTCTCTTTGTTCTTTCTCTTTTCTTTGTTTTTCTTTCTCTTTATCTTTTGATTTGTCATCTTTGTCTTGTCTTGAGGGAGAGTCATGTCTTGATTTTTTGGCATCTGTTGGTTCACTAAGAGAACTTATATCTTGCCTTAGCTTCAAGAAAGAAGATAATTAAACAATATTTGATTTGTATTATGCCATTTTACTAAATTATTAAGGGGAGGGTTAAGTTAAGTAACAGTTAAGGCATTACATGAAAGTGCCTAAATATTTGCCTCACTAGCTAAAGTGGATTAATATTGGCCATGTTGAGAAAAATAATGACATCAGATAAGGATATTGTAGCATTTCTTTCAATATATTAAAAACCAACTTAGAAATAGTAACACAAATACCTTTTCTAAGTTTTTCTTTTCAGTTTCTCTCTTTTTAGCCAAGTCATCTTGATCTGTTGATGATTTAGAAGATCTGCTGCTAGATGATTCACTGGACTGAAACAATAAATCACACCATTGTCTGTAATTTCATGGGGCCTGAATTTGCATATTAGCTGTACCAGGAAATCCCCTCAAATTAAGCAAACCCTCATGAAAATCAATGATATCACAACATAAGTAAAAAATTGCTGTGGAAAAGATTAAAATCTTTAACAGTTTTAACAGTTCTCCATAGAAGGAGATGAAGATACAACATTAAAAGAAATAGCTAAATCATAGAAGTACCTTTCCAGTTTTCTTCTTCTGTAAAGCATCATCTAACATTGATTTCAACTGGGCAGCTGAATCTTTTTGGTTAGATCTTAAAAGTTTTAAAGCTTTCACAAAGATTGGGTCTAACTCTAAAGCTGACATTTTTTTTTATAGCTTTCCCTGACTATGTCAAACCTGAAAAACATTTGAAACTTTTAAAACCTACATACATATTTATGTATCATAAGTGTGTATTCTATAAACGGGCATTTGATGGCTTGTAAACTGTATCATCATAACTGGTTACACACTTAGGCACTTTTTTCTAAGTACATGTAGTACTATACTTAATAAGGCTAATAATAATACTGGGTAATGCTATATACCTTGACAACCCTAAGAACCTTTGAACCATTTATTGTTATATAGATTAAACCTACTTAGATAATTAGTGCCTGTCTACACACATTACTATAGACTACTGAGACTGAGTACAGTATCTATCTAAACAACCACCGTACCATACAATATCATACCATACTATAGCCTATCATACATATTTTGGTAGGCTAATGCCAACCCAACACTCCAGCAGTGGATTTAAAAATAATTTCAAATAATAATAATTTTCGCACTTGAAACATCAAGTTATTTCTTTCAACTTACAAAACATGAAATAATTTTATGATTTTCAAGTCTCTTTTCTTTATCTTTGTTTTTATTAATCTACTTTTAGTTTCCGTTTTATTGACTTCCGTTCAGATAAAAGCTATCTCCCTTGAATTTAATATTTAGGGACCTTCTGTAAATTTTAATTGTGGCTGAATCAAGTGAATAAAATGTGAATTGTGATCGGATGAACTTTACTAGATTTCGTTTTTTTTTTCTTTTTTAGACCGTAGATAAGAAATATGTAATATCAAATTTAAACTTTTATACATTTAAGGTCGTCGTGACCCTTTACATGGTTACTATTTATAGATATTTTTTTGCGAGATTGTGGAGATTTGGCGAGATTTCCAGCAAAATGGCGTCTCGTAGCCATGTGGATGTCAGTGAAAGAAGATTGAGGCCTGTTTATGGTACCTATTTGTCCACTAATGTCAATGAAATTTGGTCCTGATCAACACATTACCTTACTTTATGTCTGCACCTCATATCAGTGGGCCAGACTATATAAGGACATAAGCCAGAGCCAAAATCTTACGGGCCGTCATGTGCTCAGGGATTTTGACTTTTTGTTTGGCACCCTGCCTGTCAGTGTCATGTACTTACTACCCACTGTCTTGTTCTATAATGTTAGATGTATGTCATGTAGAATATTGCCCATGTCAAGAAGAAAAATCACCTTTATCTAAATGAGCCTGTTTGGTTGGCATAATTGTTAGATTTGCATTTGAGAAAATTGAAAGAATGAAACTTGAAAGCATCAATAATGAATGAATCCTGTAGCAAACTTTTAATAACTAAACTACTGGTCAATCACAATGCATGTCTATGACAAAGTAGTTCCTTAAATTCCAGACAAACTTGACCAGATGACAAAACTTGCAAATTTTGTCATGAATGTTCTTCCTTGGACCAAATGAAGTCAAAGATCCATATTATGTTGTATTTCTTATTATAACCAAAAAGTGTCAGTATTGACAGTGTAATACTATAAAAAAAAATCCCAATCACTTGTTTTGTCAGCAATGATGTGTCTTAATAACATGATTGTTTATTGTTTATTTATAGATAATTTGGATAACGGAAACAATAAGAAAGCTGTTCAAGAAGCTGAGAAAGTGTTAAAGAAGCAGAAAGATTTCCAATGTGCAAAAGTAATTTGATGAAAATTTAGTATTTATAAAGTTAATGATAATTTTGCTTCTATCATAGCTGATCATTTGTCAATTTCAACCATTTTACCAAAACTTATAAAGTATGATATGCCAGGATCATAGGTGTTGATATTTGCAGTGGCATTGAGCTGATAGATTGAGACAGCTTCTAAGTAAGGCACTATCAGTTCAGATCGAAAGTACTCAATTGCATGCATGATATTCAAGGTGTCCGTATTTTCTATTTTAGGTGTTAAAGGCCCTAGCTCTATTGAGACTTGGAAGACAAGAAGAAAGTTCTGTTATTTTACAAGAAGTTCATTCTCAACATCCTACAGATGATGCAACATTACAGGCTATGTCTATTTGTTACAGAGAAGTCCATAAATGTAAGAGTTCAAAATATCTGAAGAAAAAAAATATCTTAGTCCAGCTTAACTTCAAGTGTATATGAAGAGCCCTTCTGACTTCTTGAAATCCTACTTGTTTTACATTTCAGTGGATATGATAGCAGATCTGTATCAAAACGCCTATAATGAGAAACCTGATAATGAAGATATATTGTCCGCATTATTTATGGCTCATGTTAGACTTGGAAACTACCAAAAACAGCAACAAACAGCTATGTTATTACATAAACTGAAACCTAATAAAAATCCTTATTATTTCTGGGCTGTGATGAGTATAGTCATGCAGGTAGTTATTTTAGTTTGATGACCTCCACTTAATCATTACACTAAGTGCAATTCACTTCATTTCAAGGAAATTTTATACTATGAAAAATGATTTTATTTTTTTTTCGCATTATTCAATAGAATTGTGGTTGAATTGATTATCAAATATATACGTAAATTTCTTTCACAATATTTGTTACACTTTATCATCAGTAAGATATTTGTGTATATGAAATATGATTAGTTTCACATCAGTTGATTTAAAATATATGTTTCTGTATTGTAGGCTCATACAGCACCAGATAAAAAGTTATCTGAGAAGATGTATTTACCATTAGCTGAAAGAATGACCAGTAAATATATTAAAGATGATAAAATAGAAGCTGAAGCAGGTACGTGTACTTAGTATATGTAAGCTGTTTTATGTAACTATGCCCTCATTGCTCACTTCCTGCATTGTATTGCCAGTGTTCAATGGCTCTACTAAGCATAATTTGAGCTGAGACAGAAAGACTCATTTCATTTGAGATTTTGCCTATTTTTGTTAAGATGGAGAATATATCATTTAAATGTTGTTTTTTTTTTTTAAAGAGGTGATGTTATATCTGATAATAATAGAATTATTAGGAAAATGGCAAGAAGCTGTGGAATTGTTAGAAGGTCCTCTTAGTCGTAAGTGAACACAAGTTGTAATTTATTATTTATTCAAAAGAGTAATGAAAAGGACATGGTTAATCAGAAAAATTCTTGATCTGCTTAAGGGCTGGCAATGACTTCCACTCATGCCTGATATTAACTTTAAACTATTGTGTGGGTTTTATGGACAAGAGTGCAATATAAGGCAATTTTGAAGAAACCTATGATATGTTAATTGGAAATGACCATTAATGTTTCTTTTAAATCAAGCTCTATTTATTTTTCAGAAAAGTTTGTTAGTGAATTCAATTTTAAAGATACCAAACTTGGAGAGCTTTATAAGAAGTTAGAAAACTGGTCCAAGGCTAACATTGTCTATAAAAGGTTATTGAAAAATAGGTAGGAACATTTTGATGTTCTATCACGAAAATACCAGATGAATAAAGTGGACACTCTGAAAGGAATGTAGCTTGTGACATTGCCATGGCATATAAACCATTCAGTCATATACAATAGTGATGTTATATTTTCATTAAGTTTTATGGATTAACATAAATCACATAAGTAATAATCTGAAATTGGAATGGTGATAACAAAAGAGATCTCTGAAGCATATACTTGAAAACCTCTTTTAAGTCTCTGGAATACCTGGTATAGTCTATCAGAATTCATCATTGTCTTAAAAGAAGTGGAATGGACAAATAGTCAGCACTGAATGTATTTAATGAAAATGATCATTTTCGAACCTTCTCAATGAATATTTTTCAGTCCAGATCATTGGCAGTATTGGTTAGAATATTTAAATTCAGCTATATTACTTATACAGTCTTCAGATTCACATAAACAGAATGGGTATAATGATTTGTATTAAATTATGTTTTTTAGTGTAACAATCTTTTGAGAGGTTCTGTAGCACAGTTAATAGAGCATTGGAAACTATACATGACGTCATTTGCTTTATGTTGAACAAATGGTAGTTGCTGATATTGATCATCATTTCTTCATTATTCCAGCCAACCAGTTGTGTATGCGAACTGATTTTTTTTTTGTGCAATTTGTAACTCTCTAGTCTAAAACTATCTTCATAATGTCAATTTTATTGTGATATTAAACTTCTATCTTGATTGTAATAGCCACTATTCTTATATCTTGGAATGTAGCTATTTGATCGGATTGTATGCCAGCAAATACAGCCAAACAGAGCCCTTGGCAAAAAGATCTGTAACCATTATGGCTATGTGTTCACAGGCTTTCTGTCAAGCCTTTGATTGGCTGTATACAATAGCATACAATTCAATCAAATCACTCCATTTCATAAATTTCCAAACTTTCATGATACAAGATAAATGGCTATTTCAGTCAAGGTATAAGACTATATACGTGGTAAATCCTGACCCAAATTCTCTGAATGGTTGCTTTGATGTTTGTTTACAGAACAACAGAGATAGAAGTTGAAAGTGCTGATGATACAGTAGAGAAGATACTAGAGTTAATTAATGAGTTATTGTCTAAAGGTTGTTCACCTGGTATATATAATAGAGGACCATTCTTAGCTAAAATACAGTTAATTATATTATTAGAAAAATCAGATGCTGAAAAAAGTAAAGATATTGGTATGTTGATTTTTTTCCTGTTCTTTGAGATAAAGTGCCACAAGATAAGCCAATCTTTAGTTTACTGCTTGAGGATTAAGTCCACATATTGAGGATCTTTATCGAGTGCTGATGTCATATGAAATGAGTTGCCCGATTTTTAATATTTTCTTGAGCCATGGCGCCATTAACCAACTTATTCCATTCAAACTTTCTCTGACTAATTTTTCTTACATTTATTTGTAGGCTCTGTTGCAGGTTTGTTAGTGCAATATTTTGAGAAGTTTGGTGATCGGTCTTGTTGTTTTGGTGATTTTACATTATTTCTGGATAAATTAACAGATTCCCAGAAACTTCAAGTAAGTTTATTGATATGTTATGATTTGTTCATAAAAGGCCCCTTTCTCAACCAAAACATTTTTTATTAAACTGCAAGTACACCAAATGTTTGTTAGTTAGTAAATCTCAACAATTGATAGCTGATGAGTGAAGGGTTGTGCATCCAAATTTTACAATTTGTTTGGTAACATCAAAAATTTGTTGAATAAGTAAATTTTTCAATTTTGTCAATCAACACAGCTGGGTAGGAATAACTTGTGAAAGATTATTGCTCTGATGTTTATCCTTGGAACAAGAAAAACCTACGACAAACTGTGATCCTATGTATTTTTATTTTTTAGGTATTTAACAGTATTAATGAATCAATTTTTGAAAAACCAGAAACCAAAGTGTATGCAGATAACGTAAGTATTAATTTGATAGCACGGCAAGTTACACTTACATTCAAACTGAATTATTATTTGATGGGTCTACTAATAATAATTAGCTGATATGGTCCATTGTCCACATTCAAGTTGTGAAATTAATTGTCAAAATTTTCAGATGTTTGAAATGATTCAGATTTATGGACAATTCACTATAAAAATTAGTGCCAAATTTCATATCATTTTTGACATTGAAACCTACGTTTCATTATATTAACAATAAGATGTTCATATTTTTATAGGTAAAACTACTACAGAGACATCTAATAGTTTTACAAGTTGAAAGATATTTAGGTTATTTACATCCATTATCTATAGAAGATAAACTAAGTAGAGTACAAGATTTAATAGATAGATATAGACAAGGCTTACAATTTGGTAGGTTCAACTTCATACTCATGTCAGAGGTACATGGGGAGCCGCAGTGGCTCAGTCAGTTAGACGTTTGCTCTCTTAGTTCAAGGGTTTGAGGCTTGCACCTATGCTTCCACATTTGGATTCTTAAGCCTAGCAGTTTTCCTCCCCATTAAGTCAGTTTGTCCCTTATTTACACCCTCAGTTCTTAGAGGATGGTGCTGCCACTATATGCATCTCAGGATCTTACAATTTGATCATTTGCACATTCCAGGTGTTAGTTTTTAGAAGTAAGCATGATGGTTGGGTGTATTTAGTCAATTTCCATACTTTTTCCATACTAATTAGATTATGATAAGTGACTAATATGATATTTCTATATATTACAGGTGATAAACTACTCTCAACTGATTTACAATATAGTGATAATTATTTAATACTAGCTGTGCATTTATTAGTAGATTTATATACACAAACTGGTAGGAATTATTTATTATTTTACATCTGTGAGACTCCTGCTTGCTAATCTGAGATTCCAAGGCTTGGATCTATCGTAGACTGAGATAGTCTCTTGAGATTTTTCAATTGGGATTTTACCTGACAGAGATGAGAAGCTGACATGAAAAAAGCTTCTTGTTTTTTGTTTGACACAAAAACAGAAGCCATGTGTGCTTCAGGCTGTGTTTGTATGAACTCTTAACAATTGGAAATCAAAAAAGGGATGGCTACTGTCTCAGTCCTTGAGTCCATCAGTTTAATCTGAATTAAATCCATAAAATTTGATATATGTATTTTCTGCAGGTATGGCTGGGATCTGAATTTTGCAATCGATACCCAGACCTATCTGAAGGAACCCAAATAATATGGTCGTTCAATTTTATAGGTAAAGATGACTATATATGGCAAGCATGTATACAGCTAGAACAATGTATTAAAAACAGTCCATCTAATTTTCAAGCTAAATTAATTCTGTTACGTTTATATTGTACAATGGGTATGTAGAATTCATAAGGTTCCTGATTTTGAAACTCTACGCCTGGTTTCCCCCTTTCAGGGATGCATGTTAGGGCCGTTATGTTAAAAGTGTCTAATCCTTTAAACCATAGGCTCCATGTGCAATGTTACACATGTACACTCTCTCGACTTGGATGCCTCTGTCCTGGCAAGATTTCCCTAATTGCTCACTGCATGGTGTTTCTCATTCTTATTCATTTCAGTAAATTGAGCCATGATCTGTTTTTTTCTGAGAATTTCACTGAACTTATTCTCTCCCAAATTGGTCATATTGAATCATTTGCTTAGATTTGGATATTATTATTAATGTAGGTGCTTTTGGACCATGTCCAGCTCTGTATGATAGTATAGAAGTTAAACATATAATGAATGATTCTTTAGGGTAAGTAAACACTAAATAGAAGCCATAATTTAGGCATTTCCGTGCATTTTAGATATTGAATATTATTCACCATCAGGATGCTGCAAGTCAGAGAAGCTGAAGAGGCAAAAGTGTCGTTTGGAAGGACAATAATCCCATACCCTCTGTGCAGCAGTTGGTGCACATTGAAGATCCTTGATTGTAAGAAATGGAAAACGAGTAGGCTTATGTTGCTGTACTGATGGAATTTCCTTTATTGCACACTGCATGCCTTTATTGATCATAGAAATCTGCAGCAAACACATAAGATGTTTAACTTTATTTCAAGTCAGCATCATTGTTCTTTACATTTTAATGTAATGATTTATTTCAGTCATATTGTGTTTAATCATGTTGGTAGACTAGGTCATTTTGTATCAGCTTGTGCTAGATATGGTTCTATGTTACGATTTTTTACTGTTAATCATAAAGAAGTAAGGTTGTTTCATTACTTTCACTGTTAAATTAGTGCTTAAAACATCAATTGTAGAGCGATAAGAAATATTAAAACAGAACCTGAAACATGGTGTTACTCAGAGTTTCATGCTGTGCGATCATCAGAGATATGAAAACAAATACTACTTGTAAAACCTCAATAGGGACGCAGGCCGAAATATGTCAGAGTTCTATTTTAATCTTAAACAAATTTAAGTACAGGTTGTTTGCTTACATTTTATTGGAAAGAGATATCTAAATTGGGTAATAGTCTTTAAAATATTTGCTGCTGATAGAGCTCATGTTGAACTATCCATGACACAGTATTAAACATCCTGGAAATCAGACTCTGATCCATACTTAACCTTGTTGTTTTCAGACGACAGATTACCTCATATCTTCCTATAAATATGGCTCTTTTAGTAAGGTAAGTTGAATTACTGTACTTATTGATAATGATACCTTCCGATTTTTCAACCTGGTTTTCCCCTGTCCGTGATGGAGGTTGGAGGAACTTACATATGGAAAAACGTTGAGTCATTCTGATGGGATGTTTATGGACCTGTGCACGTTAAAAATCCTTAGACTGTTGGAAATCAAAAAAGAGAAGACAAATATGGCTGTCCTGACAAAATTTCCCTTATTGCACACATCATGGCATTCCCATCTTTAGTAGGAGTTGGACGTAAAACTCCATTCATTTCATTTACTGTATTTGATAGACAAAAAATAATGTGAGTCTTATCACAAACACAAGGCAATATTATGGTTTAAGCACACTTCTTTAATAGGTATTAAACACTTAACATTTCAACACAACTTATTATTAGATAGAAATGCAATAAAATTTGATCTTCAAGGAACTTGCCGAAATTACTGTGAAAAAGATCAAATTTTATATTTGTAGTTATAATTATTTATATTACAGATATATGAATTTGTTAAGTTTCGAGAAAGGTTACAGAACTCAATACAGTTTGCCAGTGCTACAGCAGAACGTTTATTACTTGATCTCATCTTAGAAACAACTAGGTAAGAAAACTTTAATCTAAATTATATTATAAAATAAACCAGCCTACAAACTGTAAAAAGCCTTTCATTCATACACTTGTCATGAAGTGTTGTATTGATTTTTGGTTTTCTGCTAAATCAATCTTGACTTAAAGGAAGAGTTATGATTTTTTAATTTCAGTCATCCTGTTACAGAACAAATGATAAATTATATGGAAATTAATCCTGTTCAAGGTAATCAGTGGAAACTTTTTAGATTTTATTCATATTATTGAGTTCAGATACACTAGAAAATATTGAAATTGAAATATTATAATCAAGTTTTGTTAAAAGATATTTAAGGGATTGTGGTTCTTGCAATTCCACTAAAACTGACTCGTTTTAAGTCACTAGAGGGGGAATTGCATAATTAATAGTAGCTTCCAGTAGCTCCCCTCAAGTGACATTGAAAATGGGTTAGTTTTAGTGAAATCGTAAGAGGCACAGACGTTGAAATGAAAATTGGAATGGTGCAAATTGAGGCTATCCGTGTCCCCTATACACATACAAAATTTAGAAAACCTCTTTAAAATCCCTTTTTTTTTTTGCTATTTTTGTTGTGAGATTTTTCTCTTCAATTATAACAATGATAATAATTTCTGTCACATTTTAGATAAAACTAATTTTGAAGAATTAAGAGATAATCGTGACTATAAAGTTATGCTCAATTGGGATGCTCCATCCATGTAAGTTTCTAAATGTCTATCCACACAAAAAAACACACAGGACCTTTCCCCCTGACAAACATGAATATTTGAGGGGCTCACATTGAGAAAGTTTTGTGTTTCTGTTGGATTAATAAACCCAGGCAAACTATGTGCAACAGGCGATCAATAATCTAACAAACTTTCTCTTAAAAGTTGTGTCCAGATGAGTTTTGATGAACCAACAGCTTCAGCATAATGTATGCTAACCAATCAACGACACTGTTAAGTGGATGGACAATGCAACTACAAAGTTGACATTTTAGGGTTTCAGATTTCCTTTAACTTTTTTTATTTTTTTTATTAAATCACCCTCAGAAGAACACTAGATGAATTTGAATTGAAAGTAGAGCTTTTTCATGTTTTCTTTGTTTGTTACAGATGTAATGTTGAGGAGTTACAAAGTAAATCATTTGAAGAAGAAAAGTGTTGGTTAAAATTGCGGAATTATTTGTTAAGAATGTTGGCAGCTGCTGTGATAATAGGAGAAAATAGTGACACATCAAATTGTCTCATGAAAAATGGTGTGTCAGAAAATGACAAGCCACCCATGAGCCAAACCTTACAAGAATTATCAGCAAATATAGAAAATTTTATTGAAGATTGTGTTGTATATAAAGAACAATATCAGGTACTCTTTCTTACTTTAAAATATTCTGATATTATTTAGTTTTCTTGGCTTTGGGACTGTAAATTTCTAGATTCCTATTTTTTCCATATTTTGTTTGTGACTTGTTCAAATTTTTAAAAAGTAAACATGATTTCTTTATTTTGTTTTATACCAGTTTTCTTGTCTTATTGTTTTCATACCTCCATTTTTATCAAATTTCAATATTTTTAAGCCCCTTCCTAATGGCAGTTCCAGGGTTTATATATCATGGAAACTGAAAATCAGGGCTAGCCCCCAAAAAATGCACAAAATTGATAACAATATTTGATGGATGACAAAAATCAATTTCAAATGTGCACCATGGCAACAATCTTTCCTGGATTATCCATACCTATAAGGTCACTGGAATTCTGCATACTGACTTAAATTCAAACTTATGAACACAATTTTCCTGTTTCAACTACGAGATATGAAGGTCATTATGAAATGGCACATAAACTATGATTTCTGATATATTATATTCTTCTAGGTACCTTATGTGCTCCAAGCTCCGTTTAGAACTCGACTGTCTTACTACCTCATCAACGAACATCATAAAGTTTTAACTGAATTGGTAGAAACTATTCTCTATGTACATAAATTAAATGTAGATAATCTCGGTAAGAGTTAAATTATCTAGATTGACCCACTGTTATAATATGGTCTATCATGATACAATATTGAGGTCTTAAGGTTTAAAGTCTAAGAGTTATCTCCCTTAACTAGATGTTACGCCTGAAGATGGAGGTGATAATGTCACTGAGTGTGTGATTAGCTTTAAGTCCAAGCCATTCCTAATGATCACAACTCTTTGGAATTTTTAAATTTTGACAACTGTGCTTTTGACACGTGATCATGATTGTATGATGAAATATCCAAAGACTCTTGCTTAGTCCAGACCTTTGAACATATTTTTTATAATGCAGATACAATTGAAGCTGAAGAGGAAAGAATCAAGTCAACAATTCCTAATTTGGTTGCAGGTATTTGTTAATTTAACACATTCTTTCTCATTATACGCTTTTCAGAGCCGCGGTGGCTCAGTGAGTTAGACGCGTGCTCGCTAACCTGAAGGTCCAGGGTTCAATCCCGGCATAGGTCGAGATTTTTCATCCCGGTTTCCCCCTGTAAGTGATGCAGGTACGAGGGGCTGGCATGGAAAAAGCGTCTAGTCATTTGGATGGGACAATAAACCAAGGCCCCGTGTGCTACAGGCTGTGCACGTTAAAGATCCCTTGGCAGTTGGAAATCGAAAAAGAGCAGGCTAATGCCGCTCTCCTGGCAAAATTTCCCTCATTTTGCACCTTGCATGGCGTTGCCCGTCTTCATTAGCCCACATGGAGCAGAAAATTAGGACGTAAAACTCCATTCATTTCATTTTTATATACGCTTGAGCTTGTCCGTGCAAGCTACCTTATTTTATACGCCCATATGAAATGGGGTGGCGTATATTGGCAACACACAAGGCTGTCCGCCTGTCCACAGATAAACGCTCTAGAAGGCACAATATTCGACAGTTTGTCATCACCCTGGGATGAACCCTAGCGCAAATAAAAAAAAATCAATGCGTCCGCTCACTGTTACAATTCTACTAAAACTAAGCCTAGTATGACTTCACTTTCACAATTCTACTAAAACTAAGCCTAGTATGACTTCACTGTTACAATTCTACTAAAACTAAGCCTAGTATGACTTCACTGTTACAATTCTACTAAAACTAAGCCTAGTATGACTTCACTGTTACAATTCTACTAAAACTAAGCCTAGTATGACTTCACTGTTCACAATTCTACTAAAACTAAGCCTAGTATGACTTCACTGTTCACAATTCTACTAAAACTAAGCCTAGTATGAAGTCACTGTTACAATTCTACTAAAATTAAGCGTAGTATGACATCACTTTTACAATTCTACTAAAACAACATAGTATGAGGTCACTGCTAATAATATTTAAGGGCTTTTGCAATATTGATGACAAACTCTAGAGAAAAAGTTCAATTTAAATAATAATGATATTTGTATTTCAGCCTTAGTAAATACTGTAGAAATATCAGACAATGGCTTTACTAATATCAATTCAGCTGTATTAGAAAATTTAGTTCTATGTGCAGAGGTATGTTTTTTTTTGCTAATTTATATGCTTTTTAAACTCCGCTCAAAAGAAAAATTGCTGAATTGTTTGCGGTTCTCAGAATTCTTATTTTAAACGATGATTACAACATCCAATATAGGATTAAACTTAAAGCTGAAAATGTTTGATCAAATTAAAAAAGATTTCTAGATAGTACTAGTAGTTTAGTTTTCTTAATTTTCATTTCAGACCTTCTCTTTTATGGTGATATTAGTTGGTGTGTGCAATAAATTTTTGAAACCTCTGAAAACAACTTTATCCAAAAAATTGAAGAAAAAGAAAGGTCCAGCAATTGAATTGGTATGTTACTCCCTTTGTTCAGGCATGATTTAAAATCTGCAATAAAAAAAAGAAATAGGTTTTCAGGAATCTGTCTTCGACCTGGAGCCTGGCCAAACCCTTATCAGTAGCCTGGATTACCTGTACCCTTTAATAGTTGGGTGGGCTGGAATAATGAGGAAAGATAGCTTTTTAATTTCTCGCTGATCGAGATTAGAATTCACAACCACCATTGTTTTAACACAATGATGAAGTCATAGAATTCAAAGAGCTTTAAGGATTTTAGCAGCAGTAACATAATATTTATCAGATTATAGTTATATATAGTTATTTATAGCATTTGATGTTTTTTCAGCCTCCAACATTTGAGAATTACAATGAACTATTAAAATGTTTAGAGAAAGGAGTAGCATGTTTACATTTAGCTTGTAAACAAATCAACCCCGGATTTCTCGAGTTAGACTTATCTAAGCTCAGTTTAGCTGAACCACTTACACAACATGAGGTAGGTGTTTGTAGATAATTTGGCAAAAACTGACATTACTGTTTACAAGGATCCAATGAAAGCAGTCTTCCAGTGTATTAAAATGGCTGAAGATCTGTGAACTTCCTTGTATTGTAAAGAGGTTCTCAAACCCATTTCACTCTGTCAGTGATGATGCAGGTCAGAGGAGCTGATAAACAAAATCATTTGAGTACCACCACACCTAAAGGCTGTGCATGTTTACAATTCCTTAACAGTTGGAAATCAAAAAAGAGTTGTCCCATATCATGGTATTGCTCATTTTCATTATCCAAATTGGACAAGAAATATAGGATACAAAACTCAAAACCATTTCTTTCAGATGCTGGATTTTTTAAATTGCCAAGTATGAATTCTACTAATTCTAAATCGTTGCATTCACAAACTTCTGTGTTACAAGAATAGTGGCTATTGCTATTTTAATATCCTGACATGGTAAACATTGTAATTACTATACTTGATTCTTGATTCCTCAGTCCTCTCGTGTAATTATATTTGAGAATTTCTGATTTCTGTTGTATATTTAGGATGATGTGACCTATGAAAAAGAAATGTGGAAGAAAGTAGAGAAAAGTTATGAAGAATCAGCAAGAGAAATCTCAGAACTACTGCATAATAAATTACTCTATATTCATACTTTAAAATTATGAAAATGGACACTGTAGGCTCTTAACCATTCATTTAACGGCAAATTGAGACGCGAAAAAAGATGTTTTTCAAGATTTTACTTAGATGTATGCCAGGGCTGTTGATTTAAGAAGTTCCCAACAAGACATTTGATTTAAACCTGTCAAGAATCAGGATCAAGAACACATGAAAATGCAATGAATATAGCACATTTGCATTGAAAGTGTCCTAAAAATCTAAATTGCAGTCAGTCATTGTGGAGGTTCAATCCGACATAACTGGCAAATTCAATGAATCAACAGCCCCATTGTATGCCATTTGCCATCCATGATCGTTATTGAACTATTGTTCTATGTTATTACAATATCCCACCATGAAATGTTCTATTCAATGATTGAATGTGTTAAGAATTTTCTCAGACAACTATCTACTGAACACGATTTAAAGAAGATTGTTGACAGATCATGGCTGACATTTGAAAACAGTTGAAACAAAAATATTTGGATCAGCATTTTATTAGATTGATTGAATACTGTAATGTTTGCTTAGAAATATATTGAGAAGGTAAAATCTATTCTTTTGTAGGTTATTTTGTTACTCAATCAAATCAAATCAATTTTTTTCGTAAAAATAACATCCTAATTTCTGTTCAGATTGTACAACTTCATCTTATTTGGTTATACTGCGTGATTTGCACTTACATTAGACAAGACAATTTACTGTTAGAATTAAAATGAATTTGCACAAATGAAATGAAAATAGTTGTCCCATCTTCACAATGTCAAGCTATTACAAACTTTGAACTTATACTTTGACCGCAATAGCCACTATTCTTGCCAGGGAATATAAACTTCCTTGATACTAGAAAAAGGTGGCTTATGCAGTCAAGGTATACGTTTGTAATAGCTTGATATTGTGAAGATGTAGTTGTCCATGATACATAATTTGAAAGAATGGTTTGAAGTTGTGTTCTGGTTTGAGTTTGTGATATTTTTATACTTGTATGTATGTATGTGTGTGTGTGTTTTTGTATAATATTTATTGTATAAATTATAAATAATTCAAGTGTGTGAAACCTCCATAACATTTTATACATCCACTGGCAGTTGTTTCTGATTACATCACAGATCTCAAGTTCAATTGTTGATTGTCCTCACCAACACCAGTGAGATTATTAATCACCTGCAACCCTTTTCAAGATGAAAATCATACTTTAATTTCATCCATAATTAAATTAATTTGTGAAGATGAATGAGAAAATTTGTTGTGTTATGGACTGAGAATTTCCCAAAGGTTGGTATTTTTATCTACCCAAATACAATCTAAAAAGTTAATATTAATATAATTGGTGGAATCTGATTCTGTGAACATTGTAGACAGACAGTAGAAGATTGTCCTTCCACAAAATTTAAAGGGATAGGTCCTTCATCATTTTCACCAATTGTACTGTAGTCAAAGAAACGAAAATTTCTCATCTTAGCTAATCACTAATGTGTTTGCTGCTTACTGTCGAAATTTGATCCTTCAAATCCACGTATGTCCAGAATGATATAAATCAACAGTTAAATAGACGACTTGCCTTTTCTTGAGACACTGTGATAGGTAAGACATATTGTCGAGATACGAAGTCAAATTCTTCTTTTGAGGTAATTTTGAAGAAATAATGATTTTCATACATTTCTAGTACTTCTGAAGACTAATTACATACATTAAATACTCAAATCAACACTCCAAATTGGTGAAACTATCCCTTTAAGTTCTGCTTGACTATTATTTATAATCTAATTATGTATTTTATAAATAAGATTGTAATATATTGTATATGACATTTGTGATGTGCTGCCAGTTTTCTAGAAAAATAAATCAAATTGTGCTACATTATATTTGTTTCATGTCAATTATTTGTGAATGTATGTCAGTGATGTTGTAAAAGTTATCAACCCATAAGGTGGTCATAATTAGTCAGGGTTATAATCCCAAGTCTAGGTATTAAGAGGGGAAAGCACTGGCACAGGCATCAGAATTTTTCTTACCTTGAGCAGGATTCGAACCCACAACACCTAATATTGCCGAGCAGATTCACTACCACAAAAAGACAGTGTTCTAACCGAGCCTTAGAGTGAAGTATTGACACAGTTTGAAAGTTGTTAACCCCTTCAAGGAGATATTCATTACAGCCTGGCTAAGATTTTTGTCATTCTGTTTCAGTCGTTTTCTGGCCAAGTCCATGTATGACAAACAACTTAAAGTTTATATGTGGAAAGCAGCCTGATTATCAAAACATGATCTATGCAATAGATATATCAAAGCCTGTAATTTGACCATGCCACTTACAAAAGTAATCTATTCCTTATACAAATAATAATATCTTGCTTTAGACAAGTTAGAACAGACAAACTAGTATAAAGATGACTGTATTTTTTTAATACTGTGCTATACTCACACATGGCACAAAGCCTATATTAACAAATATAATATATGAAACAAAGTAATAATTAAGCACTATCAAAATCATGGATGCTAATAAAAGATCACTACCAAAATATTCCAAATCTTTTATATTTCTGATCTTAATGTGCCCAGAATACAGATAACTACTGACTAAATATTTAACAAATGCAAAGCCAAATTTCTTATTTCTTTTGCAAGATATACAATAACCAGTTATGACCAAAATTATTCAGTTCACATAGTTCTAAGTGGAATGTCTATCTCAATTTTACACAAGTAGCATAATTTCCTATTTTTTTGACAATTTCACCAATTTCAGTGAAATTCCAATTTTTTTGGAAAAGGTCCAATGTGGACTGTCATTTGTCATCTAAACATCTAAAATTCATAATGCTTGCTAAATTTCATTCCACACAAAACAAAACAGTAAATAAATCAAAGTATAGATTAAATGTTTGAAACATGACAACATAATTCTTATGTCCACAGTCATGTTTTTATGCTGTTTCTACAGTCAACCATAACAGAAACTGGTGTTCAGTAAGGATTGTGATAAAAATCTACACAACCAAGCAGCAATAATATACAAACATGTTCCACTGAAGCATTTATATTAAAAAAGCAGTTTAGTTACTAAAGTAACCATACAAAGCGTTCAGTACTGAAAAAAGTATGAAGTGTTCAGTACTACAAAAAGTGTTCAGTACTACAAAAAGCGTTCAGTACTTCAAAAAGCATAAAGTGTTCAGTACTACAAAAAGTGTTCAGTAATTACAAAAAGATTTCAAAACTACACAAAGCGTTCAGTACTACAAAAAGCGTTCAGTAACTACACAAAGTGTTCACTACCATATCTAATCACAACTATGTCTTGACTCTTGACCATTCTAATTATCTGAAATGTACAAATTTTATATGTATTAAATCTTGGTACATGCAGTAACAAAATCTTCAGTCCAAATTCAAAATCCTGTTACTTATTGTATATACATATAATCATCTAAATATTAGCTTATCAACTTAATTTGCTTCTATATTGTTTATTGTAGTACAGTTCTCAATGACCTCAAAGTTATAACAGTCAGCCCTTTTTAAAAACCGGGAGCACCCTTCTGAGCAGTAATAGCTCTGAAGTTGTATGAAAAAGGCATGATAAACAAGAAATGATATCTATTCATCATGATTCTAGCAGATCAAGACCAAGTTTCAGATACAAAACCCTCATCAGTATTGTTTGTTTTAGAAATTGATTTTGGTGTAGAGCAAAGCAAGCAAATTAACAAAGATAGCTTGTCAGGCAAGGTAATATATGCCAACTGGCGGCTTTGATTTTAAACAAATATATTTGGCAGTAAGCTTACAGTAACAATTACTAGTATGAAATATTCAACCTTCAGTCATACACTTCTTTTGAATTTTTTGGGGCGATACTGTATAATATTACCAAGTTTCATCAAAATCTGTCAAGAATTGGGCCTTCTAGAGTGTTTACGAGCTAAAAATTGAAAACGTTTTCAAGAACAAGGGCAATAACTCATACTAATTATTTTTCGACTTTTTTGATTTTTTTATAGGGTTCATCCTTAGCTGATAACAAACACTCATACCAAGTTACATCAAAATAAGTCAAGAATTGTGCATTCTAAAGTGTTCTAAAGCAATTGTGGACCGACGGACTGACGGACCAACGGACATGGGTGACATGGGTGAAATGCTCCACATTTTATGTGGGTGTATAAAAAGAATATCCTAGAGAATCTCAACTCATATTGACTAGAACTCATAACATACTGCCAACACTATATATATATTTCAATATCAGATAAAATGATGAAATTTACACATTGAAACCTACCAGAGTATATTTATTTGCATGGTGGCCATCTTTGGGAGTGGAACACTAATGAGAGACAGTTTCCAAACATCAAGATTTGTGAAATAAACAGAGGAATACCACCATATCTTCTCTTCTCAGGGTCTGAAAAATAACAGAATTTTATTTCCTTCTCTTGGTTACACTATTCTGAACTAAAGAATGCACTGTGTTTAATTAACATAAAGTTAAAATTTGCTTAACATACACTACAACCATACATATTTACAATCTCAAACAGTCTCAAAAAGTCTTGTACTCATAAATGCCAGGATTAGCTGGTAGACAGGATCATCAAATCTAACTAAAATATGGATGCCTCTTTTTCACTCATGCAGCATAAAGTTTTACAATAATGTTAAAGGGACAGGTGAACCATTTTGGGGGGTTGATTTGAGTGTTAAATATCTGTAAATAGTCTTCAAATGTACTATATATGTATTTTCTATATATCACAGTATCTTAAAATGAGTTCTTATTTTAATATTTAAATGTAGATAATTCTGGACACACAAAAGAGTTTCAAATTTTGACAGTGAGCTGTGAACTCTATTACTGATTAGCTTAGCTAACAAATTCCTGTTTCTGAGACTGAGGTTTGATTGGTAAAAAAAAATGGTGCACTTAAAGTGAAGAAAGTGAAAATTTATTCAAAAACCCAAATCCAAAATAAGATTTACATCAGAATTTCTTGACAACAGTCATATCACATCAGGAAGATAATCACAAAAATCTAAATCTATAAGCTTACCTCCAGAGTAATAGCCCAAGGCATAGGCTATTCTTCCAAGTAAACACACAGCTCCTAAACCAGCTGTGACTTTCTGAAGAAGAAAATGAAGGTATTGTGGACCTTTTGCAGTATAAGTAAGTTGTGGAATTTCTAACTTCCATTGGCACAAAATTTTCTGGTTTATTCTCAGAAACTTATTCAAGAGAACGTCAATTTTAGGATTTCTCATATTTTTCTAGGTTAATTTTCTCATTACATACTAACTAACAAGCTATTACTACACATCATAATTTCATCATTTTCTTTTCTGAATTGAAGGTTTAATACTTACAGGGTATTGTAATCCTCCAACAAACAATAACATTAGAAACTGTGGATATCCCTCAAGTCTGAATTCAAATGAAAAAATCTCAAACTTGCCAGATAATTACATAATAAAAGAAATAACAATTTGCTTAATAATATCATTCAGGCAATAAAAAAAAATCCATTTAATTGAATGGAATTTTTAAAATATTACTTTTCAGCATGAAATTTGGCAAAAGATGTTCATTTCTATGAAGTGTAGAATGAGGGCAATTTAGTCAAGATTGTGTATCCCATTTCAATATTCAACTGTATTGAAAATGCATGTTTTTCTATAATCTTTAATGGACTGTATCAGCAAAGGGAAAAAACTCACGTATTTTGGTGTGCTCTCTGAATACAGTTGAACTCTTTGTTGTCTGGACTGTATACAACTGGATACTACAAAAAAAAAAATCAATTTTAAAAATGAATATGTATAAACTACAATACATTCAATCTTTTATTAAGCAAGCACTAAGGCAGTGGTTGCCAACCTATTTCAGCCTTCACATCCCTGGAGCAATCATTTAGATCTTTCACACCCCCAAAAATTTGTTTCATCCACATGTTCAGAATGTGATGATGTGAGGTGCTATCTCAATTCAAAATAAATTCTTATCCTACACCAGTTGGCCACACCCCTGACATCCTAGTCCCACATCCCAACAGGACGAAAACACCCCAGGTTGGGAACCAGGGCACTAGGGGGAAGGCTTAAAATCAGCTGTCTGTCTAACTCTAATGAAGGTCAAGGTTATGTGGTGATATTTTAGACATTAACTTACCTGGTATGCTCAAAATTACCAAATTTTGAAATTTGCAAGGAGGAATTTTCACTGGTCGTTGAATGAAGGGTTACAATAAATGGGTGGCCATTTTCGCTGTTTGTACAATTTAGGGATATATGTCTTACCTCAATTCCAAACTTCTTCCTTGCCTTCATCACATTCATTGCCATCCATGTATTGATCACATAGCTACCACAGCCAACTAATACCACATAGCCATAACCACGTGGTAAAGTTAAAACATCACTAGCTAATATCATAGTCATTTTGAATGCACAGCAGTTAGTCTGAAAAAAGAAAATACACATACACAGTTAAACACTGTCTTGATATTCAAATAAATTGATACATTGTTTTGAAGCCATTATCACAAATCCCTTTCTCTTTTCTAACTTTTCAGGTATCAAGCATTGAGCTTAATTACCTCCCTTGAGGCTGCCTTCATCACTCAGTAGGCTAAGCGCCCTGCATTTGGTGTAAGGTACAGCTATCCAAAGTTTCTTCATTTTCATGCAATGCCAATACATGTTTTGTTTTTAAACCACTGCCTAAATTTGTTGCAAGATAAGCTGACAGGAATATTTGTCTGTTTTCTGCAGGGTTAGATAGATTCACTTTAACTTTTTCAGAGTTAAAGATGTGATTGCCTAATGTTGTAAATATCTTTTATAGAACAATTTCAGTGATCCTGTGGCTGTAGCCAACTTTTAATACTGTATTATTGAGATCACGAGTCAAACAAGATCTAAACAAAGTCAGGAAGAGGAAGATTTAAGATTGACCACAAAAAGCAAGATGACATCATTGATAATATACGAGCTTGATTTTCTGTACTAGTCTACTGATATGTCTACAAGAATCATATGTCTACAATTCACTGCTTTAGGTTCGTCAGGTTTGATTTTATTCGAAAAAACAATGTAACATTCACATTCACCTTTCTCTCTGAAGCCAGCTGATGAAAATGAGGAAGTGAAGGTCAAGGGCAAAGTACTACATTGCCATCTGTAGTTTATTCAGACCACAATTAAATTCATGTTCGCTTAATGGATTCAGAGCAGTACAGCATAATCTTTTCTGTCTGTTTCACTTCAGTTCTCTTCAAACTAACTTGCATATATTCTAGAATCTAAGCCTATAGCAAAGCATATTATGTGATATTGATAATGTGACTGGGACATTAGGGTCTAATACATTTTCTCATGAATTTATAATATTTTATAAAAAAAAAAATGTTCAGATTAAAAATTAAGATATAACTGCAAAATCTCTTTTAAAAAGATTACATTTATTAACGGCTAAGATTGACAAATATACATAAAATGGGGACAAATATATTAAACAAATACTCTGGATGTTTTTTATGTTATGAGAACAAAGATATAGCCCATAGAAAATACAAATACTGCCAGGTAATTCTCGTGCAAGATCTACCCTTTCCTAAAGATAAGTCTGATTTTCGAAAGATCAGTCGAATTTGACAAGAATCAGACTGGACATTTAAGTATGAACTTCCAAAAATCAGTCTGAACTTCTGGTCTTCGAATAAGACTGATTTTCCAAAGATCAGTCTGATTTTCCAAAGATCAGTCTGATTTTCCGAAGATCAGTCTAATTTTCCAAAGATCACTCTGATTTTCCAAATATCAGTCTGGTAGTGATTTCTTGGAATCCAATGATCAATGGTCTAACAATTAAAGATCAGTCTGGTTTTTCAAAGATCAGTCTGGAAGTGATTTCTTGGAATCCAATGATAAATGGTCTAACAAAGATCAGTCTGGTTTTCCAAAGGTCAGTCTGATATGTCTATTCCTCGGAAATTCGGTCTGGTCTCGCAGTCTGGTCTATGTTTATGATCACAATATAACACAAAAATCTCAAATCTGTCAATCAAATATACAAAAATACGTAATATAAATCAGTTCTAAATTACAAGCTATAAGTCTTATAATTTATAATAGTTATATATTATAGTTTATAAAATAAACAGAAACAAATCTTTTAACTTAGCATCTGAAAAAGAAAAATATTTTGATAAATAAATAAACAAATTATGGATATAGTAATAAAAAAAATTATGGTACTTGATGAATTGTGCCTACAGCGTAATGCTAGTATTTATAAGGTTAAAGTTTGATATCCTATCCTATAGCAACAAAGCCAGGCTGTGTATTCTCGAAACGATCTTTGCGCTAGGAAGTCCTGGGGTCTTAACTGTCTCCCAATGATCATTCTGTTCTCCAAAAGATCAGCCTGTTTTCCCAAAGACCAGTCTGTTCTCCCAAAGATCAGTCTGTTCTCCAAAAGATCAGCCTGTTCTCCCAAAGACCAGTCTGTTTTCCCAAAGCTATTCTGTTCTAATATTTTAAATAATTTTACACCAACCTGTTAATTCTGTATTTATGAACCATTCGGTGTCCTAATTGAGCACAATTACCCAACATTAAGAGCTGTGAAATAAACATAGGTATTCCGCCAATTCTTCTCTTACCTGGTTCTAAATACCAAATATGAAAAAAACATTAACTGAGTTGGTGAAAATGGACGTATTGAACTGGCAGAAAGGTAATTTTTATACGTTGAAAATTTTTTTATTTAAATATATATATTTATTGGCATTGTTTGTTCACCTTCCCCCTGTCTTCCATACTAGAACCTAAAGCTGAAACATTCCACAATGAACAGATGACTAACTCAAAGTCAGTAGAGTTAGATAAGACCGAAACCACGACCAAAAATTGTCCGCTGGAATCACAGAGCAAAGCAAACTACTGATCGAGCTTCAGTTATGGTTGTAGATTAAATTAACACATACCTCCAGTATAATACCCAAAAGCATAGGCAATTCTACCAAGTAGATAAACTACACCTAGTCCAGCTACCCGTTTCTAGAAAACAGAATTTAGAAAACGATACAAATCATAGTTTTATAGGGTACCTAGCTAGAGTATGTGAAATATCTAAATTTAAGGGATATTGTTGTGACGTTTAAATATCTGCTTTATCAAATGATACAGCCCAATTACGACCATCCGTAACACTTTTCAAAATTCAATTCCGACGATCTAGCCGTATATTTCAAACAGTTATTGAGATTTTGATATATTATCGGTAACATCTATATAACATGGAAAATTGTTGACAAATACTTACAGGATTGTTTAAACCACCCACAAATAACATGAACAAAAACTGAGGGTATCCTTCTAATCTGAAATTTAAATCGACAGTTTTGTTGCTAGCGAGTGGTGTTTCTATAAATCATTAAATGGAGCACGGTCTCAGAACTTTCAAAGGGGGCCAATAGCACAGACGAGTCGGGAGCCCGTGGACTCAAGTGGGTTGGTCCCCTTTTGTTAATTTTTATTTCCTGGGAAGGGCCCCCAATAGAGGAGGAGGTCGGTGAACTTGGTTTAACCAGTCCCTATGATATTTGAGCAAAGCCATAGAAACGCCACTGCCTTGCGAAGGTGCAGAAATGAAATGAAATGAATGGAGTTTTACGTCCTACTTTTCTGTACCATGTGGGCTAATGAAGACGGGCAACGCCATGCAGGATGCGATGAGGGAAATTTTGCCAGGACAGCGGCATTAGCCTGCTCTTTTTCGATTTCCAACTGTCGAGGTGCGAAAGTGCAGAGCAGAAGGATTAAAGCATGAGATTTCCAAGCAAACATTATGACCTTTCACATCTTATGAAAGCTAATTTGGTCCTGAATTGCATATTTATGAATGCAGGCTTACTTACGTGTTTTGATGAGCTCTTTGAATACAGTTGAATGTATCATTGTCGTCACTGTATAGTTTGGGGTACTGAAAATAATAAAAATCATGGTGAAATAATTTCAGCGTTAATCATTTCTCGATAATCTTGCTAAAAAATCAAATATGCCATGGAAGTTAGAACTGGTGACGTGGTTAAGACACTTTTTATTGTTGGTTATGCCGAAGCGTGTTGGAGTATTGTACTCTATGACGTCACGGTATGATTTATCATTCGTGCAAGTAGTTAGATGAGGATAACCTGGAGGCTCCAACTTTAAAATGTTGATACTGACGATATAACAAAGACGATATATTAGGGCATTTACCTCAACACCATACTTCTTTCTAGCAGCACCAACTTTAAAGGCCATCCACATGTTAACAGCTACACTGCCACATCCTACTAATATTACATATCCATATTCGTTAGGTAAAAACTCAATTATTCTTTCCACTGAAGACATTTTGGTAGATTGTCAACTTTACATACAATTAGTTCTACAGTTAATTAAAATCTGAAAAAAACACTCAAATTTATCTATTTACACCAATTTTCAAATAGGATTTTTGACGTCTGGTATAGCAAAGTTCTAAATATGTGGCTTATTTTACAAATTAATTAATTGATTATTTGATAAATATTACAATTTTATGGTCTTACATATTAAAAGTATTACTTACTCTGTTCCAAGAATTTATCTTAAATCTGATGAAAATTCAAAATAATTATTTCAAATAGTCCTATATAATGAACCATTTCAAAAAAATCGAAATTGCAGGTTGGATTACGCGTGCTTACCATTAACGTGAAAGATAATGATTTGTTTAGTGCTCTGACTGATCATTTTAGCTTAGCTTACCTTGTACAATGTCTAATGCATGCGCCTATCTCAAATAAACATGAATCAACAGTTTTTGAGGTGACAATGAACCGTGAGATAAAGGTCAAATAATTTTATCTCCAAGGGTATAATATTCACTGCGTTCATTCATTCATAACAAGAAAGGCCCATATAGACCTTGGCCTATTTAATAACAAGATCCGCTAGGGGAAGGTGGGCTATAGCCTATGACTGGTTGTGTGCTTTACAATCAAATATTTCACTGGTAGGCGATATGAAATTGGATAATATGTAAATTTGTCACAATATTTTCGAGTCATTGGGAGTCTTCGCAAGGTAAATTGGCCACAGTACCAATGTAAATTTGACTCAGTAGTCTTACGCGGTTTAAAGGTAAATTGGCCTCAGTCTTAATATCAATTTGAGGCGAACTACTATGTGCAATTTTTGCCATTGGTTTGAGTTTTGGAATCATTATGTCATTTGCCTTAAACAATTTTTGATCATTGGATAAATCTTAATGGTCATGAAGAAAGTTTGTTAACTTTTAATAACTCATTAATTGGCCGTTACCACGTGGTAAAGTTAAAACATCACTAGCTAATATAATAGTCATTTTGAATGCACAACAGTTAGTCTGAAAAAGGAAGAACAATATGAGAATATTCACTGCTAAGTATTGTCTTGATATTCAATGAATGGATACATTGTTTTCGAACCATTATCATAACTCCCTTTTATAACTTTTCAGGTATCAAGCATTGAGCTTAATTACCTCCCTTGAGTCTGCTTTCATCACTCAGTATGCGCCCTGCATGTGGTGTAAGGTACAGCTATCCAAAATTTTTTTCATATTCATGCAATGCCAATACATGTATTTTTTTTTAAACCAGCCTAAATTTGTTGAAAGATAAGCTGACAGGAATATTTGTCTGTTTTCTGTAGGATTAGATAGTAAGATGGTAGATTCATTTTAACTTTTTCAGAGTTAAAGATGTGATTGCCTAATGTTGTAAATATCTTTCATAGGACAATTTCAATGATTTTGTGTGCTTTACTGGTACAGTATATGATGTATGATGTAGTCAACTTTAAATGTGCTGTCATGTGGGATATAATATTCCCATTCAATTTTATCAGGGTGAAATTTCAAAATATTTTATGATAAAAGTTGGATCAATCTTGTAGATCAGAGCACAGATTTAGATTTGAAGCCTAGGCTATTAGGTTTCATGTCCAAATTTCATAGGCATTACTGCACTTCAATTTTCTACCCTATATTTCCTCATGACCTCATTTTAATTTAACCAAGGCAGTGAAGGGGTGCGACTTTATCTGATTGTTAGATTAATACACTGACAGAAAATATCTTCATAACCATTAAAGATGGGTTTCCTTATTTTTTTAATGTCAAATGAAGCAACCTATTTGATTAATTGGTGTTTCTAATTGGTGAATTATCATGTATTTTTAATCATAACGTTTCAACACAATATACAAGTGACGTCATCACATTACATCTGATGACGACACGTGTATATTGTGTTGAAACGTTATGTGCCCAACCTTATTAAAGAAATGTGTTATATTCCATAATATTGTCTTGTGTTTTGTTATATGTGCTCCTCGCTTGTATATGTCGTTCAAATCTTATATCAATGATAAATGGTCTAACAAAGATCAGTCTGGTTTTCCAAAGGTCAGTCTGATCTTCCAGGGATATGTCTACACCTCCAATATACGGTCTGGTCTCGCAGTCTGATCTATGTTTATGATCACAATATAACACAAAAATCTAAAATCTGTATATAAAAATATTTAATATAAATCAGTTCTAAATTACAAGCTATAAGTCTTTTAAAATAAACAGAAACAAATCTTTTAACTTAGCATCTGAAAAAGAAAAATATTTTGATAAATAAATAAACAAATTATGGATATAGTAATAAAAAAAATTATGGTACTTGATGAATTGTGCCTACAGCGTAATGCTAGTATTTATAAGGTTAAAGTTTGGTATCCTATCCTATAGCAAAAGATCTCTCTGTTGTCTCAATCTGTTCTCCTAAACATCAGTCTGTTCTCCTAAATATCAGTCTGTTCTCCAAAAGATCAATCCGATCTCCAAAAGCTATTCTGTTCTAATTCTCAGACTGTAAAAGCAAAATAATTTTACACCAACCTGTTAATTCTGTACCATTCTGTATCCTAATTGAGCACAATTACCCAACATTAGGATGAATGAAATAAGCATTGGTAGGGCGCCTAATTTTCTTTTTTCTGGGTCTAAATACCAAATATGAAAAACATTAAGTGAAATAAAAGACATGTTTTACATTTCAATAAATATATTTCTTTGAATTGTTTGTTCACCATCCCCCTGTCTTCCATACTCAAACCTAAAGCTAAAACATCCCATATTGAAGAGATGACAAACTCAGAGTCAGTAGACTAAGATAAGAACGAAATCACGACCAAAAATTGTCCACTGGAATCACAGAGCAAAACAGACTACTAAACTACTGATCGAGCTGCAGATATGGTTGTAGATTAAATGAATTCACTTACCTCCAGTATGGTATCCAAGAGCATAGGCAATTCTACCAAGTAGATAAATTACACCTAGTCCAGCTACCCATATCTGGAAAACAGAATTTAGAAAACGATACAAATCATAGTTTTATAGGGTACCTAGCTAGAGTATTTGAAATATCTAAATTTAAGGGATATTGTTGTGACGTTTAAATATCTGCTTTCTCAAATGATACAGCTCAATTAAGGCCATCCGTAACACTTTTCAAAATTCAAATCCGACGTTCTAACCGTATATTTCAAACAGTTATTGAGATTTTGATATATTATCGGTAACATCTATATAACATGGAAGATTGTTGACAAATACTTACAGGATTGTTTAAACCACCCACAAATAACAAGAACAAAAACTGAGGGTATCCTTCTAATCTGAAATTTAAATCGACAGTTTTGTAGTTTGTGATAGTAGCATTTCTATAAATCATTAGATGGAGCACGGCCACAGATCTTTCAAAGGGGGACCAATAACACAGACATTGGCTCAACGAGATGTGCGGGGGCCAGAGGATTTAAGTTAGTTGGGTCCCCTCCTCCGTGGGCTAGTGGACTTGGTTCAGCTAGTCCCTATTGTAGAAGAGGCAGTTTAGCCACCGCAATAAGAACTCAATGGTATGACATTTGAGAGGGGGGAGGTGCAGTAGGATCCAAGCAAACATGACCGTTTAGCCCTTCCATTTATTTTGAAAGCCTAATGAGTGTTTACTTACGTGTTTTGATGAGCTCTTTGAATACAGTTGAATGTATCATTGTTATCACTGTAAAGTTTGGGGTACTGAAATATCAAAATGATATAAATTAATAAATCACAGTCTACAAATAAGGTTAAGATAATAATTTCTCGATAGCACTTGATAAAGTGGCAATATGCCATGGAAATTAGAACTGTTGACGTGGTTAAGACACTTTATATTGTTGGAGATGCCGGAGCGTGTTGGAGTATTGTAGACTCCACTTCTTGCTTCTCGTAATTTAACCCCATATTGTACTCTGTGACGTCACGGTATGATTTATCAGTCATGCTAGTGATCATGATACCCTGAAGGCTACAACTTTAAAATGTTGATACTGACGATATAACAAAGACGATATATTAGGGCATTTACCTCAACACCATACTTCTTTCTAGCAGCACCAACTTTAAAGGCCATCCACATGTTAACAGCTACACTGAGACATCCTACTAATATTACATATCCATATTCGTTAGGTAAAAACTCAATTATTCTTTCCACTGAAGACATTTTGGTAGATTGTCAACTTTACATACAATTAGTTCTACAGTTAATTAAAATCTGAGTACGCTAATTTTCAAACATCTGGTACGTCTGCAATAATAATAAAGAATGCATGCATGATAGAATTTAATGATATAGCTATAATAATATGCCTACCATTTAAACGTATTATATTTACTAAATGTAATGTATTTTTTACAGAGTTATATTTTCCAGATTCCAATTTCTATTCATATTCATTTAACACCGGTGGCATATTGTTTATAAACAATATATGCTACTGGTGCTTAAGGAACATGATTACTATTGTGAAAACAGTTCATTCATTTTTTGCCATCAAAGACGTTGTAAAGAGGTTTTCTAAACTTTTTATGTAGGCCTAGGTCCTATTTTGAGGGCACTGATAGCACCAATTTGCAACATTCGAATTATCAGTCAGATGTCTGTGGCTCCTGCAATTCGTCGTCATTAAGGACTTAGTTTACCATGATAAATCAACTTTGGTCTGGTTTCACGAGTTGTGCCCCTTCTCAGTTGATTTTCATTTACGAAATCAAAAAACTATTGTCGAATCCACGCGATAAACAGAATATAAACATTAGGATTAGATTATTAACTCCAGCTAAAAGGGTCGACGAAAGTGTAAAAAGCTTTGGCATTTATTTCATTGTGAGTATATAATCTTTTTTGAACTGTGATATATAGTTCATTTTCGTGCTGTATTGACAATATTTCTCAACCAGTCCGTAGTCCGAAACATCTGTCTCTGTTTTGTAGGGATTGACTCCATGTTGTGCCTAGTAGGTCCTACTAATCATTCCTTTCAGTTGATCAAACCTTTACCTGTTGTTTTTATGGGAATTTTATTCTTATATCACCCTACTAAGGTGACCAGAATTATAGTGTATATATCCTATAGGCCTACCAGTGCTATGATTATGAGAATAATTGTATTTTCAAAATGTGTTGAAACACTAGGCCTATTATTGTGTTATCGGAAATAAATGATGACTTTGGAGAGAACCTTTTTTTTTTAATTAATTAATGGGAACAAGAAGATGAAATTTGACCTTCTGTGGAAACATTTAGATTTACTGGCTTCATTTTTTTCCAGTTGACCTCTTGAACTTGTAATTAATATTAATACTACATTACTTTGAGATCATGAACATTTTATTCTGTAAAATCACCATTAATTTTTGACTGCTATAGCAAAGGATCCCAGACTTCCTCTATTATTTTATTCTAGATAATGATAATCTCATTATTCTAGACAGTAACAATCACACTAGTTATTTTATTCGAGACAGTGATAATCACACTATTCTAGGCAACGACAATCACATTTGTCATTTTATTCTAGACAATCACACTAGTTATTTTATTCTAGACAATCACACTAGTTATTTTATTCTAGACAATCACACTAGTTATTTTATTCTAGACAATCACACTAGTTATTTTATTCTAGACAATGAAATCTCCCTTGTTATTTTATACTAGACAATCACACTAGTTATTTTATTCTAGACAATCACACTAGTTATTTCATTCAAGACAATCACTCTAGTTATTTTATTCTAGACAATGAAATCTCACTTGTTATTTTATACTAGACAATCACACTAGTTATTTTATTCTAGACAATCACACTAGTTATATTGCTTAATCCCATACAATATTCTATGTATTATTCTAGGATTTAGTAATGTGATATCATCAAACTGGAGTATTTTTATTGGCTAGGTGCAGGAGTTATTCTCTTACTCTCTGTATTATTTTTGATTTATACACAAAATTTGAAAGTAAGTATAAGCTTTAGTATACTGTTTCTTTGTTCAAGATAATTTAAACAGATTTACACATGTAATATGGACATTTTGATTTAAATCTAGGTTTAATCATTGGCAGAGCCAGGTTTAAGTCTAAATATCTGAGATTGCCCAAATTTTTAACCTAGTATGAGATTTTTTGGGACTGCGAGGAGGTGCGGCTGCCCGCCACTGGGTTTAATTCACATACAATTTTGTTAGTAGCATCACATAATGCTAGTGCTGAAAAGGAAGAAATTTAATTGGTTGGTAATATTAAGGTGTATGGAGATGGTGTTATGGATCAGATGAAAGTTGGTGTGGTTGCATAAGAATGAAAGCTTATAAAAATATGAAATGAAAAAACTTTGGGTGCAAATATTTAATATTGCTCATTTTTCCCTTCGATTTGTAATATATGTGCTCGTGTATTAAGCTATTAGATCATAATAAAGAAGGCTTTTTTCATTTTTTAAGAGTAAAATGAAGCAAACTATTTGATAAATTGGTATTTATAATAAATTAACCATGTATTTTTAATCAAAAGAAATCTACATGTTGATGTTGAAGTGCTTGGAGGATACAATAAACTCAAATCCACGCTGTGTCGCTAAATTTAGACTTCATATTACCAAATGACGTGAAGCTATTTTTGAATACTGGCCACATTTTCTTTTTTTAAAATAATGAGCCAAATCTTTTTGGAAGGAGATATGGAAAGTAAGCTAAAGCTAATTTATATTCATTCATTATATATTTTTTCAAAATGAAATTGAAATATAATCTTTCCTGTTGCTTGAGGCAACAAATAGAATACCAAAATATTCGAATAACTGTTGCATATAATTAAGAGTTTTATCAACCAAAGAAAAATGTCTATGACTGTACAGACTGGATAATAGAAAAAAAATACAAATTGATCGTTCTATTGCGGTTACTGTTCAGAACATTTATCTGCATTCCCTTGGTAATTAGCTTGTTTTTTTTTTTTTTTTTTAAAGTTAACCAGGGACAAAGTGGTATTTTTTCCTGATAAAGTAAAACACCTCTACTTTCGATTGCGATAATAGAATATATATATAAATAAATGAAATAAGGGAACCCATCTTTAAGTAAAATTTTCATTGCTAGTTAAGAAGTAGGCGGAGAGATTGAAGTGAAAAATATTCTACAGAGTGAAAGTAAATGAAATAGAAATTGGTGTTATATTGATTGAATTAAACTAAAATTAGTGATAACTAATCATTTGATCAAGTCTTCATTCAGAGTAAATATTGTTTATTTTTGTTGATGACTGTTGTCAATAGCGACTTGTGAATATAGGTCAATAGTTTACACACTCCTTGGCAAAGATATGTCTCTTATTAATAAGCCGATCTATGAAATATCATATAATATCAACCTTATAACACCTACTAAATCCTGTGAACGATTTCATCTGAAATGTCTAGTGGGGAACATGAGGATTTGTTAACTAGTGTAGTTTTATTTGGAGTTTTTGGTGTTTTGTTTTATCCTCTTGGATTATCAGCCACATACTGTTGGCAAAAGGTATTTTGATCAAAGATATTGTTGAACTCTGTTGGCATAGGTCTATTTTTTGAATAACATTTTTTATGTTTAAAGTGGCAGTATGCAAAATTTTCAATTAGTGTCAATTATAGGGAAAGATTTTTGAAATATGCTATTTATATCTATGTATGCATGTGATTAAACTGAATTATTTTAAAGGAACTTTTGGGCCATTTTTTTGGCCAATTGTACCTTAGTCTCAGAAATAGGAAATTTTTAGCTAGAGTTCGAGTGTTCACAGCATATCATATCATTGCCCAGAATTATCCGTGTGATATATAGACACAACATATATCTAGAAATAGTGAGTAAAATTCCTAGTTAGAAGTATTTTTGAAGGAATTTTGTGACTTTCTTAGATTTCTAATACATCTGAGGACATGTATTCAACACTCAAATCAACCCCCAAATAGCGCACATTCCCTATAAAAGGGATGATTAGACGGGTTTTTACTAATATATGTAAGCAGTTAAAACTATATTGATGTTAAACTGCTAGATATTGTATGAAAGACATATGTGTCTTTGCCCCCATGTTTTGCGCTACCTTTATGTCATAGTACATATGTGTCACGATGAATATGTGTCATAACCCCTTTGTGACGAGATACAAATGTGTCATTGAACCCTTGTGTCGTGATACATATGTGTCATTGCCCCCTTGTGCTGAGATACAAATGTGTCATTGCCCCTTGTGTCGAGATATATATTTGTCATTGCCCCCTTGTGTCGAGATACATATGTGTCATAACCCCCCTTTTTCATTACATATGTGTCATAACCCCCTTGTGTCGTGATACATATGTGTCATAACCCCTTTGTTCTGTAATACATATTGTATCATAACCCCCTTGTATCGTGACATGTATTGTATCATATCATAACCCAGCACCAGTACATGACTTCCATGGCTGAAAGGCCATTAATACTGAATACAGTCAATTGACAAATTGTGACCTGTTTGAACTCTGAACAAATAAATAGGCAAGCCATAGCGTGAAACATAACCACCAATATATTATGTCAGCCAGACCACATGACACTTTTAAGGAAAGGGGAGACTGAGAAGTGTCATCTCATGATTTTCCTAATTAATCATATTTTATTAATCACCATTTTATTTTAACATGGTGAAAGTTGAATGATTTCCTTTTATTCTGTCAGGGCCTAAACATTTGATTAATATACTTTCAGGGATTTTTGAGCAAAAATATTTTTGACTTCATTTATCGTTTAGTTTTGCCTTCATTTATCAATTAGTTATGCCTTCCCAAAATAAGATGTATACAGTGATGTTAAAACAAGTATTTTTGTGGTCTGGCTTACTACGTATAATGAAAAAGATAGATAAAGGTTTTTGTTCATTGTGAAATAGAGATAGACTTGTATTACAAGTTCAGGTCAACAACATTTGAGGGGCGTAATGGACTAGTGTATGTCCGTTTGATTTGAACTTGTGTGGGAAAAACACTTGCAAGGTATGAAATTATGATAAAGAGAAGTTTTGTGTTGATTTTTCTTTAAAGGATTTAATATATTTCATACCCATTTCAACCCATTGTTGATGTATAGAAAAGGTTTTTAATTGTGTTACTGTAGGGATTTAAAAGTGGACCATTTGTCAGGATATGTTCAATATACTGTATTTGGAAATATTTAAAAAGGCTTAACAACCGTATTAAAGATGGGTTTCCTTATTGTTCTTTTTCAAATCAGTCTTTGTGTTTGATTAATTGATGTTTCTAATAAATAATTCAAGTACCCTTGTGCTTTTTCTTTGAAATTGAAACGAAATTTCACTTTATAATATGAGATAAAACCCACTTATTGTTGAACACTGGGAGACCATATTTAGTAATATGTTATATTATGAAACTAGACATTATGTCAGAAGATAAAAGTGAAAATGAAAGTAGTTAATTTGTTCCCAAATCTCTAGATAGTATGATTTGTGTTAGTACTGAATTTGTTCAGTGAACCAAGAACACTTTTGATAGCTAGTGTATTCAGTTAGAGTTAAAATTTGAGAGAATTAGGTCACATGTCATTTTTGTTTTAAACACTCTGGTTTTGATTGGTAAGATGTCTTTATTTTGAAGGTTTTTTTTAAGTATTTTTACATTAAAAGGCTATGGGTTGCCAATTTGGGTCTTGAATATATGTAAATAGTCTAATCCCTTTAAATATAACTCAAACTAGGAATTTCACTTTCTATTTCAATATATATACAGTGGTTTAACCTATTTTCGTAACCTATTTTCGTGCATATAAGGATTCAACACCAAATTTCGTCAAAGTTAAAAAAAAAAATTTTTTTGTCTTAGATGTTTCCTCAGATATTGTACAAAATAATTAAAATTGGTTTGTTTCGATTTTCTTTATGAATCCTTCACTTTGACCCATATTTCATGAGCAACAGAATCCGCTAGTTGATCACGTGACTTAATTCGTTGGACAACATTCTAGCAGACGACACTTGGAATTCTGATTACCGCTTGGGATTATAAGGAAATTCAGCTGATAAAAAATGGTGACGTTTGGTAATAACTGAAATCTGCCATTTTTTATTTGTCAAAGTATACATTAATACATTTTACCTTGCTTGAAACTACTGAATTCATTCTACTAGCTGATATTGTAGAGAAAACACATGTTTATCGAAACAAGCAAATGCGGAGGTCATGCGAGGTCGCACATGTAAACCTTAAACCTTTCCGGAAAGGCCGAAATTAGGTTACTTGACTGTATGTCTTGTTTTATATATGGCAGAGTTGAGTGGTCATTTTTACTTTCAAACATGGATAATTCTGGACACACATTGGATTTGAGTGAGTTATGAACACTATTACTGATTAGTTTAGCTTAAAAATTCCCATTTCTGAGACTAAGTTACGATTGGTCAAAGTGATGGCAAATCTGTAACTTAAATTGGAAAGATGGAAATTTTCAGCATTTTTTGTGAACTTTTTTGAAATATATTCCCCAACTATGGACTGGTATTATTCAAATTCAGTTTTTTTCTAATAATGTTAGCTAAGATGAACATGCTAGTCTACATTTATCTCAAACCAGCTAATAGAGCTCATATTCAGCTTCTTTCAGCTTTTTTGTATAGATGAACCATTTGTTAGATCTCTGTTCTTAAAAAGGATGTGCCCCGTGTGCTACAGGCTGTGCATGTTAAAGATTCCTTGACAGTTGGAAAAAGAGCAGGCTAATGACGCTGTCCTGGCAAAATTTCCCTCATTGCAATCTACATTAGCCCACATGGTGCAAAAGAGTAAGATGTGGGGTGCCCGTTGGCTCAGTGAGTTAGACGCTTGCTCGATGATCTGAGGGTCCAGGGTTCCATAGTTTGGGATAATACCATTAGATTATTTTACCTGGTTTTGCCCCTGTCAGTGCTGCAGGCCCTAAACAAAATATCAATTGAGTGTTAACTATTATGAAATATATGTAGGTAAAAAATGTCAGTATGTAGGATTCAATGCAAACTTGTGAAAAGAGTGTTATATATAAATAGCTTATCATTTAGAAAGGGCTATGAGCCATGTAGCCAGTTAGATGGTTTAAACATCTTTTATACTATGTGGCTAGCAAAAAAATAGAGTTTTGTACACAGTGGATTGAAAATGTTTATTAGCAAACCTATTAATTTGATAATTTAAACTGTATAATTCCTGCCTCTGTAGAATATTAATCTGATTAATTTAGTAATTATGAATATTGGTAGTTAATTTACAGTTAATTATTAATTACCTTTCCTCTAATGATGCTCGTTAGCTAGAAAAATCAATTATGATTTGATATATATAGGTACCATTGTTTTGTATGTTCTAATAATAATTAATAATGTTTAAATAATTCACCATTAGTAAAGTATAAGGGTTTGAAGCAATATCCAATCTCTTGGTGTTAAGGTGAAATGAGAATTTAACTCATAGAAAGCACGGGACTGGGTCTGAAGCATGGACTATTCATTTACCAGTGCTGGTGTTAAATTAGTAGATAGTGGACAATCAATAAGAATAAATAGCAAAGAAAACAGTTTTTTGAATTTTTTCTATTAAATGCTTCACAGGCAAAAAAATCAATCTGAAAGCCTACTGGTGCCACAAAAACATCATTGTGTTTCTAAAAACAAAGTTATATCCACATTTCACTAATTAAAATATCACTTTTGTTGACAAAAATGTAAACTCCCTGACAATAATGTCATATCCAACCAGAGTTGTGTCCCTTCTTGGACCAATTTACTTTGTCAATAGGGGTGGTGGAACTGCACATGGTTATTAAAACTGTACAGTATATGGCCATATGTCAACCCAATGCCCCTATAGTAAAATGACAACAACTTATATTAAGCTATTAAAAAATTAAATCAAACAAGAGAAATCCCTTATATAATAAGTTCAATTTTAATTTAGTGTTAAAATATAGATGTTTTTGTCTCCACAAGTATTAAAACAGAACCTGAAACATGTAGTGCAATCTTCAGACAATGATGATGTTCATCTATTTTCAGATAAATGGTTATATGGGGACAACATGTTGTAAGGCGGGAACGAGTGTAAGAATGTCGAAGTCTATACACCAGAAAGCACGGACTTCCCCGTACCCGAGAACTAAAGATATCATTAGGACAAAGGTTGCTGATGATAATGTTCCATGGAAAGTTGAATATGATTATAAACCTGTAAAATACACATCAGAATCTGTTTTAAAAGGTCCTGTATGGGCAGATCCTGATATTAAGTAAGTGCTAGTGTTTCTTAGAAAATGTCCTCTACATTTAAAGCATTTCAAAGAAGGCCCTAAACCATCTTCAGACTGTCAAGCTATAACAAACTTTGTAAATCTTTACCTTGGCAGCAATAGATACTATCCTTCTCATATTACAGCTATTTGATTGGATTGTACGCCAGCAAAGACAGACAATCAGAGCCCTGGACATAAATGATGTAAACATTATGGCTTTGTGTTCACAGACTTTCTGTCGAGTCCTCTGATTGGCTGTATTTCCAATCACATTACTTCATTAGCAAACCTTCATGATAGTTTTGTAATAGCCTGATATTATGAAGATAGCCCCATATATACACTATAATAAGATAATTATGTTTTTTATTGTAGACCGGGTGATAAACACAATATACAATTTAATACTGTTGATAATAATGTAAATAGAACAAGTTTTATTTGTAAATATGAAGTTGTTAATTCACTGCCAAGGTAAGAAAATAAACAAAGAATGAGACTTCGTCACAAAAAATTGTTTTAAAGTCATTCAAGAACCAATGTGTGAGTGGAAATTAATAGCAATTTTTGACTGAATATTTCTTCCTATGAGACACTTATTTGATCACCTGTACAGAACTGCTGTATTTTGAATCTCTTCCTCTACAGTTGCTTATTGTTTATTAATAATATGTGTTTTATAGTACATTAATTGTATAATTTTGTAGAAATCCAATGGGTAGAACTGGTCTTACTGGTAGAGGTAGTTTAGGAAGATGGGGACCTAATCATGCTGCTGATCCAATAGTCACAAGGTAAGTGCACATATTTAAAGACATTAATACCAATATGCCTTCACTTCTCAATTATTATAGAGATTTAGTTAAAGACTGTTTTTGCTCTAGGGACCTTTGTCTACAGATAAAATAGGAAATATGATGTCTTTTTATTCTGGTTGTGATAAAAATTCTAAATAATGCTTGAATGTTTGATTTCAGATGGAAAAATAAAGACAAGAAGATTTTACAGTTTGTGGCTGTACAAAGAAAAGATAATGGTGAATGGGCTATTCCAGGGGTTCGTATTTTATTTTTTGTGGGACTTTGCTTTCAGCATTTTAAAACAAAATTTAGTCCGAAAAAAATACTTCGGCCGCCATCTTGATTTGATACTTTTTCATAAAACTCAAAATGGGGCTTCGGGGGAGAATGGGATTGGTCAAATTTTTATGTTGCGACAAAAATGTTGGAAATGGATTTTTGAATTTGACTTTTGCTTTTTTGCAACTTCCGGTCGAATTTTTTCAATTTTTGAAGGCTTGTATCTCGTGACCTTGACCTTTGATGACCTTGACCTTTTTAGGGTCAAAGGTCATTGACCTTGGCTACCTTTTGATACTTTGACCTTTGACCCCAGATATGTACTTCCGGTTTTATAGCTATCCGTAAAAAGCCAAATTCGCAACTTTGGACTGCTCTAACACGTGACCTAATTAACCTAGAGGGTTAATTTTTTCGGTTTCCTAATGTGCTTCTCATGCACTTTACATAGATATAGAACAATTGCTTTTTTAAAGCAAAATTTAAATTCTTGATTTTTTCAAATTTGAGTTTTGTTTTACCATATTTGTGTCTTTTTGATCTTGGTGTATGTATATCTTATGACCTATTTTATGGAGAACCTTGATATTTGGAATACAACTAGACACTTTGAATATGAATTACCCTATTCAAAAAAATTAAGGTGGGCGTGGCACATCCGGGTAATATTACTCATTATTGATATTTTTGGCCAGGAGCATAACTCGCAAAGTATACGTTTGTTCAAAATGGAACTTTGCATACAATTATCTCATGAATTGAGCCACTTTGTCTTAGAAGTTCGGTTGTTTCCGCTTCTTAGTTCAAAAAAAGGAACAGGTTTTGGAAATTCAAAATTTTCAATTTTTGACCTTGACCTTTGATGACCTTGACCTTAATTGGTCAAAGGTCATTGACGTTGTCTATTAGTTTATGCTTTCATATTTGACCTCTGACGTCTACTTTCGCTTTTATAGCTATCCAAAAACATCCAAATTCGCAACTTTGGACTGTTCTAGCACGTGACCTAATTAACCTAGAGAGTAATTTTTTTCGGTTTCCTAATGTGCTTCTCGTGCACTTTACATAGATATATAACAATCGTTATTTTAAAGCAAAATTGAAATTCAGGATTTTTTCAAATTTGAGTTGTTTTTTTTTTACAATATTTGCGTCTTTTTGAGCTTAGTGTATGTATATCTTATGATCTATTTGATGTAGAACCTTGATATTTGGAATATAACCAGACACTTTGAATATGAATTCACTTATGACAAAAAAATTGGGGTGGGCGTGGCACATCCGGGTTGAATTACTAATTGTTTACATTTTGGGGCTGGGGCATAACTCGCATAGGATATGTTTGTTAAAAAAGGGACTTTGCACACAATTACCTCATCCTTTTGGCCAGTTTGTGTTAACAGCTCAGATGTTTCAGCTTTATAGTTCCAAAAAAGGAACGGGTTTTAACATTTGGATATTTTCATTTTTCGATTTTGACCTTTGTTGACTTTTGTTGACCTATATCTTTTGACCTCTATTATGTAGGAACTTGACATTTGGAACATAACGTAACATTTTGAATATTGATTAACTTATTCAAAAAAAAAATTGAGTTGGGCGTGGCACTTCCGGGTTAAATTACTCATTATTGACATTTTTGGCCAGGGGCATAGCTCGCAAAGTATACGTTTGTTCAAAATGGAACTTTTTACACAATTACCTCATATTTTGAGCCAATAGAATTTTGGTTTTTTCCGCTTCATAGTTCAAAAAAAGGAACAGGTTTTGGAAATTCAAAATTTTCAATTTTTGACCTTGACCTTTGTTGACCTTGACCTTTGTAGGATCAAACGTCATTGGCATTGGCTATCTATTTATACTTTTATATTTGCTGTCCTAAGTCAACTTCTGGTTTTATAGTCGTTAGCAATTTGAAATTTTAATGGCGTATATCTCTTGATCTTGACCTTTTTAGGCCTTCTCCTTTACAAGATCAAGGGTCATTGACCTTGGCTATCTGCTGATACTTTCATGTGTGAGGTCTGACGTATTAAAATCTTCTAAAAAATGAAAATTTCTCAACTTTAGACTTGTTCTCGCGCTTGATCTAATTATCGTGGAAGGTTGATTTTTTCAGGGTCTTTTGCATTTTGCTACATTTGCAAAGTCCCACTCTGTGCCACGTGTGGTTCTAGTATATTTTTGTTGTCTAATGTGTAGTTGCCCATCTTCCTTACCTCAGTATGAGCCATTCGAGGATCCAAGACTATATTTAGAGGAATTCCTCTACTTTCGGGGCCAGTGGTATTTTTTGCTCAATAAAACAACTAAATATTTAGTTTGAGAGATGAAAAGATTTCTATATACATAGAAATTGACTTCCAAAGCATCTTAAAATAGTAAAAGTTCCCCCTGTACCTCACCTAGGAGCCTGTGGTTGCTTGAACATCAGCTGATATCCTCCATTTCCTTTATTATTGTTATTACTTACTTGGATCCTTGGTAGATACTTTTCCATTTCTTCTGTTTTTTTTAAATAAACTTAGTAATATTATTATAATATAAAATATTTAAATGTTTTCAGGGAATGGTAGATGCAGGAGAGGTTGTATCTCAAACTTTACGTCGAGAATTTGGAGAAGAAGCTCTGAACACACTTGAAGCTGATTCCTCTGAGAAGAAACATATAGAACAATCTTTAGATAGACTATTTCACAGTGGGACAGAGGTGGGTATCTTCATCAACTAAACACTGTTATGGCCTACCTCCCTGGGCTCTCCAAAAGTGATGTCAAGTTGACAGACCCAGAAGAATGGCATCAGATGTCCTGGAAGGATGACCATGTCCTGTAGATGCCAAATCTGCCTGACCATTAGTAGCTCATCAAATTTGTAAAAACTGTGAGAGTTACCTCCCTTTCTATGTTGTCTGCCACTATAAAATGTTTAGAGGAATATTTTGCTACCCAAAAATGTAAAAAAAGTACTTCACATTGTCATTTAGATTGTCAAAGGCTACTTATAGAATATAAAATGTTGGATAATGTAAGGGTTATTATCCTTTCTTTGTATTTCTTTGGATTGATCAAAGTTTGCTCTAATTTTAGAGCTTAATTTTTAGCTTAGTTTCCCTGTTTTAGTCAATTTGAACAAAGTCTTTATGAATTATATTTTAAGATATTTAAAGGGTATGTTGATGATCCTAGAAATACAGATAATGCATGGATGGAAACTGTAGCTATGAACTTTCATGATGAATTGGGTGATAGTGCTGGTCTTTTTGAATTAAATGCTGGTATGTATTGAATTTAGAATTTTCGAACTGTTCTAGAGGCATAGGCTGGCCCCGTTTTACACAGTGAAAAATGTTTGGCCTCTACTTGGCCCCCCTCTCCTATTGTTTCTCAGAAACACCATTCATCTTACATTGAGTTTGATAACAGAGGTAACTTAACTAAAAAGGAAATATTTATAGCTGTATTAATCAGATTCTTCAGGATGGCTATGGAACTCATTTCATATTGACCTCTTTGATTCTGTGTGCGGGCAGGTTTCAACTTATGCATTGGGATGATAGGCTCTGAATGTAGGTTTTTTAGTTGTGATAGTATAGTTTTATGAAAATATATTGTATATTTTACAGGTGATGATGCCATGAGTGTACAGTGGATGGATATTACTAACAAATCCAAACTCTATGCTAGCCATGAACATTTTATTCAATCTGTAGCCCAACTTCATAAAGCTGAATGGTAAAACATTAGTGTCTAAAACTTTTGGTACTCGTAGTGACTTCATTTGGATATTTACAGTGACTTCAAGTTCAATTGGATATTCATAGTGAATTTATTTAAATAGTTACGAATATTCACTGTGACTTCATTTAGATATTCACTGTGATTACATATTTGGGATTCAGCGACCTTATTTGGATATTTGGAGTAACTTCTTTTGGATAATCAGTCTATTAATCGGATATTTATGTCTCCAATTGAATATTTATTTTGATATAGATATATTGACTTCACTTTGGTATTCATAGTGATTTCATTTAGATATTTATAGTGACTTCATTTGAATATTCGCAGTGACTTTTTTTGGGTTTGACTTCAATTGTCTTTGTTTGCTTATCCAAATAGATATTGTACTATATTATGGAAAGTATTATCTGTATGGGTTTCTCGTGCCATTTTGTCTCTTTTGCAAAACAATGATTTTAATTGAAAAGGGAAGACTTGATTCTTCTAAATGTTTTTTCTTCCAGAATGGGCAATTTCTTTGTTATGAAATTGAAATAGGCCTACATGAGATATCAATTGATAGAAACAAAGCCATATTTCAAATCTATAAAACTATATTCTAAACATTTTGACCTTCACTAGTGCTGATATATAATGGAGAACTGTTGTATCCAAATAACTTTTAGTCCCTACAATCATATTCATATTTCTTTGTTATATTTTGTTGGTAATATTGTGTAAATCATGGTTTTAATGATAAGTTATTAATATCAAGATACTAACTTTGTAAATACCATAATTCTAAATTATGCCAAATACATATGTGCACTTCTAATATGTTATCTACCTTAAACTATAACCTCTTCAACACTAAACAATGTGTCAGAAATTGTTTTGGTGTTAAGGGAAATACCGAATTATAACCTTTCAACCCACTATTGAATAAAGTAACAATACCAATATTTGAATACAAGATAACATGGACATAAGACAACTACTCAAATCACTTTAACCAAAGTTAAAGACAAGACTCCGGATGGTCCTAAAAAAGACCATTGATATATTGTACTTAATTTGAAAACAAGACTTTTTCATCTTTTTAGAGATGTTTAGGCCCTGAAAAAGGTTGATTATGCATTATATGTATATTATATATACATTGTTGTATATCCACTACAAATGACGTCCGAGTTGTCTTTGGGCTGAATTGTCCTGCACCCCCAATATTTTTCATTTTAAGTTAACATCATATAAATGTTATTCTATTAATAATAACAACTTTTAATCTCAATTAGTTAGTTTCTTTGCTCCCAACAATCATACAGATTTATATGTATTGCTAAAAAACCTGAAATTTAATTTTTGCTGAATGTGGGTTTTATCCTTTTTACTAGCATGAGATTTATTCTTCAATTCCCTGTTATGTGAAGCACAATGTTTTAAATCTCAATACCAATAATGTCAAGCATGAGGTTTAACCCTCAATTCCATTGATATCAAGTCTATGGGAAAGCCTCCCAAATCATTTACCCCAAGCAATAAAAGAACAATTTATTGGTCAAAATTGGGAATCATTGGAAATATGAAAATGAAAGAAGAAATAAACAGTTGTAAGAAGCTTTTTAATGATATATATGATTTTCAGATCTTAAACACAAGAATTACCAGTTTAAACCTTAATAATAATCATTCAAAACTTCATTTCACACATTTATTTATTGTCTAAAAGGATTGTAAGGAGGTTTTCTAAAAATATTTTGTGTATGGGAACACTGATAGCATCAATTTGAAACATTCCAATTTTCATGCAGACAGCAGCGATTTATAATTTACTATCACACATATTATAAGCATATTTTGCAATTATACTGATACATCATTTTCAGTTATTCATAAACTTAATTGTTACAATAAACATTCAACATAAAGTCATTGTTATCAACAAACATTCAACCAAAAGTAATTGTTATCATTAAACAATCAACATTAAAAGTAATTGTTATTATCAAACATTCATCATAAATAAATTGTTATCAATAAATATTCAATGAAAAGTAATTGTTATCAATAAATATTCAATGAAAAGTAATTGTTATAATGTAAAGTAATTGTTATCAATAAACATTCAATGTAAAGTCATTGTTATCAATAAACATTCAATGTAAATTAATTATCAATAAATATTCAATGAAAAGTAATTGTTATCAATAAAAAGACAATGTAAAGTAATTGTTATCAATAAATATTCAATGTAAATTAATTGTTATCAATAAACATTCAATGAAAAGTAATTGTTATCAATAAAAAGACAATGTAAAGTAATTGTTATCAATAAATATTCAATGAAAAGTAATTGTTATAATGTAAAGTAATTGTTATCAATAAACATTCAATGTAACTTAATTGTTATCAATAAATATTCAACATTAACAATCACTATTTAATTACCATATCTCAAAATGATAATTTATTCAGAATCTGCAACTTTATGGTCTGAAAGTTCCAAACCTGATTAGAGTTGTACAACCAATTAGAGTTTGTATCATTGTAATTATTGATTATCTCAAAGATATCTTATAGGTTAATATTGTCCTCTATTAAAGTCCTTGAAATTATTATAAGTTAAAATCATTAATACTGTAAGTTTACAATTATTTTAAAGATATCTGATTGGTTGACCAACTACTATGTCACTAGAAAAGCCAATCAGAGTTCCTCATTTTGCACTTATGATTATCTCAAATTTGTGGTAGTTCTGAAAAGACACCCCAGATATATAAAATATGCATGTATGGAGGAAAAATGCTCACCAAGTAAGTAACTTTGGTTGTCCTCTTTGGATTGCTGCTAAAAAAATTAATGATTGACTATTAAAATATAAAAATCTGAAAAATAATGAACTTTATACTTATACCTTGACTCCAATAGTCACCTTTCTTGTATCATGGAATGCAGTAATTTGATTGGATTGTACACCAGCAAATACAGCCATTCATAGCCCTTGATGGCCAGATGGTTAACAACAGACTCTCTGTCGAGGACTCTGATTGGATGTATTCACCCAAATCGCTGCATGTACAAACTTCTGCGATACAAGAATGGTGGCTATTGCAGTCAAGGTATAAGACAAAGTTTGCAAAAGCTTGACATTGTGAAGATGATATCTCAGCTGTGTATAAATAATAAATTCCAGTTGCATAACATGTTAACAATCAATTTAAAATAATATTGTTGAAAAAAAAGTTTCAATAATAAAATAGTTTCAATGATTAAATGTCATAACAATCATAATGTGACTTTACCCGTTCTATTTTAACAAAACCAATAGTATCATTGGCAGCATCCACAAACAGAATTCATGGTCTTAGGTTAAGTATTAACTGAAATGCAGTTTGATATATCTAAAAATATAAACATAAAGGGATTGTGAAGAGGTTTTATAAAAATGTCAAATGTGTATAGGGGAAACTGACAGCATTGATTTGCACCATTCAAATTTCAATCAGGCATACGTGGTTCTTGCAATTCCACTTAAACTATGCTTTTTACGTTGTTACCATCATAGAGTTCCTTATATAGCAATAGCAGATTTTGTGATAGTGATGTCATCACACTTAACTTTAAGTGAAATCGTAAGAGACACAGACGTCGGAATGAAAATTGGAATGGCGCAAATTGATGCTATCAGTGTCTAGGATACACATAAAAAGTTTAGAGAACCTCTTTACAATCCTTTAAAAATGCTGATCATGTTAGCAATTATGAATTAACATTAGCTTTATAATCAAATAAATGATTAAATGCAGTTTATATGTGAAAGTCTCTATACACTAGTGTTTTTTGGCAAGGCTATCTAATTATAAATTTGACCAGTTCGGTTGGACAATGGATTTCAAAATATATTCCATTATATAACAAATTAAAAGGATTGACAAATATATCAAACTCTCTTATGAAGACTCTCTGCAAACCAAGACACAAACTGGTTTAAAGCTATTAAACCGACTATCAAGCACTGTCTGTCTAGCAACTTAGCTTTGGTATTCGCGTAAATGAGCGAATTATTATAAAGTTTTGTTCTCAAGAGCTGTTAAAAAGCAAGATATTTGAAACAAGAACTTTGGATGATAAGTTGAGAGATAAAAGAACATGCATGGGAATGAATCCTGATACAGGAAGTAATGAAATGAATGATTCAAAATGAATTTTCAACCTTTTAAAAAAAAAAGTCAATGTTAATTAAGGCTATGAGAACCCACTATCACAACACAAGCAAACTGTCTCAATCATCATCAGAGGTCACTGAATTGATAGAATTCAAATGATTTCTATTATGTCGAAATTCATCCTTTAATGATAAACTATACATAGAATAAAATGCATCTTCAGTCACTTCCCGTTCTATTTTTAAGAAGTCAGGTAATTTCAGACGATCAGCTTTAGCTGTATAGGTCTCTAATAATATTAATCCTTTACATCTGTAATAGATAAATTAATATTTTAGGCAATTTTCTTACATACATACTGTAAAAAGAGAAAATGCGAGAACTTACTCTTGGTCTTTAGCAACCAATATATGCTGTGCAGGCGTGGACCATATGTAAAATCATAAAATCATATCAAATCAAAATTTGCTGAGATAAATGTATCTCATACATTAAATGAATTGAAATCTGTAGCCAGTGTTAAGCTCAAAATCAAGGGCAATAACTCAAATTCAAACTTCAGTGATAAACACAAGCATACCAAGTGTTCATAATAAATGAAGACATGTGTGGCAATATTTCTATTTGAGCATATACAAGATATATGAAAGCATTATGTATTTGCAATTCTTCAACAGTTAAATTAATAATTTTAGGACCAATATCTTCATGTAACAATCTATTTACATCATGTAACAAAAGATTATTTGCAATGTTGTTCAAATGATATTAAATTATAATGAACCAGTGAAGACAGGTAATGTCCATTTGTGTAATGAAATATTAAAAAAAAAAAAAAAAATAATATAGAAAATACATCACCTTGTAGGACATGGTTCTTTATAGATATCCATATGAAAATATTCATTTTGCCATAGAAAACATTGTCTCTTTTTATATATAGTATCATGACATTCATCTTTCTGGGCTAGTAAAATCTGTGATCATCCAAAATAAAAACATTTAAAACATAGTGAAACATCAATAACCTAATCAATATAAACAACAACCTAATCAAAATATACAATAACCTAATCACAATATACAATAACCTAATCACAATATACAATTAACCTAATCACAATATACAATAACCTAATCACAATATACAATTAACCTCATCACAATGTACAATAACCTAATCAATATAAACAATAACCTCATCAAAATAGACAATAACCTAATCACAATATACAATTAACCTCATCACAATATACAATAACCTAATCGCAATATACAATAACCTAATCACAATATACAATTAACCTAATCACAATATACAATAACCTCATCAAAATAGACAATAACAGTAACCTAATCAAAATATACAATAACCTCATCACAATATACAATACAATATACAATGATCTAATCAAAATATACAATAACCCTTATTAATAATAACCCTATCAACAAATACAGTTAGTTTGTCCATATTTAATTTAATAAACTAACTTTTCTATAGTTCTTAAGTTATTTCTACCAATTGATAAAATCAGTCCAAACCTTGAGATGTCAAAATGACTACTCTCAGGATTTGTAAATTCAATATGACACTTGGTGCAAAGGCTATATATCAAGACTGACGCATGACCCTCAAGACAGTTACTTTGATCCTTATTCCAGAAATCTGATTTACTTACAAAATACTTTATAAATTAATACAAGAAATAAACTGACCTCATAATCTTTAGATGTTATAGGCATTCGTAATTCTACACTCTGTTTATTGATCTCTGGTCTACGTATTGTATGTGTGTACGTCCAATGATCTACAAATACAAAAACATTATTTGCTAGCTTGACTCTGAATTGCGAAAACTAAGCAGGACTGACACGGCCAATCACAAAGTGGCATGATGGGAAAATTATTGTCTCTGAATTTGGATGTTAGTCAATAGATTAGAGAAAGACAAATCTTGTCCACCAGTCTATGATGTGTAATAAAGAAACAGATAAATTTAAAATAAATAAATGTGCAATGACAAATTGATGCAGAATTTATTCACAATCTTACCTCCTTGTCCTCTTCTTCTTAATCTAGCCTGCATTTTACGACTAGGTGTTACAAGATAATCATGGACAACTTGAAATTCTTGTAAAAATGGCAAATCCTGAAAAAATAAAGGAAACACTGTTTTTAATCAAATAAAATCCCTAGAATTTTTTTAAGACCTATAATATGAGATTTAAATTGTAACACACTTAGGCCTAGTTAGGCACGTATTTCATTTTGTTTTGTTAAATGAAAAAGCTTTAAACTTAATGCTCTTGAGTAAAAAACCTGCAGAAATAAAACTGAATACCAAATTGGATTTCATAGGTTTATAGTTTTATGCATTTCATAATCATAGTGTTGTGTGAAAGAAAATTATTTTGTTAAGCTTACGGCTCCATCTTTGATTCTGGAAACGAGAAATTTTCGTTTTTTACTGTTTGGTGCTAATCTGTCTTCTGCATCAATACCCATTCTGTTACATACAGCCTGAAAATTATTCCACAGAAATAGACATTAAACCTTCAACAGACAAAAGTTTACATTTGCATTCCACATTTCAATAGCATGTGCGTGCCCAGCCTGATAAATCTGGCTCTAACCACTCTTATATACAATATAAGGAATTGATAGGACCAGATTTTGCCATGTCTCATATTATAACCTCTAAAGCCAAGGAAATATTTCTTCCGCTAGAATGCAACAGCTGTGCAATGAGTACTGAGCCAATTAATATGGTAGACTAGACTGTTCTTTTTCATGTTATTCCCTCTCACCAGCATCCTTGACATGGACTTGAAATGGAGTTGAAAAACTAGAGAATTTGATATTCAACCATGCCAAAATCAAATCCCAGAACTCCAACTTGGTGAACTGCTACAAGAAGCCTGGTTACATGAACTATAAATAAAGACACCTATAAGGGTCATGGAAATTGTTAACAATAGCTGTCCACATTAAGGAAAGTAAACTTACAGCTATCATTCTAGTGAGTTTAGTTTCAAAACCTGTTGAATTATCAATAACATCATAATAAGGATGACCAACCCAAGCCTAAAATAGAAATAACTATAATACATATATTAAATACTTTCAATTCAAAAGGAATCAAAGGGGCTTTATTTGCTTAATATGTGAGTTTTAGATTTGTTTTGACTAGTGACATCACATGGCTGTTATGAAGTTAAAATGCTCACAGACATTATGCTGGAAAGTGGATGATAAATATTAGCCCAGGTTCATAATAATGTTTGTCCTATGTAATGATTTTATCTTGTCATATCATAATATTTATATCAACATTAAAAGTATCCATATATAAAAACATTTATATCAATAACATATCATGTGACTTCAGCACTTTGCCACTTTATGTATCATGATGTGTCATCTAAGTTCAATTTTTCTGCATTTTATGAATCTACCCCAGTTTCTACCTATGTTTTGAAACAAAAGTGTACTAATTAGCATAATATAATTGGTGCATTATTATAAGCATAACTCCATGCATTAGTGTATCACAAACATATGAAGTACATGCATGATGTGTCATTACTTAACTACACTAATGTATCATAATAAAATTTTAGGTTATTGGTGCATTATATATAAGCATGTGTCGATTAAATACACCAATGTATGGCAAATGAATGTGGTACATGCATGATGTGTCATTGAAGTACAACGTTGTATCACATTAAGTGTTATTTAAATGTATACGATAATTAAGTATACTAATTAAGCACACTAGAATGATGTGTCATTTAAGTAAATTAATGTTTCACACTATGTGTCATTTAAGTACATTACTGTATGACTAGCAAGATGTGTCATTTATCACAAGCATGATGTGTCATTTCAGTGCCTCAATGTATCAAACTAACAAAATGTATCATTTAAACAACATAATAATGCAGATATATTTATTTTGAAAAGTGTGGTACTCTATCAGATGACAAAGGAATACTTTGACGACTGTTATCACTTTTAACACAAATACTTACATCAGCTGTAATTTCATCAAGTTCGCGAGCTATTTCTATGCCCTCTCCTCTTGTTTTATGACCAGCAATAGTGTAGAAAGCTTCAGCACCTTTGCTGGCTGATACCATATGTATGATCTGATTATATCTATTATCACGTAACTCTATATCATTCCATCCATTATCATTCTTCATCTTCTCCCATTCTTCACGTTTTACATCTACAAATAGTCAATAGGACATCTTAATTTACCACACGATTACAAATTTCTTATCATTGACATTAGTGAAAACAATGATGAATTGTGGAAAAGCAAAGCCCAAAAAGCTGTCATTGTCATATCGCTCTGCTTTGGATCTATCCCACAATCTGTTACGTTATCAAGAAACAAGTTTTACATGCTTCGATTTGTTAATATCATCATTAGAATGAGACATTGGTAGAAAATGTGTTAGATTACAATGGAGATAAAAAAAAAAATGAAATTATAATTGAATTTCAATTAGATTGCTTAATTCACTACACTATTTACACCAGCTGTTCAAGAGCTGCTATTGCTTCAAACATTTCACTTGTAAATATTTACAATCAATTAATTTCATTGTAAATGTATGGGAACAATTTACCAAGGCATTTTGAAAATCTTTTAAAGTGAGAGTGAGAAAAATATCGTTCAGATAAAAATAATATGTGACTGATTGAATAGTGGAATGGTGCAAATTGAAGCTATCAATATCCTGAGAACCTCTTTACAATTAAGTAGAGATGATTTTTGATTGAATTAGTATAGATCATTCCATGTGACATTTTGTCATATTAATTCATTCTAACTGGATGAGGAAATATATATAGAAATCAAAAAAATTCTATTGTCAATTATTGTTCTTAGTGAGGCAGACTTTGGAGTCTATATATACAATACACTATAGACAATAATAGAAATGTTCTATTCTAATATTAACATTTATTGATTTTTGAACTGTTTTTTTAATGATAAATTCAAAAGCAATTAATTCTCATCATAAAATGTATATTTCAAGCAAAAATCAATTGAAATTCTTTTGTTTGCAGTAATCAAAAACTATAAGAATTTCAAATGCTGCAATACAATTTCTAAACAATTTTAACATTTATAAGTAGATATTGATATCATACTTTAGTATGAATATTACTTTAGTGATTTTTGTACATTTCTACTATTTCTGAAGACTATTTACGTATATTCTAAAATCAACCACCCAAAATGGCACATCTTTCCCTTTAATCTGATTGATAAAATTTTAATGTCAAACAGTTACTAATCACATGCACTGTTCAATGATTAATTCTAATGTACTTACATGCAGTGCCATCCATCACTCCTCTATCACAAATTAATAAAATATCTTGATTTAATGTTTTAGCTAAATCATGATATGTATTTTCTATACGAATCATAGTCTTAATAATATTCTCTTGAAAATGATGGGCTGAAAGACATGTGATAAAATAAGATATTTTGAATCATCCTGATAATTCATTTTTGGACTATGGAGATTACATGTATTTAGTGTATGTACAAGTCAGACGCCTACTCATCTTCACAATGTCAAACTATTACGAACTTTGTACTTGACTGCAATAACCACTATTCTTGAAGTGAATAAATTGGATTGCAATTTAACGAATACAGCCGATCAGAGCTCTTGACAGAAAGGCTGTAAACATTAAAGCTTTGTGTTTACATACTTTCTGTCGAAGTCTCTGATTGGCTGTATTTGCTAGCATACAATCTAATCACATTGCTTCATTTACAAACTTTCGTGATACTAAAAAAGTGACTATTGCAATAAAGCTGTAAGCACAAAGTTTGACATTGTGAAGATGAATTTTTCAGGTTATAATATGAAGGTACCCAAAGAGGCTCAACTATAAAACCCCAACAATGCTGATCCAGATGCAACCAATTATTAGAACTACCAACAGCTACCTAGTCTGCATCCGCTGGCAAGCAACATAAGGCTTTGATAGTAATTGTAACATATCAACCATTAGGGTTAACTGTGTCTAAACTGCGTAATTTAAATTGATAAAATTGACTATCTATTATTGATGCTAATGAACAAGGTACATGTGGAAAATAACAAATTTGTTTATTAAGAGATAAGTCTTACCTTGATCTTTATTTAAATCAGAAAACTTCACACCTCCACTATAAAAATATCAATTTAAAGTAAATAACTTGTTTACTTTATGATAACATGTTTATTTTTCAAGTTGTTTTATCTCTCAATTTATCTATTGTTTATCATACTGTTAGAATAACATATTCATTATCAAATAATATTTCAAAATATCATTAACATTTTTATTTTAATGGGTCATTTACATCTTACTTTTAATGGATCGTTTTCAACTTACTTTTAATGTAACATTTACATCTGTAACATTTACATTTTACTTTTAGTGGGTCATTTACATCTTACTTTTAATGGATCATTTACATCTTACTTTTAGTTGGTTGTTTACATCTTACTCTTAATGGATTGTTTACTTCTCCTTTTAATGGGTCGTTTACATCTTACTCTTAATGGATCATTTACATCTTACTTTTAGTGGGTCGTTTACATCTTACTCTTAATGGATCATTTACATCTTACTTTTAGTGGGTTGTTTACATCTTACTCTTAATGGATTGTTTACTTCTCCTTTTAATGGGTCGTTTACATCTTACTCCTAATGGATCATTTACATCTACTTTTAATGTAACATTCACATCTTACCTTTAGTGGGTTGTTTACATCTTACTCTTAATGGATCATTTACATCTTACTTTTAGTGGGTCGTTTACATCTTACTTTTAGTGGGTCGTTTACATCTTACTCTTAATGGATTGTTTACTTCTCCTTTTATGGGTCGTTTACATCTTACTCTTAATGGATCGTTGACATCTACTTTTAATGGGTCGTTTACATCTTACTCCTAATGGATCATTTACATCTACTTTTAATGTAACATTCACATCTTACTTTTAGTGGGTTGTTTACATCTTACTCTTAATGGATCATTTACATCTTACTTTTAGTGGGTCGTTTACATCTTACTTTTAGTAGGTCGTTTACATCTTACTCTTAATGGATTGTTTACTTCTCCTTTTATGGGTCGTTTACATCTTACTCTTAATGGATCGTTGACATCTACTTTTAATGGGTCGTTTACATCTTACTCCTAATGGATCGTTTACATCTACTTTAATGTAACATTTACATCTTACTTTTAATGATACACTAAAAACCATACTTTCAATGGAGAATACTATTGTTACAATTATACCTTGCTTGAAGGCCATGGTTTGTAGATAAAATAAATTTTAAAATATTTTAAAATTTGAGCCATAAACATTTTCATTTTTTGTGGATAAAAAGTTGACTTAACCTTGGGAAGAGATGTGTTACAAAAACACATCAATTTAAACAGAATTTACATGACAATCAAATTAATGTAAATCTTGTGGAGAAATTTAGAGAATTTTGACAAATACATAAATAAAACTTTTATATCAAGATGACTCGACAAAATGTAATTTATATTTTTCATTTATTTAGCAATTTGTCCCAGTAACCGATATTTGATAAAAATTTGATACATTTAACCTTACACAATGAAACACTTATAAATCAATGGTTGACAATTTCAATTATCAAGACTGTGACTCTTAAATTCAATGATTTGAAGATGCTCTGCCACATAGAGATTGATCACAAATGAAGATTTAATGTATAGGTGGTCTACTTGGGGATCAATTTATTTAATATTAGATTACAATTGCATTCTTTTTTTCTTATATATTTTGTCACCTAACATTTATTGTAATTTAACAAGAATTCTACCTCAGTCCAGTTCTAATGACATTATTCTTAACCAATAACCAATCAAAAAAAAACAAAAAGACGAATTCTGGATAGCAAATTCCAAAGACGTTGTCGAATTTCTCTACTTTGGGTTTCCCTGTTCGTCTTGCCAATCTACATAATTGGGTGAAGTTTCATATAGGCTGACTGAAGCATATTTAAAAATCAACAGCAATAACTTTAATATTATTTGTACACTGAACAGTGTGTCAGTCTACATATTCCGACTTACCTCAGATATATCATAGCAGCTTCTGGACACCGGAAAACCTAAAATCAAAAGAATGGAAAAAGAGATATATATGTCTTAAAATTTGTCTGGTTTAGTGATGAAAAAATTAGAGGTGCAGGGCAAGAGAAAAAAGCATAACAAATTCATCTTTCCGAATTACAATCCAAAGGTAAAAGAACAAAAGCTTGCAAAATCAAGCGGGTAGAAACCTTAAATTGTAAATTGATAGAAAACTTACCTTCCATCCCAAGTTTTCAAAGAATGTACTTAGTCTAGCCTGGCCAGTTGTTTTTCCCCCACATGGTCCTGAAATAGACAATAATTATGTACAATAATAGTATACCATAATATTGTGTTCTGTTATTTAATATGTACTGGTATCTATGAATCACAATAGGATTTAAAATTGATTAACCTCTTGATGACTGCTGAAACAAAAGGACAGTCTTGGAATTTTTATGTTCTCTCAGAAGAATATTCATGGGGATGTAAATTCATATCTTATTTTTCATGGTTTACCAAAATAGTATGACCTCATTATAAAATCTAACTATATGATATTGTTTTTCTATCTTAACTGGGTTGGCTTATATTTAGTGTTTAACTACCATTGTTTGATAATCCCCCATATCAATACATATCTTTCATAACAATAGCCGTACTATATTTTGTGGGTACATAAACTCATTGATTGACTAAACCACCATTTTCTATCAAATTGATGTATTCCAATGGTGTAATTCACAGTCCCTTCTTGTGAACTAGGCCAGTTATAAAATCTTATACCATATCTCATATGAAGATTGAGTCTTCTGGGAAAAAAAATTGACGGAACTCTCAGATAGATTCATCTTACATAGACGTGCTTCTACACGTGTTTCCAAAATTTTGTGGAAAATTTTGTTTGTCCATCACAGATCCGCTATTTAAAGATATTGTCATCTAAATTTTTGCTTTACCAGCTGATAGACATCATTTTCAGCTATTTATGGTAATTTTCAGTAGTATCCCATTTCCAGATCTCCAGTAAATCAACAGTAACTTACCACAGCAGTTTAGACTATCCTCACTCTCTCACATGCAAATTCAACTATCAATTGGAGGACAATTGCTCTGACATCAGATAGTTGTACACCAGACAAATGCAAATTGTCCTTTTTTCTCATTTCTTTGGTGAGCTATTGTTTGATGAGCAACTGTCTAATGAACAATTGTCTGGTGAGCTACTGTTTGATGAGCAACTGTCTAATGAACAATTGTCCGGTGAGCTACTGTTTGATGAGCAACTGTCTAATGAACAATTGTCCGGTGAGCTACTGTTTGATGAGCAACTGTCTGGTGAACAATTGTCCGGTGAGCTACTGTTTGATGAGCAACTGTCTGGTGAACAATTGTCCGGTGAGCAACTGTTTGATGAGCAACTGTCTGGTGAACAATTGTCCGGTGAGCTACTGTTTGATGAGCAACTGTCTAATGAACAATTGTCCGGTGAGCTACTGTTTGATGAGCAACTGTCTGGTGAACAATTGTCCGGTGAGCTACTGTTTGATGAGCAACTGTCTGGTGAGCTACTGTTTGATGAGCAACTGTCTGGTGAGCTACTGTTTGATGAGCTTCTGTCTGGTGAGCAACTATCTGGTGAACATCTGATCGATGAGCAACTGTCTGGTGAACAACTGATCAATGAGCACCTGTCTGGTGAACAACTGATCGATGAGCAACTGTCTGGTGAGCAACTGTCTGGTAAACAACTGTTTGATAAGCAACTGTCTGATGAACAATTGTCCAGCAAGCTACTGTCCATATCCCCTATATATCATAAAATAATAAGTATTTACTGCTCATAAAGATGATAGTATCAACCTAGAAGTGAAAGCAGACCTTAATGTCTGAGGTACCTTCTAAGTTGAATCAAAACAGAACTGGACATCAGATTTTAATTCTGAAAATTGAAACTGTTTAAGCTGTTGAAGCAAATGTTAAGATGATTGTACATCTTTATCTATATAGCTTCTGTAGAAATAATCTTATTGCCCTGAAGACAAGACTAATCCTTTGTCATCTTGTGAAGTCATAAATCCTAATTACTTAGTTCACGTCTGCCTACTTAAAAATACATTTATCAGTATAATTATCTAGCTGGAAATCATCATCCCATTATAAGTGATAATTATATTTAGTTAGTAAGGTGTAAAGGTTTATAAAGTGTTAAGATTGATTTTGATATTTTCTAATTAGCCATTTGATAAAATCAAATTACTGGTATTACTATGGCATGTACAATTACAATCTGACTACAGAAAACTGCCATGTGTCCAGCACAGTTCTCTGTAGCTATGATCATCCATATTAGATTCTCTAGGGCCAAGAAAAGACTAAAACTTTAAATGGACTACATTCTTTCAAAAAGATTAAAAACAGAAAGTATTTAAGCTTTCCTTGTCATTATTTTTGTCTCATCAATAAATTCTGTGGAAGAGAATGCAATTAGGGATGGATGTCATCAGCTGTCATCCTGTCAAACTCATTCAAACAAGTCAAATAACTAAGCTAAGTGCTGGACTGTGTTTCTCAAAAGATCGTAGGTTAACACATGAGCATAAACTTTTGAAATTAACAATTTGATAACATCAATGTTTTTATTCACTTTCACAGTTCAGTCCTACAAATTTTGAGAAACAGGACTCTTTAAATATTGGTTATTGAACTACTTAGGAACAAAGTGGTGTGAGTTTGAGAAGAGATTTAAAATAATGTATGATATAGGTTATCAAACAGACTAAAAGGTTACTTATCTTGTGATAAAGAACAAAGCAAAAGGATTTCTGTTTGGGACAGAAGATTACAATGTATTAGTACATTTGATTTGAACATAGTGATACAAAACTTTTGTTATTTCAATTTGTTTTCACCAGTGAAAAAAAATTCTTCCATAAGTGATGGTTAGATTAAATCAAAGCCTTGTGAAATATAAACTAAACACCACAATGATCAAAAATAAAATTTATCAACACAAAAAAGTCAATTTATTCTGGCAAAACCTTTCAAATTTACCTTCTGTTTAGGCTTTATACACGTTATCTCAAAAAGCTCTTATTCTGGCAGGGTACTTTTGATTTAGGACTTTATTTCCCAATGTCCTTCATCCAATGGGGAGGGCTGATCATAGAGCTCTGATAGTTTCTCGTTAAAAATGAAAAAAATCTGTCAAGTGATAACGCACTATCCTATAAGCAGAAAAATAAGACAATGTTGGTATATTCAGGGGAGCGCAGGCGATGTTTGTTAGATGTTTGCTGAATTTCTAGAGTTGGATGATACCTTAAGCTTTTCAAACCAGAGCTACAGGCCGTATATATCCTTTGGTAGTTTGAAATCAAAAAGACAAGGCTAATTATGCTGTCTTGGCAAAGCTTACTTCATTGTACACAGCATAATATGGTCTGTCTATAATAAGCAAACAAGGTGCAGAAAACTGGGATGTAATTTCATTTGTTTGAATTTTCAGTTAATTTGGTATAAAAAGAAATTGATCTACTTGACTGTTTAATTTATAAGCCAGATATTGTTCACCATTTCAGGCAACAGGTTATATCACAAAGATCTATTGTTTAAATTACTATTGAGTTGAATATATCAACACTTAAATGCATTAAATCTATTTCATTTCTGTCACTTGAATTCACATTGATTTGGTGTAGGGCAGTGCGTCTTAACTTCAGTGAGATCACTCCTCCTTGATACAGTTCTATTCTCCCATAAAATAAATCAGTCACTTTGAAATGAATCCATGAATGGATATAATATCATACTCCACATATCAAGATAGTTCAATGTGACCTTTGTTCGTATCAATTTCAGTTGAAGTTCACCTTGCCCCCCATCCACATTAATGAAATGAAATGAATGGAGTTTTACATCTACTTTTCTGCACCATGTGGCATATAACTAATGATAAACTGTTATTTGTAAATTGTTATAATCTGTCTATGTCAATAAAAGAAATATCTATAATGACTCTGGGTCGATAATCCAAATAATGATAATTAAGCCATTTGTTTGGATTGTTTCATTTAGTGTCAAGATAATCTATATCAAATTTCATGAAAACAAAAATAAAATACAAACAAACTTGTAAATGAGAAGTTAAGCTTGCAAGAGCAAAATTCATTCACTGATGTCATGTACAAATTTGAATTTGACTTTGCTCTTGTTGCAAAAATTCTGACAGGTTAATAATTAATTTTGAATCTTCATTTTGAATTGCCAACAGACAATGCTATAGGATTTCATTTTTGGATCATATCTATGAGTAAATTTTCAACTACTATTGATTCAGATCAAGTTGTGCAGTGTAACAATCATGATAAGGATCAGGACCTATGTCCACTCATCTTCACAATGTCAAGCTTTTACGAACTTTGTCCTTATACCTTGACTGCAATGATCACCTTTCTTGAATCTTGTAGTTTGTAAATGAAGCAATTTGATTGGATTGTATGTTGGTGAATACGGCCCATAGGTGGCCTTGAGAGAAAGTCTACAAAGTAAGCTTGCAACCTTCTGTTCAGAGCTCTAATTGGCTGTAATTATTCACAGGCATAGAATCCAAGCAAATACTGCATTTTGTTTGTAATAGCTTTATATTTTGAAGATGATGTAAACAGTAGATTTGCAACATCATAAGAAGTAAACATAGCTTATAAAACATCAGCAAACTTGGTCACTAATGGAGACCATTTGAGATTCAAGGTAACATAAGAACAACAATATCAAGCAAATTGATACAACAGTTTACACAGGTTCTTCTTAAACTAATTACTAGTCAATGAAGTAATTAAAGCTTGCTGAAAAGAATTCTCTTCAAAATTTCCCAATCTGTCTGCAGGCTATTTGCAAGGGGTAAAAGCCAACAAAACTTGATTATGACCGATACTCATATGTGATTAGTCATTATAAAGAATTGAGTAAGGTTATTGATGGCTAGTGTAATACCAGATAATCACCAATTCATTGAGTTACATCATAGCTATTGAATACCAGTCAAAACATTGGATAGAGTTCAAATCCAAGTCAAAATTAAAAATTACTTTAAATAAGGGTTTTCAGAAGGTTCTCAAGCTTTTCTTTCACAGTATAGATGGATATGATATCTTTATATTTAACCTTGTTAGTGACTGAGTGATGTAGGATGGTGGGGTGGGAAAAGACTCTTGTTGTTTCGCAATTGACTATAATCCAATAAGTGTGTTACAGCCTGTGCTTGTTCCTGCATGGTGTTGCCTATCTTCAATAGCCAAAGGAGAAGCATATCAAATCAAATTTTCGTATGATATCCTGTACAAAGTCAATGGTATTTGAAAAATTTAGCCTGATTATTCTCTCATTGTCCAAAATACCATGCAAAAAAAAAAATGCAATATCAATATGAGGTCAGTATCTTAATTAGTTATTTTGGAATTTAAGGAACCATTGTGATAAAATGTAGAAATACTGAATACTTTCTTACAATGACAGTTGTTATTATATTATAGCATGCAAAAAAAAGTCATCAAAGTACATATTTCATTCATTAAAGTACGGTATATCTAAATATCCATTGAAAACAGTCGAAAGCAGCTGATGATATTTATTGATTTAATAAAAATATGCTAAAATTCCATGGACTACTATCATTTGATATATAAATTGGATCTTTTTTTTCCACACATTATGACACATCTTGAATCAAAACATATAGCATACATAATAAATATTACAAATTTTAATATTTTAATTCATTATTTAAGTTTAACAACAAAACAGAGAAAATAGGGTACCAAATTAATTACAAAATATAGCACAGAACACAACAATACTAATACTATACCAGAAATAACTTAAACCATATTACTTGGCAAATTTGATAAAGATATTAAGTTTTCCTCCAGGCAAATGCACGTGTTTTATTTCAGCAGCATGGTATATCAAAATATAGCAACAATAAGCTTTGATCTTTCAGCCAGTGTGGATTAAGAAATTAATTAACGAATGACATGAAAATAAACGAAATAACAATGCTAAAAATAATTACCTCCTGTCAGTACGACCTTGTAGAAATTATTTTTCTTCTTCGGATCCTGTGCCATTTCGCACAACTGTCTGTTCTGTCGTGTTATTGCTACTACACAACGTCGATGACCATAATAACGAAAAATGTTGGCCATTTATAGACTAGTTAGTGGTAGTGAGCATGCGCTGTAGATGGGATTACAAAACAATAGCATCAACTGAATGACGGATTATTTATCGTAACAGTTTTCTGCGATTTCGAGTAAAGTTTCTAATGCATAATGAGAATAAGACACTCATATTTTATTTGACAAAAATGATAAAGCAAATAGGGGCTTGCTACTTGAGGAGAGCATTTTAACTTTTGTTCACTTCGGCAGACTGCAGTTTGCTTCTTCAACTTCACATGTGCATGTGTACAAAAATGATATTTTTGTCATACCGGTGAAGAAAAACGAAATTATTGCATGAAAAGGTTGTGTATTAACTTCTTTTTTTTTTTGTCAAGATTTCAAATTATAATTTAAGTGCTCATACAAAACTTGGAAACTAGTTATACCTGTGTCTTTAATTTTGGTCAAAATGAAAAATAGATAGGGGGAACTTGATCGATTATGTCCATGTGGGTTTATTATAAATCAGAGATGTGTATTAAGCTGAAGACTTGACAGCAAGAAAACAATGCCAGCAATTATTAAGTTTATGAAATACAGATCATCAGATGACCATCTGCAACTATCTGCAATCCAGCTATTCATATTCAAGTTTTTACAAAGCCAAGATGTCCTGACCTTTCCTGACAAGTTTTATCCTATTTACCTTTCTCTTCAAGATAACAGATATTAGTATTCTAAAAATAAGACTTCAATTATGAAGTGAATATTCACTATACATTAAACTAGTAAAAATGGCATTTTAAATTCAGATTTAAAATTTTTATTCATAAATATAAAATAATATTGAAAACACAAGTTAGAGATTAACATCTAAAACATTAACATAGTAAAAAATAACCATAACAAAATAATAAATCTTTTCTAATGCTCTAAGAAGAACAGGGATGCTATGTCAAAAGACCGTATAGTCTTAAACACAGATTGGACTCCGTCTGATTGAGTTCCAGTTCTGTTTTGATATTTGTAAGCCTCACTTTTAAAGGAACAGATGCACATTTTTCGAGCTGATTCGAGTCTTGAATATATGTAAATAGTCTTCAGAAGTTCTAGTTTGATTGTCTATCCGGTACCATAAAGAATGAACAATTCTTATGCCATGGCCAGTGCTTTTGAGAGTAGGCTCAGTGAAAGATGAGACAAAGCTATTTCCAGAACCACTGTTTGAATATTATACCCTAAAGAAAAGCTGGATTCTATAAATGAAATATTATCCAATTTCCAGTTTTCCTGATTCAGATAAAAAAAAAAAAGGCTTAACATTCCTTATAAATAAATTTTGTAAAAAATAATTTTTTTCATGAAAGAACGATGTAAACACTGGAATGGTTTCAGTAATAAGAAATCCTAAGTGAAAGAAGTGTTCTAGTCTTTGTATGTGGTATTGCAGACACTCTATCATTTGGTTCCATTCCTGTAATTCCTGGGAAATTTGATTGGATTGTGACTAATCCAGTATTTAATGCAGTAAATAGTATTCAGGCCAAATGGTACACTTTTGGAATCACAGGAATCACAGACTAACCCTGTGTCAGTGCCTTCTGTTGAATAGTGACTAGTTGATTGTCAATTGTACTGGTTTCCTGATCCCTAAGAGCATACAAAGGCTTGAACACCCTCTTGAATCTCTCTTATATGATAATCAACTTATCTTATTAAAAAACGATGAGCCATTTAATTTGAATTTTGGCTTTGTGAAAAATTTTATTGCACCTTTTATCATTAAACTTAACCAATATATCTGTGGTAAAAGAAGAGCCAAACAACCTATATTACACTTTACTGGTATATGTGTGAATACATCTAAAAATGATATTTTGGCATATTTGGCATAACAAAAATATAAATAAGGAAAGACTAAAATTCTGCTTATAAAGAAAACTGCAATCATAGATAGACCAACAACAGAGTAGGACGGATAGTCTGTTAACTTCAACTGAAAGAAGAATAACATAGACCATTAGTTGACATCACAATCATATAGTGAGACCAAAGTGGTGCTTGATGGGCAAGTTCTGAACAGGGTTTTTCTGTTCAAATTCTGGCCTCGATCAAACAGTACAAAATTCACTTTCACATGTCACATTCAAAATTTTCCCTTTTCCTTTCTCCAATTTCAATTCTGTCTACAACTACGGTTTTTTCCGCACACGTGAAACACATTTATTCCATGAATCTAGAACGTGCAAAATTCACCAATCAAGTGCACCTCAATATTGTTCCATTATGTCTTTCTTTTCTTAATGCAATAATAAAGTTTCCCAACCATTCAATTTAATGTAAGAATTTGTTCATAATACGGTTAAATTTTGATTATATTTACCTGTAACATAATTTGCCTGGCACTAATAAATGGCACTGTGATCTCTATCATATAAAATACACCAACAAAAAAATCTCCCTTTCCTCCTCGAATAAACTGAAATAATTCAAATAGATTAGATAGATTCATTTTCCTTTCAATTGCACATTATTGTGATTATCTACATAGTGAAAAATGACCGACTGGAGTTTTTTTTCTTCTCCTCATGTGGCCGCAGCCAGTTAGTGAAATCTTTGATAGGACTTTAGTCGGTGACAATAGAGCACAATAGAGCTTGAAATCGAATTGCTTCAGTGATGGATTATGCTAGTAAAGCAGATATTACTCTTAGAACACAAAAAGCCACTTGACAGGTTCTATCAACTCTTCTTTCAAAACTTTGAATCAGCAGTAGCTTTGTTACTCATAGTGTATCCCTGGTAATAGACACAATTCCATATCTGATCATGTATTTGGTTGAACAGGACATACCAGAGTTGCTCTCCATGAAACAATGTATCTTTAGCTGTGAGTATAGATAGATTTGGATAACAATACCTACCATTAAAATAGGAAAAAATATGATAGGAAACACAACATGGTGGATTAGCAATAGTTTAGTATTTATCACAAAATGGTAGAGTCTGTTGATTACATCTTTATGTTTTAAAATCCCCTGATGCTCATGATAATGAGTGGTGTACATAGCCCAACAATCAAATATGAAATATGGCAGAGCAAAACAAGCATATCCATTTGATAACCAGTGTCTAAAATAAAAATAATAATAAATTTTAAGGAACTTTAAGTTGGAACACTTTATGAATTCAGATATTGACTCTCAAAAAAAATTAAAATGCAATATGTAGAAGTAGAGAGAGAAAATATAATAATGTGACTTCAAGTTAGATAATTTTCAGTTTTGGACAACCAAATGTCATATCCTGATACTTTCTTGCAGAGTGATGGTATGTGTTCTTCAATCCCTTGAAAGAATGATTATTAGATGCAACATTGGTTGAAATGAAACAGATCACTGTCAGAATTCCAGACTTTACTTACTGGTCATAAATTACATCATGACAAGATCTAGCTATTATAAAACCTGCTATACATGAACATACTGCCTGTATACTACAAACAATTCTGAAATAAAGAAAAAGTTGTCTTTAGAAATGAATTGGGTCTTGGCGTCTGGATATTTGTCATACCTTAATTCTGAATGTAGGATATTTTGCAAAATGGGGGACCTGGGGCCTGTTTCACCATATATAGAAATAAAGTGAGCCGATTTACTTCATCTAATAATCAATAATTTGAAATTTTTCTTAAGAGTTCTTTCAGCCTAAGGACTTAAGCGGTAACTCATACTCATACAAATGAATAGGACCAAACTCATTATACCCCCAAGAAAGGTCCCCAGCACAAGCTAGGACTTTGCTTTTGTACACTCAATGCAAAGCCAATCCGATCTAATGACTTTCACAGCCAATAGGACAAAAGTGAAGTTAACTGCTACGTTTATCAGTAACTGTAGACAGTGATCTAATTTAACAATTGGAAGGATGACTTCGTCTTCAGTTCATGTTATGTTCTTGAATTTTACAGATCAACAAGCCTGGAAAAGCGGAATTAGTCCTAAATTATGGTTACTTGCATGTCACATACTTTTCCGATACATTGGCGATGTCATGTTTGTTAAGATTTGCAGTAAAATGTTTGTTCAAAACTTTTTGAGTCAGTAAATAGCAGGAAATAAAAAATAGTAGACCGGTTGAAGCAGTAACAATGTTGACAATCGCCATAATAGTATACAAAGAAATGTTTTCCAGACGTGCATTACATTTTGCTCTTCAGAAAATACTTGATAACCAAGCAAAAAATCCCTTTATTTGACCTTGACCTTCAAAGCGTGGGGACTTCCTCGTTTTATCCAATCAAACTACTTGAAACAAAATATTGCATATATGAACCAATCAGGAACCGAATGACAAATTGACTTGTAGGATATGGAAATCCTCATTTGTTGAGAAGAAAACCCTCGAACAGTTTCTGAAAAATATTAATCCATTTACCAACACAAGAGGTCGAAAAGAATATATTTCTTAATTCTTTTGTATCTGGACAAAGGTGTGTACCCATTTTAATATATAAAGTATGAATGATCGATTATATGTTATGAAGAAGGGTTGATTTGATGTTTTAGGGTGATGTGGGGCTTGTTGGGACATTAAACACTCACTAAAGCAGTCCAGCAACTGTTTCCATCATCACAAATATTACGGTTTACACATAGGCTTATTGGTAGAAGTCCAAAAGCAGTCTCTTTAAGTATTTGAATTTTGTAGTCATACCTATCATATGAGCTCAATTTCTGGATTTAAGCATAACTTTTCCTGAATACAATTACTCTTGATTATTGCCATGCTATGGACGATACTTTTTTTTACGATTTTGTTCCATAATCTGACATCCTCTTCCCTTATGATTTAACAAATATGTAGACCTAGTTTAGATTCTCATTATCTCATGCGAAAATTATGATCGATGACAACTTGATATTGGCCTGAATATAATAACAGGTTAATATATAAACAGCATGTTTTTGTTGAACTATAAGTAAACAATCAAACTTCAATTTTGAAAAGTCTCAAAGGTGGGCAGTGGGCCCTATTTAAAACTAAGCTCTATCAACTGGTAAAGTAGATATTTGGATAAAGATATAAAATGCTATAGAGCTTATTAAGTTAGCAATGCTGTTTATTTCTTTTTGTAGATTGAAAGATGGGAAGAAATAAATCTAATGCTGGTTTATCAGCGTCACCTGTCCCACCAGCTGATAATACCACAGTCAATGCTGAAGTTAAAATTCGAGAGGCTTTAAAAGAATTGTTTAAACTTATTCATGAAGTTCAGGTAATAATTTCTGTAATTTATGAATACAAGACAATTCAGACCAACACAAAGTTTGACCACTTTTTATAACACACTAGGACCACATGTTTGTTTGAGGCTCAGGCCAATGACTAAACATACTCAAACCACTATTTTAAGACTCAGATTTTGTATACATACAAATTGAAAGTTGAATTTAGATTCACTATCTCAACATTGTTATTTTATGTATAAATTATTTTACAAGAAGATCTTTAGTTTTCCTGTCATTTCATAGAGGATGCTACAAACATGACATCACAAATTAGGGGCCTTGCTGTTGCAGCTTCGACATCAGTTTAAAAAATGGAGGGATTATTTGAATGGTTTGAGTTTTTCCCTTTTTCAGTTTGCCTTGTTCGCAAGCTGAACCTGATTTTTAAAAGTTTAGAAATTTACACCCAAAATCAAGCGAATCTAAATTGATTTTGTAGGATGAAAGATCAAGAGGTGAACATAATTTGACAAATATTTCAAAAACACATGAGAGAATGCAACAAGAACAAAAAAGTAAGTAAGGGTAGCACTAAGAATATGAAGTCATATCCACCTTTCTTCTTTTAAATTTTAAGGAGCTCGGTGGCTTGAACTCATTCTTACAAAAATTTTCATAAATCACAATAAAAATTTTATGTCATTGGAAAGTTCACATGACATGGTTATTATGGATTCTAATATTGGTCAGTGTGTGAAATTCTTAAGAAAGTCATCTTTCCTAAAAATTCCAGCCGTTCCAGCTGTGAATGTACATGAATAATCTGGGCAAAAAGAGTCTTGGCTAAGGATCAGCTAATAGAAATGATTCTAAGTGAACTTCAGTTTTGTAGCTATGAAATAATGAGTGAGTTCTATTTCAGTAACACCATATTATAAAACTAAATTACGAGGGCTATATAATACAGCTATGCAAGATGCTGAACTAGAGGCAGAGTAAGTATGAATATTAGTCAAATATAGACAGACTTGCATTTAAGCACGAGATAGCATGTGTTTTGTGTTACTTTCAATTCCGTTCAATTATATTGGCCACTATATTAATTATCAATATAACTTGAAAAATCACAAATGAATACTGGTTTTTTAAAATGTTCAAAATCAGCAATTTTTTTTATGGTAAAGTCATTTTTTTTAATCTTTATATGTTAAAAGTTAAGATCATTTTTCAGTTTTTAAGTTGCAATGCAATGATATTAATTTTCAATATTTTGATTTTAGATTATTACGGAAAGCTCTAGATAAAATAAGTGAAATCAAAACAATTCGAGACAATAGGAGACAAGGTAAGATATATTTAAGATCAAAAACTTGTCCAGGATGAGGTGAAGAAAGTTATGGTATTTGACATCTACTTGGCCATAAAAATTCAGTGCTGAATGCCGACTTCTGTTCAGTAGAACCACTTTCTCTTCTGAAATGTTCCCTCCAAATTATGTATCTATAACATGTTTCAACAGTAGAAGCTACGCTATTGTAATATCCTTGCAAGTTACTGTTTCCCATGTAGCTTAAGTGAATTTTTTGTTTTCTAGATTCTGATAGACCTAAACAGATTATGAGAAGAGGTGTTTTAATGTCTATGTTACAACAGAATGCCATCACATTACCATTGTGGGTCAGCAAACCTGGAGAACGGTAAGTTAGATGCTAAAACTGATAATTAATTCTTTTGTATGTTCCACCTATTGTGATTTAAGAGACAGATTTCAAGAATTCAAGACATTGAATATAGTATCAGAAAAAAAGCACAGAACCTGTCCTTAGAGAGTTGGACTGTTATCTGCAATATACTTTAGTTTTTAGGTTTCAACCCTTCCTCATTGTTAACTCTGCTGGTGTCTATAGAAAGCTTTATAGCGTGTTACTTTCAAGTCATAAGTTTAAGGTATTTTTCTATATTTTTATTAAACTATTTGTAGTCCACCTCCACTATGTGGTGCAGTACCAGCTGATGGTACCTATGTGGCTAGATCTGGTGATAAAGTAGCAGCTAGAGTTAAAGGTACTGATGGTGAAGAAAATTGGATCCTAGCTGAAGTGGTGTCATTTAATGCTAATACTAATAAATATGAAGTAGATGATATTGATGCTGAAGAAGGAAAAGAGTAAGATTTGTCCGAATGGACATACTTTTGTTTGATTTGATTGAAAAAGTTATTTGTTATAGACCTGATTTCTCCATGGGTATTAACAAACATTTAGAGAAGTAATGTTACTTGATAATCTGTTACTGATATACGATAATCAGAGCGAGATTCAAATATCCTTCTATGTTCTTTACTTATTAGACAATACTTTTATTCATTTTAGACGACATACTATAAGTAAAAGAAGAGTTGTTCCCCTTCCAATATGGAAAGCTAATCCAGACACTGATCCAGAAGCCTTGTTTCCAAAAGGAACAGTAAGTTTACGCTTTTATTGAGAATATTTTGAGAAATGGAGGTGTGAAGATAGTCAATTATTTGTACCACTATCATTTTATTCAGATTTGGGTGGATTTTTTTTTTTAAGACCTTGTGTTACTTTGTACAAAGGTATGTTTTAAAGTGGATGTGCCTGTGCTTGACAGTTTAATTTGAAAATGTCATCATTTTTTTTGTATCCATTTTCAGTTGATGTTAGCATTATATCCTCAGACAACTTGTTTTTATAGAGCTGTTGTTGAAATTCCACCCAAAGGAGTAAGTAAAGCATTCATTTTTAATTTTTCAAAATTAGACCCATTGCATAGCCCATATAAATATAACCATTACAAAATTACATTAATAAATTGTGCAGGAGGCATATGTTATCAAGCATCAAATTTGCATTTTGTATCAGTTTGTAAACCAAGTCATAAGACACCCTTTAAGTTTTCATTCATTATGCATAACCAAAACACATGGGAATATAGTATGGTCTAACACTCTTCGTTAATAACATAACAAAATTAAGAAGAGGGGTAAACATGAGAATATATTATGTATATAACTAATTTTGATATGCTTTATATTTCAGCCACAAGATGATTATTCTGTACTATTTGAAGACACATCATATGCAGACGGATACTCTCCACCATTACTGGTTGCTCAAAGATATTGTATTACATGTAAGGAGGAGAAGAAAAAGTAAAATCATCTTCATGTGTGTACTATGTGTTGTTTTCATTAGAAACAGTTTGTATGAGACAAATGCCAACTCTGTGTTGGATGCAGGTTTGTAAAAGCTATGCCAAGTGGTATAATTAATCAGAAACAGACGATGATTAACCAGTTGGAATAATTGTATAATAAAGTGATGCAGACAATTGACCTGGTGATGCTTGCAAATTTGTCAACATTGTCTTGCTGAGTACAATGTTAACACTTTTTTGTCAACAATATTCTGCTGAGTGATGCAGACAATTGAAGGATTGATGCTGGAAAATTTGACAACACTATCTTGCTGAGTGATGCTGGCAGAATCATGAATGTGAACACTCTACTTAGTGATTTCGGAAAATTTGTCTGCAATATCCTGCCGAGTGATGCTGGTAGAATATGTGAACACACTACTCAGTGGTGCAGACCGATTTCATCAACAATTGCTCAGTCATCATTTTGACTTGTATCATTTTTATGAGATATCTCAATGTTTGCTGGGCTCCAGTGGATGACTTAAAAATCATGTTAAACTTGTTATCAAGGTGCTTTGTACTAATCATGTATCATTTTCAGTTAAATTTAATCATTGTTAAGTCATTGAGTCAATCATTCATTCTTTTGTATCAATCATTAATAAATAATAATAAATAGTGTAAAGCATCAATGAGAAGGAACACCAGAACATTAAAGGACTAAGATGGATGTGCTACAGAGAAGCAGGAGCAGGCAATGAATATGGACGAAAATTCTTTTCTGGACTCCATAACTTGTCTTTTAGCATGTTCCTTTAACAATGGTATGATATTTTTAATATCTGTATAATATCTAACGGTGCTAAATGGATAGTGGCTCTAGTCACATAGTATTGACAATGTAAATCAAATTTTCTTCTTTGAGCAGAATTGTTATTGTTTCAAAATGTTACACAATCATGAATGTCAATTAATAAAATTCTTTTATTACTGTTTTTGATGTGATTATTTGAAGTTATTCAATTTGGCCAATCTTTTTGTTAAAATGGCCAAACATTAGGTCAAATAGTCTTTAGTCATCCAACAGAAAAACAGAAAGATGTCTTCCTGAAAACTGAAAAAGATTTGAATAAATAATTTGTATGCAATTTATGACCTGGATATTTGGGCCATCAAAATGAAATACACAAAGGAATAATATAAATTATCTATTCTTGATTGGGTATCATGAAATTAACAGATAGTAAAGAAATTTTAATGTACATAGGGATGCTTATAGTTCCACATATTAAAATATGACCATATGACATTTTGATCCAAATTATTTTTTTAGAGGGACATGGTTTCAACAATGAAACATTTGAATAGCTACAATCTGGTAAACCCTACTGAAAATCTAAAATGGTCTTTGAATTCCACATCTTGTTTCTTCAACATAATACAAAAAATTTGAAAGGAAGCTACGATTGCCTCGTGATGTACAGATGATTTGAAAACATCTTTACAATCTCTTTATTAGTATTTATACAGTTGTTAGTTTAAATACTTTGATACAATCTATAAAATATAACATTTACAATAACTGGATAAAAATAAAGCTACTACCATAAATACTAAATACAATCAATTATATAATATATTAGATGCGGAATTAACCTTGATATTATCTCTATCTACAGCTTTACAATATAGCAATATGGCTGACAAGAACCAAACGATAAAGACATTATAAAAGCTTCTAATAGATATTCTATTTTTACGAAAAAGATATCAGACTATTCTGACTTTGTGGCATGCTGATAAGTACATATATTCTGGCATTGCTTACATATATTTTGGCATTGCTTACATATATTCTGGCATTGCTTACACGTATTCTGACTTTGCTGATAAGTACATATATTCTGACTTTGCTGATAAGTACATATATTCTGACATTGCTTACGAGTATTCTGACACTGCTTTCAAGTATTCTGACATTGCTAGCGTACAATCCAATCCATCCACTCAATGCATTTACTAACTACTGTAATACAAGAAAAGTGACTAATATTGTCAAAGAATCGTTAAGATTTTTTAAAGTAAGTTTTAGTTTTATGTTTACAGATCAAAAAGAATAATACAGAAAGTTTAACAGAAGTAATGCTGTAAATAGACTGAATTAGTCTGGAAAGTTAAATACAATATGTAAGGAATGGTAGAGTTTAGGTGTTTTCATAAGTAAATAACAATATAATAATTGTCCATAACAGTTATCACATATATTGATATATTATCTAACTACATCATGTATATAATAACATCTACATTTAAGGCCTTTGCTAGATATTTAGTTTTTTAAATTGAAAAATACTGATATTGGAATGTTCCTATGACTACTTTCTTTGGGGTAGATGAGCTCCATAAGCAGTTTTAGAAGCAGTTCTGGTACGTCTTCTAAATGGTGAGCAATTCTCTTGTTGACCAATAACTTTCTTCACTGCCAGAAATCTGCAAAAACAAATTTGATATGCCATATCATAGATACGTAAAGAGGCTTTGTATATGGATAAGGACACTTTAAGCTTGTATTTTCACCATTTCAGTCCTCTAGAAATTTCAAACAATTCAATACAAGGTCTCATCCTGAGCAAAATTTTACATTTTATTTCTAAGAATAATGTGTTGTCATGCAGTGTGGAATTAGGGTAAAAACATTGCTCTTTTTGTGGCCTTTCACATTTACAGAATGTAGCACACAGGGTCATAATTGTACAATGAAATCCACTTGACATTTCCATGTCACATTAACAAATATTCCGAACTTGCTTATTTCATCAATACTTACCTTTGCCAAGGTTTGCGTACATATGCCTTTAATCTAGAATTAAGTGTTCTACTTCTGGTACTAGTAGTTGATGATGCAGAAGGTATTTGCCATGGTAGCGAGGCACTACGATGGTCCTGACTTCTGGTAGTTGCTACAGATATATCATCTGGCAAATCATCTAAATCAACATCAGCATGTAAATCTATACATGAAGCACTATCTGCTATCGTAAATGAATCTTCTTGCTAAAAGGTTAAAAAAAAAAAAAAAACATGAAACTTATGCTGCTTTCAGTAACTGCTGTGAAAATAGTGTTTATGAATCTCACCAATTAGAAACTCGTGCGCCAAAGTCTTTGGACATTGTCAACAAAGCAGAAGCACATTTGAAGTTTTGTGAAAATGGGTGTCAAAAGAATATGCAAGCAATAAAGGCGACTTTCAGACAAGAACTTACCAGTTGTGAGCATATATCAGATTCAGGTGAGCACTCTACAGCTCCAGTTTTACCTGGTGATAAACATTTTGTGATATCACTGTTATCATACAGTAATTGAAGTTGTTGACGTACTGGTTGAAGTCTGTCTAATTGTGGTGAACAGGTCTCCTCTTCCTCTACCATTGGACGTAAAGGTGTTCTTGGTATTGTATTCTAAAAATTATTAGAAACTAATCCATATTAAATAACTTTAATGACAAGCTCTTTGAGGGAAACTTTGCTGGAGTGTTTTCACCCCCTGGGGGTGTGGGACTAGGGTGTCTGGGGTGTGGCCAACTGGTTTAGGAGAGCACCTCACATCAACACATGCTGAAAATGTGGCTAAACAATTTTTTTTAGGGTGTGAAAGATCCAAGTGATTGTTCCAGGGTGTGAAGGCTGAAAAAGGTTGGAAACCACTGAACTAGAGCACAAATTATTAGTATCTTATCCAAGTTTGAACTGTTCAATTCACAAACTGGTCCTTAATCTTATGTCTTATTTAAATGACTACAACATGACACACATCAACTGTCAGGCCACCTAAAATACAAAACTGAATATTTGCAGGTATTTTTAAACCTGATGGGAAGAGCACTTTTAAATGTAATATGTTAAATTCATCAGAATACCTGATCAAAATGAGAGTGTTTCCTAGATCTTCACTGAAGAAGCAAGCCCTAAACCTATCTAAGCATCACAGCTGCCACAGAAAAATTGGAGATACAAGTACAAGATGCAAGTTGTATATCAGTGTTTCTATCATTACCTTAGGGTCATTTTTCTTCTGAAATTTACGATGTTTACGTAATGATTTACCACGTAATGGTATTTTATTACTACTGGGTTTACGTAATGTTTGTCTGTCTGTACATAATTTCCTTGAAAAACAAAAACAAATATATTGAATTTGGTACCTTATTCAGATAAGATAAAACTTATGTATGTGATTTTTTTCTACATAAGAGATGACAAACTACACAACTACGAGTATTTGAATGGTAATAATTCTACAAGTATAATGTGAACTTATGTATCTTAAAAATGTGTTAGATTCAAATAAATTGAGGTGCCTTGAAATTATATCAGACTATAGCAATAAAAAAACAAAATTCTACTTCTGTGGTCTTACCTAATAGATTTATCTAAGACATCAACCCAATCACTAGCTTCACCTTGATTATCAGAATATAGTAATAACACCTCTTCTTTACATGATAACTACAAAATAATGATTATTACTGGATACTTTTGATTCATTTTGATCAAATGTTCAAAGAAAGTAACCATAAAAATTAAAAGCAGATAATAGCCAGTGAATGCCAAATCACAATTGCTGTGGACAAAAAAGGATTTCAGTGTCAGGGTGTATCGATTCCTATAAATACTTACACTAAACATTCCACCACTATGAGTATTGGTACTATCAGGAGCAAACATCTTGTCTACTTTACAATGTTTTAGTGGAAAAACACAGCAACAATTATATGATCTTTTACCACTTTCAATAAATTTAGGTTTGCCATATAATAATATATCAGAAAACAGGAAAAACATTCTTTCATGAGATTTTCCACCTTTTCGAGAGACCTGTAAATAGAGGAGATTCATTATAAAGAATTTTTTCTATTCTAGAATCTTTTTTTTTTTTTAGATTATCAACATTATCAGAGAGAGATTCTATAAGACTATGTACAGTTGAAAAATAGCTGATTGGCACTTTCAAAAAGGCAAAGATAGTACTTTCACTAATTATAACTCCTACCAAATATTTTTAGAAGACACCATATTTTACAAGAAAATCACCATAGAATCCTATCTACCAGCTGGTATTTAAATAACACTCTTAACAAGTATATTTCATAGATTTCTGCTTATTTTGCAGAATGGGTGACTGGAAACAAATGAAACTTTTGCATGTTAACCAAAATAAAAGCTACAAGACATTTTATCAGTTCAACAACAACAATCTAGCAGATGCCATTGTCCTTAAATCCACAGACTGAGACAATAATTACCTTATTTAGTGGTCCTTCCTTGACAAACTGTCTACCAGGAGCCATTAATTTAGGAGCTGAGCTGTCAAAACTATTTTGTATAGATAACATTTTCTGAAAGTTTTCATGTTGCCTAATATGTTCATTGATATGTGAAGCAATTTCTCCCATCTGTTTAGCAGCATCTAGAATTTTAAAACAAAATGAAGAGTTATCAAGTCAGTTATTACACAATTAGGAATTTTTCAATTACTTTTAATCTTTATCAATGACCAAGTATGGAATACATAGGTAAGGGCATCACTGCCTCAAATACTGGCCAAATACAAACCAGAATTTAAAGAAAAAATTCTTGCCCAGTATTTCACATTATCCAATAAAGGTTTTCTAACTTTCTTTTAAAACCATTAATATTTTCCCTGTACAAATATAGTTCCTGCTATTTACCATAATGTCACTATTGCAAATATCATTCAGATCAAATGGTTATATTAATGTCCTAATCCAGTCTAGTATTTCTCGAATCAAAGGAATCACATTTAAGTTTGAATACAGAGAGGAATATAACCAACCTGATATATTATTATAATCATGATTATCTTCTGTTGTACATTGAACTAATTCTTGTAATAATAATTTATATCTGAAATATAACAACGTTCAGGTCATTTCAATATAATTGTAGACAAACCAAGTGCCAGATTTTCACATTAAAAAGAGAAACTGGTCACTTAACTGTTGACACATGCTTTGGATATAAAACCTTAACTGCTAGTTTTGCAAATGAGATTAATTTTGCAGTATAATAACTGAGCTAATACTAATGTTTACCTTGGAACTCTTTGTATTGGAGTAATCAAAAGGGCATTTAATTTTAACCCTTGTAATTCAGGTCTAGATTCTTGTTTTTGTAAATATTCAGAAAACTTGTTGCTTTTTAAACACTCCTGCAAAATAAACAAGATATACTAGGTAAGAACATTTGAGATATCGTTTTAATCACATGTCCAAATGTCCAATCACCTTTTTCTAACCTAATGAAAATATTTAGGTTTATAAATCACTGTTCATTTCACAAAAGGATCCCTGTATGACCATAAATCCATTTAACTAAGTAATCATTGAAAAACGCTTATATTATAATTAACCTTTTTCAATGATTACCTGTAGTTTTATGGATAATAGCTCAGTATTATGGATTCAAATGGCATGCAAGTCCACTGATGAAAATAATACTCATTTTGGACAAGTTTAACAAAAAATGTTCTTACCTGAAGAGTGGATACAGCTTGTTCATGATTATTAGCATACATAGAATAGAGTTTAAGAAAGGGTCCAAGTTGATGAAAGGCTTGTCCTATAGTGGTCTGATTCATCTGTTCTAATAGTTTCTGATTGACATCTATCAACTGTTCTAAATTACTAAATATTCTACTGTGAGCTTCATCTGATATCAAACAAGCAAATTGTAATGGAAAGTAAAAAAACTGAAAAAAGAAATGAGAAATAATAATAAAAGGAATATAATTGCTTTAAAGAATATCACATAACAGTTTAAATTTGAAATTGTGTCAAAATTTATTGATAGTTGTATACCAATATTGTTATTATAATATATCATGGAATTCAAGTGTGCAGATACCATGTTATAAAACAGGCATAATTTCACCTAATGCTTCAGTTTTGTCTTCCTACAAATCATTGGATCTTGCTTACATGATGTATGTAATGTAAGTTTCATCTGATAAAATACCACACAATACCAGTCTTCTTAAATACTGGTACCGTATATTTCCGAATATAATCGGAAAAATCCATTTACCCGTATATAATGTGCACCCCCAGTTGACGAAAAATTTGAGGTACCTGTAAGTTTATTACTTACTCTATGTATAAGGTCTAATTGATGAAGATAAGCCTTTTCAGTTTCAAATAATTCTTTAGTTACTTTCTTTCTTTTTCTTTCTCGTTTGACTTCTTCTAGTGCAGCCTGATCAATAGGACTTGCTGTATAGTATTCTTCATTTTCATCATGATCACCCTCTGTTAATACTGGATCAAAATTTCAAAAAAAACTATGAAATTAATTTATTAATCCTTAAATAATGAGCATTTTACGCGTTTTTTTTTTGCGTGTTTTGATTATAATCAATTACATAATCAATTATGTCTCGCTGATTATTTCAATAAGCTTGTGCCTATGACTGTATTAGCATGAAGAAAAATTGACAAAATTAGATGTAACCTCAGCCAGGGAGTATTAAAAGTTTTCAAAAGACCTAAATTGATATTTCTGACATCATCTCACAAATTGTGTTTAAGATTTTTCTGTAAGATAACGCTTTTTAAGCTTACACTAGACATATATGAGAATACTAAAAAAATATATTCAAACCTTTTAATCTACTGCGACCTGACAACATGGTTTTAAATATGCTTCACTTTTCCTAAAACAAACAATTACAATTGTGTAGATTCCAACCCAACAGGCAGCTTTGGGCCTTGAGATCATGACAATCAATTTTTGTAAAAAGATTGACAAGTAGGCCTAGTTGTGCTGACCGTAATCATCGTGGTTCAAAAGTCTATGAACTCGAACAAATTCCAACACAAAGGTGAAATGGCATGCTAGATTGCTACTATTTTTTTGAATATTTGTGATATCTAGATCTAGGCTTTATTAATATTATGAAATTTGGGAGAAATTAGTTTTTCTGACTCCAGCTCACCGACACTAGATGATATCTGTGATTCTATGGTTCAGACAGGCAATAACATTCTAAGCATCAGATACAGCCATACTTACAACAGATAATGTATCCTAAAAGTTATTTTCGAGCACTTGCTTTTGAAAAATATTTATTTTCATTTTTCAAATATGGCGCCCTCTGTTATTAGAGACGAATCGACCACGTGTCAAACCGTCATAAACTGCTTGAGTACAAATCGACACACAGCCAGACAAAATGCCAAAAGATGTCCGTCGTATAATTTTCATTGAATGGAAGATACGTTTTTTAATTACATAAGCTTTCAATGCGGCTTTAAAATTTCCCTAATCACACAATGCATGGCGTTGCCCGTCTTCATTATCCCATTAAGTGCATAAAAGTGGGATGTAAAACTCCATTAATTTCATTTCAGCACATCAGCTTTTGACATTCTTTGTAATAAGCATTTAAAATACGAAAGATTTTACCGGTGCTTCTGTGGTCAAATCTGTTTTCTGTGCAGATATATATAAGCAGGACCTACATCGATGAGAGATAGATGTAGCCCCGTCGCCAGGAATGAATTGGTGCTGGGGCTCAGATTTTGTACAGGTTTTGCTGGGGCGCAGGCCATACGGATCCCACCCTAACGACGGGGCTGGACAGGTGATCAAATACACGTATAGCCAAGGTAAAAAAAAACATCCCGGGTCTTCTGATATGAGACTTCCTGAGAGTGTAAGGGGTGCAGCTTATCAGCTACAGATAGGTAGAATATTCATTTATAATTTTCTTATCATGCGCACTGTCTTCCTGTTTGAAGACTATTTATAATACATTTAGATTAGATATAGATTAAACCTAATCTTCAGACGGTTTTAACATGGCTGGCAAGGACTTGTTCGTTTTTGTTGTAATTGTGCAATTCATTGCAGGTAAGAACTAGGCCCATATGTATATATGTATATAATGCTACAGTCTGAAAATATATTACAAGTAGTCCTGAAAAACAGAATTATGCTTCAAAATTTCAAAAATGGTCATGTTTATCCTTGATTAAATAAATTATAACGTCATTTCAGTACCATCTGGTATGATTGTACGAGTGAATATATATACATTTCAGTTATATATGAAGACAGTTTCAATATAATCTTAACTTCATTTCAGTTTTATACCATTACTTCCTCGAAATAAACTTCTGCCTTCAATACTTACTAAAGCATGAACCGACCAGGAACGACCAGCTGCACTTTTTTGAAAAATGAAGTAGGCTACATGTTTGGCCTGCTTAGCGTTATTAAAATTTATCGCAATATCGTCGTTTCCTGGTGGTTTTTTTTTTGCTCGTTTCACGTTTTATTTAGTTTCTGGTCGTTTCCTGGTGGTCGTTTCTGGTCGGTTCATGTTTTAGTCAGTACGTCTGCTTTCACCAATATATTCATTCCAGTTCCATACGATGACTTAATCGCTATTCATTCAAGTTTCATTTAATGCTTCGCCGCTTCTTTCAAATAGATTGTAATCATTGCAGTAGATATATATATCTATAGATAATTTTCAGTTCTCATGTTATGAATGAATTAATATTAATTTCAGTTCAATGTTACGAATGACATAATGCAAATTTAAGTTCTATGTTATGAATTATTAATATAAATTTCAGTTTTATGCTCTGATTGTACCAATATATATTTCAGTTTTATGCTTTGATTGTACCAATATATATTTCAGTTTTTATCTTTTGACTGTACCAATTAAGTTTCAGTTTTATCATTTGATTGTACCAATATATATTTCAGTTTTTATCTTTTGATTTTACCAATATATATTTCAGTTTTTATCTTTTGACTCTACCAATTAAATTTCAGTTTTGTCTTTTGATTGTATCAATTAAATTTCAGTTTTATCTGTTGATTGTATCAATATATATTTCAGTTTTTATCTTTTGACTCTACCAATTAAAGTTCAGTTTTATCTTTTGATTGTATCAATATAAATTTCAGTTTTATCTTTTGATTGTATCAATATATATTTCAGTTTTTATCTTTTGACTGTACCAATTAAGTTTCAGTTTTATCATTTGATTGTACCAATATATATTTCAGTTTTTATCTTTTGATTTTACCAATATATATTTCAGTTTTTATCTTTTGACTCTACCAATTAAATTTCAGTTTTGTCTTTTGATTGTATCAATTAAATTTCAGTTTTATCCGTGATTGTATCAATATATATTTCAGTTTTTATCTTTTGACTCTACCAATTAAAGTTCAGCTTTATCATTTGATTGTACCAATATATATTTCAGTTTTTATCTTTTGATTGTACCAATATATATTTCAGTTTTATCTTTTGACTGTATCAATTAAATTTCAGTTTTATCTTTTGATTGTATCAATTAAATTTCAGTTTTATCTTTTGATTGTAACAATATATATTTCAGTTTTATCTTTTGATTGTAACAATATATATTTCAGTTTTTATCTTTTGATTGTACCAATATATATTTCAGTTTTATCTTTTGATTGTATCAATTAAATTTCAGTTTTATCTTTTGATTGTATCAATATATATTTCAGTTTTTATCTTTTGATTGTATCAATTAAATTTCAGTTTTATCTTTTGATTGTACCAATATATATTTCAGTTTTTATCTTTTGATTGTACCAATATATATTTCAGTTTTATCTTTTGATTGTATCAATTAAATTTCAGTTTTATCTTTTGATTGTATCATTAATATTTCAGTTTTATCTTTTGATTGTATCATTATATATTTCAGTTTTTATCTTTTGATTGTATCAATTAAATTTCAGTTTTATCATTTGATTGTAACAATATATATTTCAGTTTTATCTTTTGATTGTACCAATATATATTTCAGTTTTTATCTTTTGACTCTACCAATTAAATTTCAGTTTTATCTTTTGATTGTATCAATATATATTTCAGTTTTTATCTTTTGACTGTACCAATTAAATTTCAGTTTTATCTTTTGATTGTATCAATATATAAATTTTAGTTCTATGTTTTGATTGTACCAACAAAACCGATGGTAGTTTTGAAGTTGGCTGTAAGGTGTTTGTACAATGTATAAGTGGTAAATCTAAAACAGTCGAATGCCCTGGTAACACAGTTTTCAATTCAAAACTGAAAATCTGTGATGCGTGAGTATTTTTACTATTGATTGGTACTTTTTTTTGTTTCACAGAAGTTTGCATCGATTTAATGGGATTATGCCCTAGAAGTTAAACCAATCAGAGTCCTCGACAGAGAGACTTTAACAATATGGCTGTGCGTGTCCCTCTGGTAGCCTCGACGGCGACGGACGTTTGACATTCGCGGCGGGTCTTTTGGAACTGCTTATATCGAGAGCTTTGCATAGTGGCACAGAACCGAAGGTTAAGTAAGTGCAGTACAACATTGTCTGATGAATATTTTTAAAGTGATGAATAGGCCTTATTTATTCAAATGATTCCGGGGACCCTCCCCTGGGGATTTTTTTAAATATGAGACCCGTAACCCGTATTTCCAGCTATCTGGGAAGAGAGATATTCAGATGAATTAGCGACCCTCCCCCTAAAATTTGCTGTCAAAAGCACAACTTAAAGGAAACACATTGTTATTAACAGTTGATGTGACATCGTTCTGCTAATACATCGTTTTGTTCTTGTTTATTTCCAGACCAAAAAATGTTCCAGAACCATGTGGATTAATAAAAAATTGCTCTAACCTTAAAGATGGTAGTTATCCAGATTTGCAACAGCACTGCGCCTCATATTTCACATGTCATGCTGGCTATTATTTAGGCCACAACTTCTGCCCAGGAGGTAAGGTGTTCCGGATACATTCATTACAACTGTTAAATGGCATTGAAAAGGGTTTTCTAAAATTTGTATGTGTATTGGGGACACTGAGAGCATCAATTTGCACCATTCCAATTTTCAATCTGACGTTTGTAGTTCCTACAATAGCATTAAAATTAACTGTTTGATGACGTCATTTAACCCGAAGGGCCTTATGTGATAAAGCATGGTTTGCGATCAGTGACGTCATCAAACAATTAGTTTTACAGAGGCTCTTTGAGGGTAACATCTCAGCAACTCCTTATCTGACCATTGTGCCAAGCAGAGCAAACAACCGCTTTAAATAGAGACAATCGGTTGTTACGACAATATATGACTAAATGTTGACATACACAATCATTCTTGGATAAAGATAGGGAGTTTATGAAATCAATGGAACCAATCGAATCTTCTGTAATAATTTTCTTTTTCAGGAACCGTTTATAGTTCTGAATTAAACAACTGTGATTGGAAGTCTGACGTAGTACCACCTTGTGGTAATAAATCATCCAAATAACAAACAGGGGTCTACTTCATCTTCACATCTTCGTTTTATACCTTGACTACAATAGCCACCTTTCCAATATCACGGAGGTTTTCAAATGCAAGGTACGCTAGTGAATACGGCCAATCAGAGCCCTCGACAGAACGCCTATAAATAATCCATAATGATTAGTCTTTTTGTCGAGGGCGCTGTATTCGGTAGCGTAAGCTACAATCCAATCATATTGCTGCATTCCCTGATACAAAAACAACGGCTATTGTAGTTAAGTATACGACATAGTTCGTAATACCTTGAACATTGTGAAGATGGGGTCTAAATGTGAATTAAAATGTTCACCTGAACGAAAAATTTTCTTTCAAGATGTCATTTACATTTCTACCTTTATTGCCTAATAGAGTACATTTCTATGTAGTGGCCGAAGGTATGTTTCGGACTGACCTACCCTTTGATCACACAATTTCTGATTTCGTATCGTTAAGTTCATAATTGCCTTGTGCCCCTCTTGGCAATCCTGTGGTCACTTCTCTCTCGTGCAAGCCAGTAGATATTTGTTCGGTGATACAGCTTCAAAATTTTCCTACTACTAAATTTGATAAGTCCATGCCGCTTTTCGAAAATCGTTTAAATAAAACATTGCTCTAACATAACATAACATGAAGAGTTATAGCCATAACTAAGTAAGAAATTCGGGAAATCTCCGCCACTGTTTATAACTCGATGCTAATTGAATATAGAAGCAGATAACCATTATTATAACAGCTCACTTCACATCCATGTGTGTCTAGAATTATTAGCGTTTGAAAGAAATCAGAAATAGGAAAAGAAATTCATAGTTTGAGATATTTTTGAAGGAATTATGCGATTTTCGTACTTCTGAAGACTATTTCCATATGGCGCATCCATACCATTAAATGATGCATCACAACACAAAGCTGATGTCCACTGACTAATACAGCCTTTATGGTTGAAGATTTTACTGCTATGAATTGACATAAGTACTTGTCAAAGGGATCTAAAGTTCATATGTACAATTTGTATCAATTTTTTTTATTCCTTTCTTACAAATTGCAATCCTTTAAAAATACAACAAAGTATCTTCCATACTTCTTAACAAAACAAACAAATAAACAAACAAATAAACAAACAAAATATTAATGAATGTGCGTCCTCAAGAATGAAAAATATATCAAGACCAAGACACTTGACCAATGTCATGAAATTTAACAACTCTTTTGCTTTTGGTCTCAGAATTTTTGTTCAAGGCAGATAAACTTACAGTATTACTGTACCATTTTTATCATCAGCACAAATGTCATGTATGAAGATCCGTTAAAATCAATTTTAGCTTGGAATAGATTCAATAGCACCATGGGAATCTTCATAAAACAATGTCTTAAGTTCTTAACCAGCCCAATAACAGTCATTTACCAAAGGCTAGATAAGAGTTAGTTTCAGATTAAGGATAAACCTCCAAGTTTGTTACCATCGTATAAATAAAACAATGATATTACCAACGAATGATCAAGTAAACTAAATTACTTTTTCAATAACATGTTACGAAAGTCTGAATTGGACATAGCTGTTGGTGGAGCAGATGAATCACCAGAACCTCCATTTTTTGATGCAGTTGCTGATGCTGATGGTCGTGTAGGCTTCTTCGGAACTGGTACTTTTTGGACTGCTCTAGGTAATAACGCAATTTGTGTTCTGGCTTTTCCACGACTGAAAGAATAATGAGATTGCATTGATGATTTGCAGTTCTATAACTAATTGTTTATTCTGTACCATTATTTGGGCAAGATCCATCTAATGATTGCTTGGTCCACAGGGTTGCCAATCAATGTGGGTAAATATGAAACAGGCCTCAAATAGGATTTTCTATTGACTACAATTAGTATAAAAGATCACCTGATGCAACTGTTTGACTTTGCTATTCAACTAGGGAACTATTCTAGAGAGTTCATATATAATAATGTTATTTTAGTTAAATAGGGACTCACGTTTCTGATTCTTTCTTTCCACCCCCTAATGAAGGTATGAATTCATCTCGTTTAATAACTGGTTGTTTACGAGCTGGTGGATTACTAATAGCTACTTCAATATGATGATCACCTATCTGTAAACCATCTGTTTTTAATACAGCCTGCTTTGCATCTTCCTGGAATACATGATATAAAAATTTCAACAATTTTTGTTTGACCTTCACCCTTGTGTGCTATGGATTGTCTAGATAGGCAGGCTTTATAGTATGAATATTGTGAAATGGATGAAATTGTAATGGATGTTATAATAATATCATTTTAACATGGACAATATATCTAATCTGTATGTAGTATAGTATAACTAGTAGTGTTGGGCATCGTCAATCATGTCATAATAAAATACATATCGCAATACAAGGGTCAATGATGCGATATGGGGTAATGGGATGAAAATTAACATTTTATCTTCAAAGTTTCTATATATTATTAATTCATAACTTTATAACTGTGATATTTGATAATATAGTTGATAGAAGTGGTTAGCGTCCACTATCTTATAAAAAGTTTCTAACAATTTCAAAAATTTGTTATGTCATAAAACAACTTAAAAAAATCTGCACTTTTTTATGGAATAAAAGGTATCGCCAAGTATTGATACACGCCGTTGCGATATGATACACATATCATGGCATGTCGTATTGTGATACATCAATTCACCGATATATCATGGCAGCACTAATAGCTAGTAAATTTATGTACCAAATCATTATCCTATTCATCTATTCATAATTCTCTACTTTATGGTCAGCCTCAGAAATTTTCATGACTTCTTCAAAGTTAGTCTCTTTGATCTGTAAGATATTTTCCCGAGATGATAACTTACCTCTGACTCATATTCAACATAAGCTAAACCTTTTGGTTGTCCACTTCTATAGGTTATAATTCTTACATCTTTTAATTTACCATGCTGATCAAAAATATCAAAATACAAAGACATTAGACATAACTGTTCTACTTGGAAATCATTACTGATTGTTTTATATTATATATTAAGGGATCTTTGTGTACATTTAGTGGCTCCATCAGCCATTCACTCTCCAAACTGCATTAATGAAGGCTGCTTTCAAATATAAAGAACCATTTCATCAAGGCTTTGACAAGGTTAGCAAACTAGAACTCAGCTTACTGACAGTGGCTCAACTTGAGTTGGGGCCCATGAATTTTTTTTTTAACATATGCACTTCTGCATTTTTTCTGGGGGTGTGGTCCCCTTAAGGATGAGGGCCTGTGGACTTGGTTTAACCAGTCCCTACGGTAGTTGAGTCACTGCTCTCTGAGTAACAAAAACATACATGTATAAGAAGGTTCACTCACCTGACTAAATATGGTTGTTAAGGCATCTTTAGTACATGTAAAGGGTAAATTTTTTATAAATAACTTATTCTTTTCCAAATCTGTAGAAAACTGAAGAAAAAAAATCATTAATATTCATTGCAGCTCAATTTTTGTGGATTTCATTTTCACAATTTCACTTCTCATAAATATTATAAGATAATACAATTGTTTTGAAGTTAAATCTTGTTCTTCTGATAGCACTTAAAAAATACTTCAGAGCAACAGAGCTGTAAACAATTTCCAATAAACAGATTACCAGAATGCTTAGTGAGCAATGCTTACCCTGAATTCTGCTTTCTTTTTACCACCACCCCTATCTTCACATCTAGAGACATACATTGGTCTGTTGTGCACTGGTTGTCTATCTAATTCTAAAGCTTTAGTTACTGGTAACTGTAAATCAAATTTAATAAACTTGAAATATATCTTCATGATAGCTTACAATGAAAGATACAGCACATGGCAGTAGCTCAATTCTTTTTGCAAATACGTCTTTTACATTTTCATTTATGTCGGCTATAGCACAACAAGGACAATGGAGTTATTCCATACATCACAAGCAAGATAGAAAAATTCATTACTTACTTCATCAATAAATTCAACATAAGCATAGCCTTTAGATTTACCATGAAAATTCTTAACTAATCTAATTTCACTGATCTCTCCACACTGTAAATATATAGTAAAACACTATCAAAAACAAGACAGGACACACTATCAAAATGAATGTAAAAGTTTTTTCATATACTCATATGTATCCAACAAAAACTGATAACCTGACAGTGTAAACTTCCATAGTAACTTTTGTTGAATTGCTGGAGAACAAGACATTGGATTTTAATTCTGAAAAGTGATATTGACAGCTGAAATTGAGCTTTATAAGCACATCAGACATATTGAAAGGACTATACTGAACAGGAGTTATGAGCACAGTGAATTGAGTGAATCTTACCTTACAAAATATTTCCTTAATTCCATCTTCATTGATATCAAAGTTTAAATTACTAACAAATACTGTTCTATCATCTTTACTAGGATCATGTTTAACACCTTCAGTTGTTGTTTCTTCTTCTATAACACATAATAAACATAATCATGCCATATTTAGATAATTTTTCATCTTTCGACAGAAAAGAATATACATTTTACTAGGATACCAATTGGTATATATGGAATCTGTCTACAAAATGGTCCCTTGCCAAAGTTTGTGTCCAGACCAGAATTTTTTTTACTGATTGTCCCTACCCATTTGGAGTCCAGGGGCATAGTCAGGATAATTTGCATATCACATAAAAATAAGATTTTCCAATCTGCCATAAGTTTTTAGAGACTCTTAGCTCAATGAGCTACAGCCCTCATCCAAAATATTGCCATAAAATAACAATCTGGAAATGTAAGTTATATCTACCTGTTTTCTGTTTTTTATTTGGTGGGGGTTCACCTTTATATCCAGGTGGTGGGGGAACACGGAAATCATCAGCCTTGTCCTGCTTTGAAATACTACTTGTGGTGCTATTTGGTTCCTCAAGCTGAAAGAAAATATTAATCTTAAGATGATGAAAACATTACCAAATTCCCTGATAATAGACTTCGGATTATGTTTTATTATCATTTTATGGCAGACGAACAATATGTCAGCTTTAAGTTGTGAAAAGTGATAATTACCAGTATTTAATTATTTAGTTTGTTGATATTTTGGAACATTAGAGTTACCTTTCTTTTATTGTTAGGTGATTTCTTAGCAGGTTTTTCAGGTGGTGTCATTACCTCTTTCTTTGGTGTTTTTTTCTCAAATTTCTTCTGAGCTTTCTTTTCATTTCTCACTTGTTTCTTCTGTTGAGTTGCAACTTCTTCTTTTTCAGCTGCCTGAACAAAAAGAGAAATAGAACCTTTCAAGCTCACAGGTCAATTTCAATATGTTTAATGCTGCGTTTGATACCTTCATTGAAAATGGTGTTCTTGCAAATCTGAAACTTGAAGTTCTGCTATTTTTACACGGGATAAAGGTGAAGGTTGTAAAAGTCGTGAATAAGTTGTGTTCTCCTGTTTCACGACTTTCCAAAGTAAATTCAAGAGAAACCCAATACCAAACAGAAATTGACAAGATTGACCCCGTGAACACGGCATTCACGAGAAGTATCGAATGAGGTATTAGCTTAGTAAACGGTGATATATCTAAAAGCTGTTCAGTGGGAATTCAACAAGAACCTAAACACATGAAATAACATAAAAAGCTTGTTTCATCAATATTTTCATATTGAGAAATTACCTTGGCTTTTCTATCTGTAAGTCTGTCAAGTTGTGCCTCACACCGACCTACAGCTACATCATAATCTTCTAGAGTACCTTCTTCTCTTTCAAAGTTTATGTATGCCTGTGTGATAGATTCAGGCCAGTCTGTGACAGAGTTTAAAGCCTTCTGTAATAATTTACGACAATGTTTATTATCACCATAAGCCCTGAAAAGATATGAATGACTTTTTACTTTTCTTCATCTCATTTGGTCAAAGACATCAATAAGGCAAATTTGTGAGAACAGAGATGAGTTTGCCTGATTCTCTATTACTCTTTTTTAAGTCAATACTTAAGCTAGGTGTTGTCTTGTGCCTTTTGTAAGACCTTCCTACACTTATATAGGGCATACGGCATTCAACTATTACCATGGGCATGACATTTTTTATCCTGAATACATTTTATCCATGTTTGGCTCTTTGAGCTGAATATTACACAGAACCAAGTGGTGTAATGGATTCCAATCTGACCTATGCACAATAAAAAGTTAATTACTATCAATATTAATTGTATCATTTGTGATTTGCGCACCCTTTCCTTACCTCTATAAAATTGGGAACAATTCATTTACCTTTCTAGCTTGTAATATTCTAACCACATATTAGCTTGATTACCATATCCTAATCCCATTATTTCATTCCATATTTCTCTAGCTCTCGTCATATTCTTACACATTTTACCCTAAAATGAAAATTCATCTAACAATATGATTTGAAAGCTTTCCACATACACCTAGTTTATTTGAACTGTTCTACTGAATCTGTTCTACCAAATGATGCCAGACTATCTGTACCCATTAACAGTCGGTTGGACTGAAAAATTGAGGAAAAATTTACTTCTGCTGAGATTAGAACATACATTCAATTGACTCAGTATCTATGTACCGTCAGTATTAAACTAATAACCTACCTCTATAACAGCCCAGTACTGTCTCATCATACCATTTTCATCTCCATCATTACCAAAATCTACAACAATGATTACAGTTTTACAACCTACTGATTCCCACCTTATAGACTAATGAACAGGCAATGCCATTACAGCAACAATTGTCTTACTTCTATGTTGTTCTCAGAGAGCTTGTAGAATAAGGTCTTCCTCAAAATGGACCAACAATTGATTTAGCTACTGATATTTATTCATTGCATTTAATCTAAATAAATTATGATAATAATGGCGAATTCTTTTCAAAATTTATAATAGAACAAGTCATGACAGAATGGCAGATTATTTAGAACAAATAGAAATAACTTACATTCTGTTAAATTTTCTAAAGCCTTCTCAATAGTCTCCCTAAATAATTCCAACTGTTCTGTATGATCTGAAACATATGAGTTCTCTGTCATGTCAAGCTTTCTATGTATTGACAACTTATAACTTTCATATGTGTCTTTATATGAAAGAAATTTATCTTCCAGTTTCATTTTTGTGTGCAGAACCAGAAGAAATTTTACAAACATTGAAACATCGTATAACAAAATAATAATATAATTTAAAATATGGACATGTTTCAGTTTCTGATTTTATATTTCTATATCGCTCTACAATTGAAGTATATAGAACTATTTTCACAGTGAAAATATTAAATTTTTGTAAGTTAAAATAATACAAAACTTCAAAACTGCACATAGAACAAAATCCTAATCAATCATCTATTTATCCTTTAGCTCATGAAGACACACGTTTTTTGTTTTTGTCTGTTACGTGACTGTTAAGATATGATAAGTACCTTCTGACCAGTTGATCTGTCGTCTCAGATAATCTATATATGTTGACCATATCGTACTGTATTCACTAGCTAAAGTAAAACCACTAGTTAAAGCTTTGGCTGTTACATCTGAAATAACAACAATGGAGTTATGGCTTATATTCAATTTTTTTGAATTTCAATAGGGTTCATCCTTGTTTGATAATAAACAATTTCACTCAGTTTTGTTTGAATCTTAAGAAATGAGAGTTATGGAGTGTTTAAGATTTTAAAATTGAAGGTGTTTTCTAGAACAAGGGCAATAACTCATACTAAAAAATTTTGAATTTTTTTTCCAAAATCTGCCAAGAGTTGTAGCCTTTAGAGTGTTTACGAGCAAATCTGGACGGATTGACAGACCAACCCACATGGTTGATGTCAATATATGCTCCAGTTTTCATATGGGCATATAAAAAAGAAAACAAAGGGAGAAGTCACACACCAATTTTAATTTCTTTTTCATGGGGCAGATAATTTCCATGATGCTCTATGTTAGTGCTCTAATACCAATTCAGACATTGGAAAGGTAGAAATTTCTACCTAGTTACAATACCTTTCAGTTTGTTACCACTTTCATTATGTCTTTCTAAAGCCAATAAATATCTCTGCCATAACAAACAAGACCAAGGACAATTTCTGACAGCTCGTTCATATACTGGTAATATAACTGACTTAATCTTTAGTTTACTGTCCTACAATTTACACAATGACAAGATAGAATGTTGCCATGGTTACCTTTTTGAGGTAAAAATTGTTTCAAAATTGCTGACTCAATGTAAAAATCCGATGTCTTTCACATCAAGGTACTATTAAAGTTGCTTTTTCTCATTTTGTGATTTTGACATTTTGGGGAAATGCAAGTGTCTATGAGTTTCTACAAAAGAGATTTGATTCTGACAAGTCCAAATAGCATTCTTGGTGATCACATTTTAACTTACAGAGGCCAAAATAATGTACTAAAGCCTAATGGAAAACTTCTGAACTTCCCTTTTTTTAAGTTCTTTCAGGTTTCTCTTTGGAGTCATCAAATATTATGAAATTAACTAATTAAACAAAATCATCATTTATATCAAGATAACTTACTAAATATTTAGTATATTTTAACCAAGCCTCAGGATTTAAACAGTTTTCTGTGATAGATCTCTCAAATATACACTGTATTCTAGATGGATCATCTCCTTTTAATTCAAAATTAATATAGGTCTGATATTCTTCCCAATAGGGTGATTCTGCTGTCACCTACAAAATATGATTTATATAAAAACTAGGCACATAACATTCTTTTAATTGTTATCCCAAATTTGCATTATAATTTAAGTAAACTTCTATAACTTTGGACCGGAAAAAAAATTTTCCAACTGAAATGCAATTTTATGAGTCTATTTCCCCAAAAATTCCATATTATTGAGTTCCATTGCATTAGATATTATGGTTGGTGGTAAGGTGGAGTATCTGGAAAACCTGATACCACTAGGCAAACGGATTGGTGAACTCCACTATCACTTTTGCAGAGTCCTTATAGCTTTTAGTGTTTATTCAACATATCTATTTCATTTGGGGCATCTAAAACTTTGCAATTGGGTTTGTCAACTTTAGCATCTTAAAAGCTAGTGTCTTTGGCATTTCTATTTTTCAAATCTTACCAAAGAATCTTCAAAAGGTTTTAATTTTTCGAGATGAGCTAATGATTTTTGATAACTTTCTTCTGTATAAATATCTAAATCTCCACCATTCCAGTCTTTATATTCACTGTAAGTTTGTTCCATATCTATAACATACAATAAATAATGAAAATTGGAAAATGATTTGGGCCTTGAGTACATGCATATGGTCTTCAAAAGTACCAGAATGGCACAAAATATCTCAAACTAGAAATTTCACTTTCTATTCCTATCTTTACTGCTCTTCTACATGGTGAAGTCTCAAGAAAAGATGAGTCCTCAATGTAACTTCAAAAGTGAATAATTATGAATACAAATGGATTCTAAGGCTCACATTTCAACTGTTAGCTGTAAACAGGATCACTGCTTAGCTTAGCTTAACAGTTCCGTTTCTGAAACCCAGATGCGATTAATTGATGATAACCACCTCCCTTGCTTTGAGGTAGAACTAATGGTTGTGGAAACTAAACTCATCTGATCTATATACTGTACATTCTTACCTAATAATGGTACTGCTAGTTGTCTTTTAAACAAACTTGAAACTCTTTGGTTCTGTACATTAAAAGATTCTTCTTGTTCAGGTGTTGGTATACTGCCTGGTGCTGGCTATAATTGAAATCAATGTTTTTTACAGATGAATCCAGAATTACTCACATGTCAGCAAATCCTTCTTGAACAGAGCATTTGATTGTTTGAGAAATTTCAAAGGAAATTTGTCAGATCAGGGAAGGTACATAGAGAGTTTCACCTAAAACTTCATTTTAATCTCATTGGAATCTGTAAATTGAAGTTAACAAGTTTTTATTTGCTTTAATCGCATTAACTGAAAGACTTACCAACAATCCAGCCAATACGGCATTTTCTGTTTCTCTATAAGCATCCCATACCATTGAACCTTGAGTAACATGTAGACCAACAACAGTTATAGCTTCTTCAAATATCTTCCTCATTTTACTAATACCTCCATCATCTTTCATACCACCTATAGCAAACTGAACATATTCTAACCACAGAGGCACAGCTGAAATGGAAAATTAAATAATGGAATAGCCATAGTCGACCTGAATGATTTTCTGGCTATTTCAACTCCTGAAAACAAGATTGAATATCTATATTTATTAAAAGTATTGTTGACCCTACTAAAACTATCAGATCAGAGACAAGGCAAGAATTAGCAAGATTACTGAAGAAGCATTGAGTTCTTTCTCATTCTTATCTTAATACATACATTGATAATCTTGTACAGCTCTAGAAAATAACTGATATATGTTGTCTCTATCCTTGAAATCATCCTCTATCATTCTTATTTCATCTTTAATCCAATCTAACCAAAGTTCTAAGAAAAAAAAATAATAAATAGACATTTCTTCCCACTACAAGTAGCACGGCTAACTTCAGCACAAGTATAGTTACATATTTATTATCTTGTCATTGTGACTGAACTTACATTAGGCCATACAAAATACATAGTCTGTTTTACAGGCCCAAAAATGCCTGATTGTTGCCTTAATATTAAATGTACGCTAAATTTGCGGAAAAAAATAATAAATGCTTTCGCTCGCTCTGATTTATCTCAGTTGAAAATCTAAAAAAGCGCTTAGTAAATAATAAATTCGCCCCTTCACCCCGATTTTTGAAAAAAAGGCCTGTAAAACAGACTATTGATTTTGTATGGCCTTATATAACATAATTCAAGTTCAAAATATCTGCTAGCTACATGCATCCCTTTAAAAAAATTAAAATATGTTATGTCAATTTATTATATTGCATTTTCATTTTGAAGCTTTTCCATCAACTGGTGTATGAAGAGTTTAATTCTCCCATCTATAAAACAGATATCATTATTAGGTGTAGGCCTACCTGCTGTCAATGGAAAATATTTACTCATATTTTCCCTAGCTTCTCTCAACTTTTCTAATTCTCCACTGGATTTTAATAGTTTTATTATCTCTGTGTGGTTATCATACAGGTATGGATTTTCATTTATCTACAATAAATCAACATTCAATAAACATCAAAATTTTAAAACAGGGACTGAGGTCAGAGAAAGAGGGTTGTTGAAAATTATCCATTCCAAGATTAAAGCTCTTTATTTTCAAAATTTTACTGTACTTTTTCTGCCTCTACCCCAGCCGACAAGTGTCCAAGTAGCTATCATAAAGCTAGAATAGCTGGAATATAGTCTGATGTTTCTGACTAAGCCTTAGCCCTGGGGTACTCCCAATCCAAAATTATGCAGCCGCCACCGACACGGCACTGTTGCTGTTTCGCCCCCTTCCCCTGCCCGTAAGGCTATCGATTTGAAACTTTGCAGAGAGGTACTTATATATGTTCAACTTCACCGTACTTAAAAAGCAATAATAATGTCGATTGATGAAGTGTCAAACATGATGATTGAAAGAAATCGTGTCACCTTTTCGCGTAACTGAGCAATTAACTCTAAAGCCAAATCGTTTTCACCGTCGTCATCACTACTGTTGGAATCAGAAAAGTCTTCTGATTCCATATTGTCATCATTATTGTCACCCTGATCCACATTCACGTCGATTTCTTCTGACTTTGAAGTATCTGATTTTGGATTTTCCAGATTTTCCGCCATGCTTGTACATCTGCGTACCACTTGCGTTGATTTCTTTCACTGAAGAGTTACAAGTCAAATCGTAGTCGAGGCAAATCGTCCCAGATAGTCTCCTAGTACAAATGAACCAAAATGATGAGAGCCTAATTCCATCCAGATTCTTTCTGAGAATTTGAGGTTACGTTTATCACATTAGTATGAGTATAGCATTTTTCAAATTATTTTCACGTGAATTGAAATAGCATCTGATAGTCTAATAGCACTGATAGTCTTAGTAAGACTTTGCGTTAACAAAAATTGCGTAAACCTCGGCCACCCTTTATGGATTTTAGAGGGTACAAGTTGCAGGGAAAATGTTCTAATCTAGGAAAGTGGAGAATGCATTTAACGCGATTTTGGCAGTGAAGGAGTAGAGTAAATTTTTCGTTTTTTCAGTTCCGAGGGGGGTGTGAAATGTCGGGAGTAAAGAGTTTCGTGCAAGAAGAAAAAAACGAAATCTACCATTCATGACCGAGACATATTCAGCTTTACGGAAATTAATCAATGCGTACATCCTGTATAAATATTTACATGCAATACAATAAAAAAAACATGGGACTATCAAATATCACCAATTTGTTATAAACAGATTAAGTTAATAATTCTTTGAAGTCTTAATGAACTCTAATTCAAAGAGATAATCTACATTTTAATAATTGAGCTTTGAATCGGATTGACATAATATAATACAAACTACATCGTGTCCCGAATACGGGTTTTGATATGGATTATTAAGAATAAAGAATAGGGGAGTGGTTTGGACATGATGCACAAACTATTGAGAGCATTTAATGGCTGATGGGGTCGTTTCTTTTTAAACAGTCATGCATCCTTATATAATATTTTATGATAGTAAAGGCTGCTAAATTGGGATCAACTCAAGAATAAAACATCCTATTCTCTAAAAAAGTGAACAAATTTGACCTTTTCAATTCATTTTCCGAGTAGGCCCTACGCCCCTTTAAAGATATATATATTATGCATGACTGATTTATTATTTTGTTTTAACGATAGGGAGTCACATTTCTATAGAAATACATCATGCTTATTTAAAATTAATCATTAAATTATAAATTATAATAAATTAAATTTATGCGGAAAATGCATTTAACTGTACGAGATATACGTTGGAAGGTGTTCATCTTCGTAGTGCTAAAATATAAGGATTTTATTTTGAATATATGCCATGATAATTGACATATTGTAGTCGTAAATAGAGGAATTTTATGTGTTATATCACCATACACTCAACAAGGATGTTAAATAAACCAAAATGGTTGAATCTTTATCATCACTCAACTGGACAGTAGAGATTGCAGAAGGGAAGGCAATTCGTACAAATGACAGTCCTCTTAAGGAAGAAACTTGTGATAAAAATCCGGGACACGAAAATATGGTTCCTTTCAAAGATTTAAAACTATCTCATTTACCTGAAAACAACAGAACTGAAGAAAAATTGGATAAATTACGGCGTATGGGTAGAAGAGTTGTAAAACTGGAAGTTAAACGATTTGAAGAAGGAAAAGGGACATTAGTGAAGAAAGACAATCATATTTGCGTCGTGGCAGATAAAAAACTTATTAAAACCGATGAGGACATTAAAAACTGCACGTTTAAATTCCAACTATGCGACCATATGAAGATCTGTCGTGGTGAAAAAGTGTACCGCACATACGAGGACACGGTGTTGTTTACTTTTCACCCAACGCTGGATTTTGGTGAATTTGAAAAGTGTACAAGTAAATCAGCGACTTTAGAAGTTTTCAAACATAGATGTGGAACAGGTTTTGCTGGTAAATATAAAGATCAGTATACAATTAAAACAAATAACCACGTAGTAAGAACAGATGATGACATACGCAATTGCACTGTATATTTCAATTTTGACGAAAGTGATGGAAATGCGATAGTTTGCCGAGGCGAGGATTTGCAATGGACATGTCCGTTCAGAGATGTAACATTGTTTTCATTGAAAACTATTCCCAAGTTTCTTGAAGAGATGGATATAGTAAATTTTGGTAATTTATTCCCAACTGTTGAAATATTGTATAATAACGGTAGTAAAAATACAACCTGTATTTGCAGCTATGAGGATAAAAATGATACGTTACACTATGGTATTAATATCAATATCAATAGTCCAAAGATTCAGGATATTAAATTGATATTTCCCGATGATACTCGTAGTTATCCGAGCAGTCATTATCTTCTGTTTGATCCCATTCCTAATAACATTAAATCTCTGACACAGTCTAACGATACGTTAGAGATAGAGATGCTAGATAAAGATTTTTCGGGGACATATGTCTGCATAGAGAATACGTATTGCATTAAACTCAATGAATCAACAACGATTAAAGAATCAAAGCAAATGAAACTTCGTTTCCCCGATAATTTCATCAGTCATGGTATAGGTGTTTATTTTGAAAACAAAGATTATCGGGATTTCTTTTTGGAAGGAAATGATTTAGACCCAAGCCTGGAAAGAATATACTTCTTTGAACTAAAACCAAGAACTAATGAAATGGACTTATTTTTGCATTCTGTAAGACAACTAGCAGCAGATAGATCTAACACTGAAGATTTCTGTGTTATAGGACATCCCCATGGTAAAATAAAAACTGTATCTTTCGGACATCATTTAGCTTATAAAACAGAAATAATTCATGATGTCGGAGAAGAATTCCGTTATGTTCCATGTAGGTTCTATTCGTGTCCAACATGTCCTGGATGCAGTGGAGCTCCTGTGTTCATGCTAGCAAGTGTGGACGCTAAAAAGACTTTTGGAACGACACACTTTATGGGTAAAAAAAAGAAAATCTTGCGATTGACGGAAGAAAGGTTAATACAAATAATTTAAATGCCGCTTGGTCTCCAGCTTATAAAATCGACCGCTTATTATGCAACATTTTGGGAGACGGTTTGTAAGCCTGCAGATGTTGACCAACATTGTGTGTCGATAGCCATGAAAAATAGCTCTTAGTAATATAGTGACCAATATTGTGTTTAGATAACCATGACAACTAGCTCCAAGTATTATAGTGACCAATATTGTGTTAAAATAAACATAACAAATAGTTCTCAGTATTATAGTGACCAACATTGTGTTAAAATAAACATAACAAATAGTTCTCAGTATTATAGTGACCAACATTGTGTTTATATAACCATGAAAAATAGTTCCTCAGTAGCCTATTAGAGTAACTTCAGTATTATAGTGATGGTATTAGTGACCTTTACTAGATTCCTAGTAGTATTATCAATGACCTTGAAATATATTCATATATATCTTGACCTACATAGTAGGACCATGCTTACTCTTTTCGAAACACCTGAAATAGTTTCTCAGTATTATATTTATTGTATCAGTGACCATTTATAAATACTTTCTCAGTATTATATTTATTGTATCAGTGACCATTTATAAACAGTTTGTCAGTATTATATTTATTGTATCAATGATCATTTACAAACAGTTTCTCAGTATTATATTTATTGTATCAGTGACCATTTATAAATAGTTTCTCAGTATTATATTTATTGTATCAGTGACCATTTATAAATAGTTTCTCAGTATTATATTTATTGTATCAATGATCATTTACAAATAGTTTCTCAGTATTATATTTATTGTATCAATGATCATTTACAAATAGTTTCTCAGTATTATATTTATTGTATCAGTGACCATTTATAAATACTTTCTCAGTATTATATTTATTGTATCAGTGACCATTTATAAATACTTTCTCAGTATTATATTTATTGTATCAGTGACCATTTATAAACAGTTTGTCAGTATTATATTTATCGTATCAGTGACCATTTATAAATAGTTTCTCAGTATTATATTTATTGTATCAGTGACCATTTATAAATAGTTTCTCAGTATTATATTTATTGTATCAGTGACCATTTATAAATAGTTTCTGTCGCATATGCTACTCTTTAAAGAGTAGTTCCAGTTTCACACAAATATTTTCATATTCAGAGTTTATGACAAATTTATGATAAATCTCAATGGAAAATTTTAGCTGTAAAAGGATTCCAGAAAGCAATGTCAATGCACATCAAAATGTAATGTTCACAATCCATAAAACAATAACAATTAAAACTTCACTTTACGTGCTTTACGAAACGGAACCGTAAATGTCATCAAGTCACTTTTCTTCAAATTTTCCAGTCGCTCTTTCTCAAGTTTCTCCCTTCTCAGCGACAAAATGTGTTTGATTTCAGAAAAGTCTATCAGTTGTGCTCTAGAAACAGATTTCTCGTTATTCTTTTGTGGTTTGATCACATTCAGTTTTTGACTTCCATTCATCGAGTATCTAACTGACGATTTATTTTCTTTGAGACGTTTATAAAGTTGATTTATAAACATATATTTGTCACCTCTCAAAACAGTGTTCTCGGTGAAATTCAGGGTTGCGCTGTTCATGGGTAAAAGAAG